AATAGAGGACTACATGTGTCTATATAGAAGAGGAGAAGAGGAGATAAAGGAAATGGGCCCTAATGGGCCAAGTCTGATGACACTATCGAACAATCTCCTTCAAGTTGGAGCATATAAGTCAAACCTGTCCAACTTTGTACATGTGGCATCGTATGAGATCCTAGTCAAACTTTTTGTTAAGATGTCTACAAGCTGATGAGAATGAGGTCACATAAAGAGTAGAGATGAAATCAAATATAACCTTGTCTCGAATGTAGTAATAGTCAATCTCAATATGTTTTTTATACTCATGAAAAGTGTGATTGCAAGCAATGAAGACAACAGCTTGATTGTCACAATATATGGGTATTGGAGAAGAAGAAGAGATGCCAAAATCTTCGAGAAGTGATCGAAGCCATACTGACGTAACTTAGTCGTTGTATAATAAATCATGAAAATTTAAAATTTATAAAACTAAAAAAAATATTAATTTTTAAATATTTAGAAATATTTCTAAATAAATTAATTAATTATAGTTCAATAAAAAAATTAAAAATAGTAAAAAATTTCTAAGTTGATCATAGGGATGTAATATAATATCTAGTAATATTTTTTAAAAAAATATAAAAATATGATTTTTTATAAATTTTATACTAATAAATAAAAATAAAATATATTTAAAATTCACAAAAAAGGAAAATAAGGGTGCGGATGTCAGCACCCCAACAAACATGAATCAAGTGGAAATAGAGTTTCATTCAGTAATTTTTATATAAGTGATTATAGATAGTTTAATTAGTCAAATTAAGATCTATAAAAATCAAAAGAATCATAATTGAACCATGAATAGTTTAAAAAGTTGACATTGCACAAATTCTCACTAAATGAAGTAAAAATTAAGTTGAAGCATGAAATACAAAGTTCTGGCCTCACGACAGTAATCATCAGAATTTTGTGTGTTGGGGAGGGTCATCAAACAATGTCCACGGCCTCAAAAGCTCTCGTTAGACATAGATGACTTGGACATTCACTAAATTTCTTTTTAAAGTCTAGAAAATGATGATGAAAGTTAAACTAATTAAAAAATTAGTAAAATAGAGTTCTTGCATCACAGCGGCGATGTGTTTGAATCTTGAACATTTAGGAAGATTATCGTGTAGTGTCCACAACCTCAAAGGCTTTCTTTGGACAACAATAATGTGAAAAATCTTTAGATCTTCTTGCAAAGTCTAAAAATTAATGAAATGGGTTGTCGAATCGTCTCTGACAACTGACACATGGTGGAGCAAAAAAATGGCGACTTTGCGACTGTCTAACAATTGTCACCCAATGGAAATGAGTTAGATAGAACTAGAGCCCATGTTAAGGAGTTTCATCATCATATCTATGCAGTAAGAAAAAGTTTTTCATCTCATCTAGTATGCTCTCAAGAGCTAACAACTTGTCTCCAATAGATCGTCCTCCTCCCGACGACGACTTGTTCATTGATTAAACGGAGATGATTTACTTAATGGATCCACAATCTTTTTATCGTGAATCGTTCAACAATTTTAGTAGTGATAAGTTACGAATCACATTAACAAAATTGTTGTCAATGATTGAGCAATTTTAGTAGCTTAATCCTTCACTGATGATCTACAGGAAAATCACAATTTAATCAGATAAAAAAATATGATTTTTAGCTTTAGTAAGATTTAAACCTACATTAGTCACTCGCCTGTATGAGAGAGAGTGAAATAAATACTCGAATATCTTTATAAGTGACATCATCATAGTATCTTGTCGTTATAAATAAAGGGTATTTTAGGTGTTAAAATCATCAAAAATATTATGGGAAAGGTTTAGTCCCATATCAGTTATATGTCGAATGCTGAGACAAATATATTGTAATACGAGATTTGAAAATTAATGAGTGCCTTTCTTGCATGTGTATGACCACTTCTTGCCCCACGCCTGACTAGCCATCAATGATGTGAAAGGGGAGTGATGCACATGTGCCCCCAATTGGTCACCCTTAGTTGTTGAGCCTCTACTTATAGTTTCACTTAACTATGCTTCCAACCCTGCTTGCAGTCCTAGCTAGCTAGTAGGTTCCCCCCTTTTTTATCTTTTTATTTTTTTTTCTTTGTTTATCTCAAAAATAAGATTATAGAAATTATATAAATTTATATAAAATTACATAATTAGCCAAAAAATCACATTAACTAATTGAAAATTACTTTTTATAATTTAATATAAATATAAGTCTATTTATCATAAATTAAGGCTAAAATTATATTAATTATTAATTATTAACTCATGATAATGAAAACTTATTACATACCATCTCTCACATGGTCTCACCTATGGATTGATACTCAAACTCCACACTGAAATAAGACACTACCCTCTATTTTCGAGACTGCCAAGTGATGAGATTACCTTTGACATATGTGCAGTAATGCGTAGTAGACTTATGATTGCTCTTGTCATCTGCATACCCAACATCATAATTAGCTTCAACATAGAGATGATTGTGTTGCTAATAGATGAGTTATTTCCCTAAGGCTCACTTGACGTATGTTAAAGCCTGTAGAGCTCTCTCTCAATGAACTTGTCATGGCTCCTACATGAATTGACTCAAAATACTAACCGTATACATGATGTTGGGATGAGTGACGGTGAGATATATCAATTTGTCCAATAATCACATGTACCGATTAGCGTTCTCAAAGAGTGGAGAGGAAGTGTTTGATAAGTCTTCATTATCATGAGTTAATAATTAATAAATAATATAATTTTAATCTTAACTCATGATAAATAAACTTATATTTGTGTTAAAGTGTGAAAAGTGGTTTTCAATTGATTAACATAAATTTTTGACTAATTATGTGATTTTATACGAATTTATATGATTTTTACAGTCTTACTTTTGAGATAAATAAAGAAAAAGAAATAAAAATAAAAATATAGCAAAATGGGGGGTACCCGTAGGCCAGCCGGGCCCACAAGCGGATCGGAAGCATAGTCAAGGAGGAGCCGCGAGCACAGGCTCAAGTAGCTAGGACCGATAGGGGCACGTGTGCGCCACTCCCCTTCCACGTCACCGGTGGTTAACTAGCTATGGGGCAAAGAGTGGTCGTACACGCGAGAGAAAGGGACTTACTTGCTAATGTAATATTATTATATATTCATCCGCAACTCAAGCGCACAAGTGATGTGGGACTAAACTTGCGTCACACCTTCCTCAGAAGGCTTCGATGATTTTAATACCTACAATACCCCTTATTTATAATAGAGATATACTATGATGACATCATTTTATAACGGCATTAGAGTACTTATGTCAATCTCTCTCATGTAAGCATGCAACTGGTGTGGATTCGAATCCTCCCAGAATCAAAACTCATATTTTTTTATCTGATTATTGTGACTTTTTTACAAATCGCCGGTGAAAGATTAAGCTGCCAGAATCGTTGGATCATCGGTGAAAATCTCGTCAACGCGATTCGCAGAGCATTGTTACTAAAATTGTTAAACGATTCGTGATAAAAGGATCTCGAATCTATTGAGTAAAACATCTTCGATTGATCGACAAACAAGTCGTCGTCGGGAAGAGGATGATCCGTCAGGAGACGAGTCGCCACCTCCTGAGAGCGTATCGGATGTGATGAAGAGCCTTCTCTTGCTACGCGGACTTGAGGATGAAGCTCCTGACACATGCCCCACCTTTATCTAGTTCCTCTCCGTCAGGTGACAGCCGCCAGAGAGTCACAAAGTCACCGTTTTTCTACTCCGCCGAGTGACAGCTGTCAGAAATAATTCAACGACCCATTTCATTAATCTCTAGACTTTGCAAGGAGATCTAGTGATTGCCCACATCGTCCATGTCCAATGAGAGCCTTCGAGGCCGTGGACACTGCACGACGATCCTCCTGAACACTTAGGATTCCAGTGCATTGTTGACACATCGCTGCTGCAATGCCGAAACTCTATTTTCCTACTTTCAACTTAATTTTCGCTTCATTTAGTGATAATTTGTGTGATTTAAATTTACTAAGTATACTTCATTCAATTACGATTCTTTCGACTTTTACATATCTTAATTTGATCAAGTAAATCATCTGTAATCGCTTACGTAAGAATCGTCGAGCAGAACTTTGTTTCTGTTGATTCGTATTCGTCGGGCGTTGACGTCATCTTGATATCCGCATCCTTATTTTCCTTTTTTATGATTTTTAAATATATTTTATTTTCATTTCCTAGTGTATAATTCATAGAAAATAATATTCTTTGAAGAAAACTCTAAATAATTACCTGATATTATATTACATCCTTGTGATTGACCTGAAAAATTATCACTATTTTTAGAAGTTTTATTTAGTTATAATTGATAGATTTATTCAGAAATACTTTTAAATATCTAAAAATTCATATTTTCTAATTTTATAAATTTTAAATTTACATGATTTACTATACAACGTCACGTTAGTGTCTTAGAACTGTGGATGGACTTTCATAAGGAAAGTCTCCAACTTACACCTAAAGAATTCAATCTCCTAAAACATGTTGAGAGCATACTTTTGTTGGGTCATAATGAGCTTCATGTCCTAGTACACAAACTCGATCTCAAGAAAATATCTTAAGAGTCCCCAAGTCATGGATGTTGAGGTGCTACTGTAAATAAGCTTTGATAGAATAAATGCTAACCTCATCACTAGGCAAGACGCAACTCCACCGCCTACCTTGGCAAGACGGCCGACTGCGTCGATTTCGATATGATCTCGAAAAACCTAGAGGACCCCCGCTTGGACCAGGACATCCTCGAGGAGGTGGAGCAGATGGCCTTCTTCAAGTACAGCACGGTACCGCACTGGGGAAAGAACCGGCACGTCGGGTTCATCAGCGCCGGCGACAAGTACGGCGACAGGTGAGAGAGAGACAGAATCCTTCGTCACCTTCCTTTCGATCACTCGACTTGCTGCTCCTCCGATCTGATCTGTGGTTGTTCCGGCGGCAGGAGGGACCGGTTCGTGGCGGTGATGGTGAAGTACGACAGTGAGGGGCTCTTCTCCTCCGACTGGACCGACGCTGTGCTGGGAATCCGGGGGGAAAGCTTGTCGGTCGAGAAGAAGGGATGCGCCCTGGAAGGCAACTGCATCTGCTCTAGCAATAAACACTGCGCGCCAAAGAAGGGGTACTTCTGCCGCCGTGGGCTTGTTTACAAAGAAGCTAGGGTTTGCCGGAAGTCCGGGAAGCACAACGCCACCATTATGCACGCGGAGCTATGACCGGCTGGCAACGGCGGCGCCACCTCTGGATGTCCATGACGAGCCGTCCTTTCCAGAGTGTCTGCACGTCCATGTCTTCTCACCACCGTGAATAATATGACCGGCTGGTTTTCGCTCTTTGAACCAGCGATTGCAACAAAACGGATCCAATCTGGCTTTTCAACTCATGCTTCTCATTCTTGTGAGGTGTGCCCAAAAGTCAAGGCCTTGTGAAGTACATACCATTTATGACTCGTGATAAATTGTTGATTATAGGGCATCATCTCACCTATCTTAAACCCATGGTTCTGTCAAGTTAGATGTCCTTAAGACGATTCTGGGTTCACTACTATGAGTTGGGGCAATTGAATCTAATATTTTGCCCTTAGATTCATGGCTAATGGACAAGCGCGCAGCTTGTCCCCAACATCTCGCTGTCAAGCAAGGCTATAAGATTCTAAATTTTCACCATTAGCCCACTTTTCCGAGTACAAAATACTAAAAGTACCCAACTACATCCGAATACTTGCCTCTATATACTGTACTACTGGTGACCTTTCAATTTTATGATCTCTGTTCATATAGATTATGAGCGTAGGGCTTGAATGTATAGTAACCGTTTCAGAAATTATTTTTTTTGATATACATCTACGTCTGAAATTAATTTCCTAATTTCTAATAGCCTACTGTAGTCAAATGGGTTTGAAAAATTACTCACTAGGGAGTTGAATAGCTGTCCAAATTTCTCTTTTCACGAGGATTATTTTCCTTTGTTTCGTTCCACTCAAAGGGTTGGACAATGAGCCATCTCTAACCATTGAACTAGGTAAATTTGAATGCCTTGATACTGCCTAGCTCTCAATTAATGTTTTGTAGGCCACAAGTACCATAATCGTGCGGGAGCACAAATTGCATTGTACCCCATGAAGTTGCACTGTAGCATATAGATCATGAATTATAGCACAGAGGGAGGCGGGGGCCAGAACCGATCGATGCGATTTGCTCGATATCTGTGGTCATTAGAGATGAGTCCAACAGAAGCCATCTTCAAAGACCCATCAATCCCATTACAGAGCCCATCCACGTCACAGCTTCTGATCCGTGGCAGTTCCGACGGCAGGCGGGACCGGATTGTGGTGGTGATGACAAAGTACGACGGCGAGGGGCTCTTCTCATCCGACTGGATCGACGCCGTCCTGGGCATACGGGGGAAGAACCTGTCAGTCGAGAAGAAGGGCACCGCATCCTGGAAGCCTCTGCCTCTGCCCTCGCAATAAACACTGCGCGCCAGCAGAGGGGTACTTCTGCCGCCGGAAGATGGCTTACAAAGAAGCTAGGGTTTGCCGGAAGTCGGGGAAGCGCCAGGCCACCATTCGGCACGCGGAGTTTTGACCGGCTGTCCATATCAAGCCGTTTTTTCCAACGTGTCTGCAAGTCCATAATTTCTCTTCACCGTAAATAAAGAGGTGCTGATTGCTACTAAATGCTGTGAACTCGTCGCCAGGTGAGGAGGAACATGACGGATTTCTCACGTTTGAGTTAGCGCAACAAATCGTACCCAATCAGACTCTTCAACTCGTGCTTCTCATGCTTATGATGTGTGCTGAAAAGTCTAGTCTTTCAGAATTACATACCATTTAGGAGTCGTACTAATATTTCGTTATAATAAATTGTGATCATAAGGTATCATCTCATCTATCTTTAATTCATGATTCTTAGGCAACTTAGATGTCCTTAACAACTGATTCTAGATTCACTGCTCCGATATGGGCCAAGTGAATCTAACACACAAGTGCGCGTAAAGGTTTCATGATTAATATACAACTGCACAGCTTGTGTATGAATCTGCGGTTGTGCTGAGCCAAACATCTACATTTTCAACAATGCTATAGGTGCCCAAGTGCATACTCATATTTGCCTCTATATTATGCTATTAGTGACCTTTCAACTTTATGATCTCAACTGTGTAGATTATAAGCGTAGGGCTTGGATGTAAAAGTTTTAGTTTCTTTAAAGAAACATCATTTTCCTCATTTATTTATTTTTATATTCTCTGAAACTAATTTCCTGAATTTTAGGAGAAGTAGAGGAGTAAGAAGGGTTCGAAGGTTTTTTCTCTAGGGTTATTGAACATTTTTCAATTTTCTCTTTTTACAAAGATTATTTTCTTTTACTTCCTTCCACTCCAATTGTTGGGCACTTCACCCTTCTCTAACCATACTACTAGGTACTTGCGAATGGCTTGTTAGTGACTAGCTCTGAAGCAATGGTTTGTAGGCCACAGGTACCACAGTGGTAGGGAGCCGCAAGTATTTTTTTCTACATAGTCGATGGCCAGTAGGTTTTCAAACCCATTCGCATGCATTGTGGCTTGGGTCATTAATTGTAACCTGGGGGACGTTAAAATTGTTTTGATGAAATACTCTTCAAAAGATTGAAACCTTTCCAAAAGTTTGTAAAACATGATTATTATTTCCCTTTTTTTTTTTTCTCGGGTTGTGATAAGATTTAGGTGATATCATTGATGCCCTTTTCACACTTAAAATTATGGGTCCTAAAGCCAACAAGTCCATGTGCGTGCATTGTAGCACAGGTCATGGACTGTAACATGGGATGTAGCAAGTGTTGTAGTGCAATAATTGGCATTGTACTATGGGCTATCCGTAGTGTAGTATAGGTGCAAGCACCGGAGGACTTCATGATTTTTCCTTTTCCTTCCTCTCACTAAAGCTAATAAGCTTCTGCTCTATAAACGAGAACATGAGATGTAATTTTCCCAGTATTCAAAAGTTTTTGACGAAAACTTTCCAAAAGTTAGTGAAACACCGTGATTATTTATGTATATTTTTTCTTGGGTCATGATAAGATTCAATTAATAGCATTGATGCTCCTTTCCACACTTTAAATTACATATAGCTTCAAAAGCCAAGAGTAATATGTCCGTGAATTGAAGCATGAGTCATAGATCATAACGTGTGCGGTACGAAGACTATCAACCTAAGTTGCAAGGGTGGTAGTGCAATCATTGGTGTTGTACCACGGGTTGCATGCAGTGTGGCACAAACACAAGTATCCTATAGTTTCTCCTTTTCCTTTCTTAACACTCAAGCCAATCAGCTCCTTTTCTTGAACCGGTCACCCATTGACTCTTCAACTCAAGGCATGTGGAGAAGAAACGTGACAAATTTCATACTTGGAGAAGATGTATTTAGCATGTGGAGAAGCAATTTTTCCTCCAAGTTTAAAATAATATTTTAATACATATTGAAAGTGGTAAGAAGTAATCACCTCTTCTTGTTTGCATTAGATGAGTGCTTTTGTAAATAATTTTTTCACTAGCTTCCTCCATGGTTAAGGAAATAAATTTAATTTATTTTTTATATTTCATTGGACAAATATTTGTGATCTAACCTCGCCATAGATCATACCAAATTAGATTCATCAACTCATTCTTCACACACTTATGAGGTATGCCCAAAAGTCTAGGCCTTCTGACTTACATACCATATGTGAGTCATGCTAATATTTTGGTATTCTAAATTTCTAATTATAAGGCATCATCGTACCCATCTTAAAATTTATGGCTCTAAGTCAATATAGATGTTCAACTTAATTCTACCTAGATTCAAAACTCTGAGTTGGGCTCAGTGAATCAAACATTTTGCTCTAGATACATGGGTAGTAGCAAAAGGCACAGGATGTCTCTAAATTTGAAGTTATGTGCGGCCAAGCTTCTTAACTTTGAAAAATAGCTCATTTTTCTATGTTCACAATGCCATAGGTCCTCAAATACGTTCACATGCTTGCTTCTAGTTATAGTTATGTACGATTAGTGACCCTTGGAACCTTATGGTCACACCTCGGGGTAGATTAGGAGTGTATGGCCTGAATGTAAAAGCTTTAATTTCTTCAAAACATCAGTCTTTTAATAAATTATTCAAATGTGCGAAGTCAATTTCCTGACTTATAAGACAAAAAGTAGCCAAAATAGTTTGAAATTATTCTCTAGGATTGTTGAACAAGTATTCCATTTGGTTTTTTAATAATAATTATTTTCCATGATTTTCTTCCACTCAAATGGTTGGACTAACTATCATCACTAGTCATTCGTCTAAGTACTTGCAAATGCCTTTATATTGACTTTCACTCCATTAATGTTTTGTAGGTCACATGTATCCTAGTGGTGCAGGGGGCACTATTGCCCATGTCATAGGAAGTAGGTTTTTATCTCATGCATGTGCATTTTAGCATAGGCATAAATTGTAATTGGGGGTTGGAAGACATGATCATCATTATTAATATTATTATTATTATATTTTTTTTGGTTCAAGATAAGATTTAGTTAATAGCATTGATGACTTTTCAGAATTTAAGTTAAATGCATCTCCAAAATTGTATTTAATATTTGAAATTTAACTTAATACAGAGGCATATGACTCAGATTTAAATGTAATAACTTAATACGCACGTTTCAGTCACTTAATTGGGATTTTTCCCTGCAATTAAACTATGACCAATCCTAACTTGGACTCCACCATTTTCTTCTGGTCTAAAATAATATTTAAGCCATCTAGAAAAGATTCATTTTTCAGGTTGAATGACGACTATTATCATCCACCCTTATTTGCATTAGATGAGCACTTATGTGAATGAATTGGTCATTACTTTTGGCACAGCTAAACAAATAAAAATGTATTTTATATTTCATTGGACCAATAGTTGCGATCTATCCTTGCCACAAGTTATATCCAACCATTAAACTTGGCAACTCATGCTTCTCACCACTATGAGGTGTGCCCAAAAGAAAGTCTTCCTGAATATACTACCATCTATGAGTCAAATACCAATACTCTATTCTTATAAGGCATCATCTCACCTATATTAAATTCATGGTTCTTAGTCAACTTTGATGTCCTGAACACTTTATTCTATTTCCAAAATTCTGCATTGTGCTCAGTGAATCTAACATTTTTCTCCTAGATTCGTGACCAGTAGACTAATGTGCAGCTTGCCTCTGAAATTACAGTTCTGCAGGGTCCAAGATTATACATTTTCAACATGAGTTCATTGTTCTAAGTTCAGAATGCTAAAAGTGCCTGAGTACATCCAAATACCTCACGATAGCTACAATATTGTACTATTATTAGTGACCCTTACAGCTTTATGATCTCAGCTTGTTTAGAAAATGAACACGGGGCATGAATGTAAGAGCGCTAATTTCTCAAAAGCAACTTTTTTCCTCAATAATTTTTTTGGTATATACATCTGAATAAATTTCCAGATTTCTAAGAGACATGGATGGAGGACCCAAAAATGGTTTGAAAAATATTTTCTCAAGTTTTTGCACCTTTGTCTAATTCTTTCTTTTATTAGGATTATTTCCTTGATTTCCTTCTGCTCAAATCGTTGTACAATCAGTCATCTTTGACCATTCCCGTTAGGTACTTGCTAATGCCTTAGTATTGCCCTGCTCTCAGTTAATATTTTATTGGCCATAAGTATCATAATGGAGGTTGGGTGCAAGTTCTTCTTCCCACGTAATGAGCAGTGGATATGGTGGTCCATGCACGTGCACTGTAGGATGGGTCGCTGATGGTAATATCGGAGATGCAAAGACTGTTACTTGAATTGCTAGTGCCGTACTGTAATAATCAGCATTGCTGCATGGGTTGCATGCAGTGTAGCGCAGGCTCAAACACAGAAGCACTTTTTGGGTTTTTCCTTTCCCTTTCATCACACTGAAGCCAATCAGCTCTTTTCTTCTGAAGCTATAATACGAGCCGTAATTCTCCCAAATAATTGCAAAAGTTTGATGAAACATTTCCGAGTGTTAGCAAAACACGATCATTATTTATCCATATTTTTTTCTTGGATCATAATTCGATGCCCTTTTTTCAGACTTCAAACTAAGTATGGCTTCAAACGTTGGCAAGACCACATAATTTTTTTTTTCACTAGATCTTTCAAAATTGGTGATTATTTTATATGCTAGGGAAGTCCCTTGTTTTTATTTTAATTCACATATTTTTGTGTAAATATTGTTGGTAGTTTCAATAATGTTGCATCGATCTTAGTTAATATTTGAATTGTAACTTACTAGAGATGCATATATAGCTACTTACATCCAAAGAATAAGGAATCTTGTTCTATCCTAGATCCTTGGGTGATTAAAGTTTACTCCTCGTAAAAATATAATACTTTACTCGATTATTGGGCAATCATTTTTCAAGAAAATTATAATTGACTAACAATGCAATAGAGATCCCCATAAACAATATTATTATATTTATCAGATCTGCATTAAATGCGCATTCATGTGAACGGAATATTTCTGGGAATCCCAATTAGTACGGTCAAACTCTTGGGATTGATCAACCAAGATCACTATTATTACACGTTGCCTTCGTCTTGACTGAATATGTTCTTGAGAATTATTTATTCGCCCCCATGATTAAGTACTCCATCAATGGGTACATTTTCTTTTCATTATGTACAAACTGAGGTACTATTAGTCATATGAGGATCCAATGCGGGGACTAATACTAAAATGCCTGGCTAAATGAACCGGGTTGGAGAGTTCTTCGCGTTCTTGGATGTGATTTCCTCCCGATATCTGACGGCTGTGAGAGGCCCTGGCGATCCGCGTGGCCGCTTCTTGAGAATCGCTCCAAACGCGTGTGAAGTCCCACGTCCGTGGAGGGAGGGTTGTGGGTTGGGTGGGTGGCTATGGTGGGTGTCTCTGCTCGCATGCCGTCCGAGGAAACGCCCCAGACTGGCGGGCCTGCTCCACAGTGACGTACCCGGTGCTGAAGGAAAGCATTTGTTTTTTTTTTCGTTTATTAGTGTTTCGTCTTCTAGTCTGGTACCATCGATTCCACCTCCCTTTCCTCCTCTGTCCTTCCCCACCATTGAGATCTGCATACCTTTCGCCAGGTTGGAGCCCTACCCCCCCCCCCCCACATCTCCTCCGCGGAGGAGGAAGAAGGGTCGGTGGGTCTGATCATCCTGGGCGTCCTGTGGTTCCAAGCTGAATAGATTATTCCTTCCAGCGTTTCCAGAGCGAGTTCCTTCTTCTGGGTCCCAGTCCTTTCGACGATCTGCTTCGTCCGCCATCTCCACCCGTTTGGATCTCCTACGATGGTATCTGGGTTCCGTCCTTTGCTGGGGTTCTGTCGGATTCCGGGTAGGTTCCTCCTTGGAGCCGATTCTGGAGAGTTTACTCCCTGAAGAGGGAATTATTCTCCATCTTCTCGCCGCCCCGCCGTCCCCTCCCTCATGGCTATTCCGAACCAGCAGCCACTAGCTGCCAAGGAAAGCTCGCAGAAACCCCAACTCAAGGTGATTCCCCTCAGGATCTTCAAGTTCCTGCTCTTCGTCTTGGTTCTAGTTGTTGGGTTCTCGCTGGTGAGCTTGTCAATGTCCCGGCTCTTTGGGATCGAGGGACGCCTCGGCTTTCTCCCCTGCCTGGATGAGCCCAGCAGCCTCAACCTCTGGATGAGGCCGCCACGGAACCTCATGCACGGTATGACCGACGAGGAGCTGATCTGGCGGGCGTCGCTAGTCCCCCAGGTGAAGGATTATCCTTTCAAGAGGGTCCCCAAGGTAGCGTTCATGTTCCTAACCAAGGGCCCACTGCCTCTGTACCCGCTCTGGGAGAAGTTCCTCAGAGGGAACGAGAAGCTCTACTCGATCTACATCCACTCTCTGCCATCTTACAGCGCCGAGTTCCCCAAATCCTCGCCGTTCTACGGGAGACAGATACCAAGCCAGGTACATCCCCTTAACAATCTCTCTTTCTTTCAATCTACCAATCTGCCCACCAAGATTACCTGCAGTTCTTCCATCGTATAAATTTGGGGCCAGAAGCTATTAAGATTTTTGTACATTGATGTATGCTGGCATGAGGAAAAGCCTCCCCTCGTAGGCGCTTGTCAACCCCCATAGATAGATATATATATAGAGAGAGAGAGAGATAGAGAGAGAGAGAGAGAGAGAGAATAAGAACCGCAACATCCGTACTAATTGCAGGGATTTGAAGCTCCTTCCTTCACGGGCTCTGCAATACCTCCTCCTCCTCCTTCCTTTTTTCATCATCTTTATCAACATCTTCTTCTTCTAGGTTGGATGAAAGAAGATCTTGTCCACCGCCTGATCTATTTCTTTTATATTTCATATTCCATCTCACCAAATATGAAGTCGCAAAGGCCTTTTACTTTTTCTTAGCTCCGAGCATGTAATAGTCTCCATTTTTTCAAACTTAAATGAATTATACTAAGGAACACCTTGGGCTACGGAAATCACAGAGGATTATTTCAGGTTTATGGCGAGTTCGTGATCTGTGAGAGTAAATCTGTGAATAAAAAGGTTTAATTTAGTCATGACTTGCTGTTCGTGTGCCTCAAGAAGCCTCAGATCATAAGAACAAAAAAAAAAAAAAAAAAAAAAACAGTCTCTGTAAGAAAACTCAGTGAGCAAATGGATCAGATTAGGAAGTATATGAACCAACTCTGATAATACCAGTGATTCTATCTCCATCTGATGCCTGTTTTTCGGGGTAAACAAGCACCAGATTGTTTCATGCTGGCATAAAAATGCACCATCTTTTGTTTCATGCTGGCATAAAAATACACCTGCTAATTTTATTTTATTTTATTTTCTTCTCCTCCTCGAGGCTCGAGGTTTTTTTCTTTTTTTGGTGATTTATTCCTCCGCCTAGACGGCTGTTTTTGTCCTGTGCCAACATTTTTTCCATAAAATCATATTATTTTATGATGTGAAAAAACCATCATTAAGGACCTCTTTTTTATTTTGGGACAAATAATCCCAAATTATTGTATAACCGAGCTCACAGATCTCACTCATCACAGCATCTAATTTTCCTATTAATTTAGTTTAATTGAACCATTTTAATCTTCTGAAAAGGGTTGTGATGGATCAAGATCAAGTCTTTTTTTTTTCTTATTATTCTTTTTAATTCACAATTTCCTAGGTGTCGGCATGGGGGGAGATGAGCATGTGCGACGCCGAGAGGCGGCTCCTAGCCAACGCCCTCCTGGACATCTCCAACCAGAGGTTCGTCCTCCTCTCGGAGACCTGCATCCCTCTGGTCAACTTCAGCCTGGTCCACAGGCACCTCTTGCGGGCCCGCCACAGCTTTGTCAGCTCCTTCGACGACCACGGGCCCTATGGGCGGGGCCGTTACAACCCCCGTATGGCCCCGGAAGTCGACATCTCCCAGTGGCGGAAGGGCTCCCAGTGGTTTGAAGTTGACCGCCAGGCCGCCATCGCCATCATCAAGGACACCACCTTCTACCCCAAGTTCAAGGAATTCTGCCGCCCAAACTGCTACGTTGATGAGCATTACTTCCCCACCATGTTGAGCATCGAGATGCCCCAGCGGCTGGCCAACCGGAGCGTGACTTGGGTTGACTGGTCCCGTGGCGGCGCCCACCCGGCGACGTTTGGCGGCGCCGACATCACCGAGGCGTTCCTCAGGGGCGTGCTCGAGGGGCAGAGCTGCCTCTACAATGGCCAGCCGTCGGCCCTCTGCTTCCTCTTCGCAAGGAAATTCTCCCCAAGTACCCTGCCACGACTCCTGGAGCTCGCCCCCAAGGTCCTCGGCTTCGGGTGATGGCGCCGCCGAGGGTCATTGACTTCTCTAGCTCGGAGATTGCTGCATGAGAGAGCCGCACAGGTTTTTTATTCTTGAAGTTTTGTAATTTTCCTCCTTTTTTTCTTTTCTTTTTTTCTATTTCTTCTTGTACAGGGAACCGAAACAGGTTGAGTGATGATGGTCATGATGTGAAGAAGAGTGAGGATTTGAACCAAAAGCTTGCTTTGACCCTCTTTCTCCGGGTTCTTTCCTGTAATCGTTGACTTACTAACGGAGGAGCATAGCCATCCAGGTGGGAGATTCTGGCTCTACCCTTTCGGTATTCAGAAAAAGGTCAACGCCGGAGCAAAATGGGCGAGGATGGGTACCCGACCCTGTTGCCTTCCCATCTGTCAAAAAGAGGTCAACGTTGCGCTACTGTAGGCGTAGTTCCTCTGGTTGGGAGTTGACCAAATCTCCGGGTCACAACGTCGAGATATCGACGCCCACGTCTTGAAGAAGAGAGGTAGGGGGTCAGCATCACTATCAAGCGGGGTATTAATTATAATTTATTGAACATTTAAAAAAAAAAATTGAATTATTTCTGACGGGGTTGATCAACCAGTGGCCAAGCTCAGTTATTATTTAAAATATTTTGATATATATTTAGTGCCGAAATCTCTATTACTTCAAGAAAATTCTGTTCATACATGTCTACAAAACAGGACCGAGACATAATAAGGTGGCATCCAGAATCGAATCTGGACCGTCGATCGGTCCCACCTGTAGTCAATCTGTCCAAGACTCCCACTGGTGAACAACTCAGAGGTCTCAATGGGCCCAAATTTGGGCCTGGTAACGCCCAACTGGGGCCCAGAATCTAAAGAAAAGCCCAAATTATGCCTCGGCGACCCAATTAATAGTTAGAGAGAGAGAGAGAGAGAAGGTAGGGACTAGTCGGTTCTGTCCAGTCGTTGCTCTGGATATAAATATGTATTATTTTATGCCCAAAAAAATTTATCCGAGGATAGTATTATTATTCAGGCGACCGTTGTTGGCAGGTGGGATTGACGTCACTGTAGTACGAAGAGGAGTGCCCATTTCCGATCATGGAGTATCTCTGTTTGCTGATGTCCGGCGTCGGGGTTGGGGGGGGGGGGGGTTCGGAGGGAATCTTCCTCAGTTGTGATCCTGAGAATTTCCTCTCTCCCTGGGAAATGGGCAGACTTTGCAGGAATTCGGACTGAATCTCTCTCGTGAGTTTCGGGGATCATTCTCTCGTGGCCTCTGTCGCCGGTTCTTCATCTTCATCTTGTTGTTGTTGTTGTTGTTCTTCTTCTTCTTCTTCTTCTGTTCTTCTTCTGGGGTTCGGCCGAGAGGGAGGAGGATCAGGGAGGTCTCCCCGTTTTGTTGATGGTGCTTTAATGGAAGCGGAGGTGGTGTCGAGGGGAACGAGAGTGCAGATCCAGTGATGGGCCTGGAGGTTCTGGAGAGGTTCAGGGTATCGTGGACGATAACCCGGGTTTCGGATCGTTTCCACCCTGTTGCTGTGGCGGTTCAGGTACCGTTCATCTCATTTTCTTTGGCATTCTGCATATTTATACTCCTCTCATGTAGGAGCTGGGCAATGAAGCTCGATGCCTGTAAATGTTGGTCTCTGGGTCCCCGGCCCCACTTCTCTCCTTGTTCAGAGCCTTTGAGAGATCGTCTTTTGGGCGGTGAATTTGCTTCCACGGAAAGTATCGATCTACTTCAACGAATCTGACTTTTTGTCCACGTCTCGAGCAGGTCACTACGGGGCCTCAATAGTCTCTGAACTGTGCCCACCCAGTTGCTGTCTGAACGATTGATTTGTCTCTTAGACCCTTACACCCTTGTCTGTGACTCCGTCTGCCCTTTTATCCACGATATTTCGGTTTTTCTTTTCATGCAAGGGTAGTGACTTCTACAATGTTTCTGCTTGCTTCATCATTTTCTCCCTCCTACTATTCTTCTTCATCATGTTTCTGCTTGCTTCATCTTTTCATGCAAGTGTAGTGACTTCTACAGCATAAGTATTCCCTTCTTTTGGTTCCATTGAGATCACTCCTCATGGATGGCGGTGGAAGGATTTGCCTGGTGGGGATGGTGATGTCTGTATTTTTGTACTTAATTATATATATATATAAATATATCTTGATGAATTTTCAAGTTGGGATTGAGTGTTGCGTTTCATTGTTTCTCTTAGATTTCTTTTCTGCTTCTCTCGATTGAATTGTCCGACGCTGCAACTGAAGGAAGATGGGTTCTCCGTCAAGGTGATACTGGGCACAGTGAGATTCCTGTGTTCTCGCACTCTTGTATCCACGATGAGATTCTTCAGAAGAGACGAAATCCTGGTCGCAAGGAGTATTCCGTTAGTCCACAAGTTTACAGCAGATCTGATCTGCTGAGTTCAAATCATCACAAGGCCCGACGAGCGTTGCTTGAGGTTTCTTTGCCAGAAGATTTTGAGAAGAATTCGAGACAACCCATCAGAATATTTCTAAATTATGATTCGCTTGGCCATTCTCAGGACAGAGATTGCCGAGATGCTGGGGATATTGTGAAGGTGAGTGAAAGAAGTAATGACTTATTGCACTATAATGCATTGGGATTGGATCAAACCTCCCTCAACTTCAATTCCTGGATCCCCTGCATGCAACCCTCTTGCTGATCGTCCAATATTTGGAGACTGTTGGTATAACTGTTCATCGGATGACATATCAGTGGCTGAAAAGAAACTTCGGCTTCAAAGGGTAATTGTTCCGAACCTTTGGTTTTATATAACAATTTTGCTCTGTGTAAAATCTTTCGTGGAGAATTGCCAAGAAAAAATAAATCTGACGCTTCATTAAATGTTTGGGTTTTAAAATCCACGGTTTTCAAATCCATTGAGTGTCAACTGATGAAACATTGCACTATAAAAATTTATCTGGGTAGCATGGAGTCCTGGTCTAGAAAGGTAACAGGACAGTGCACTTGATTATGTTGCCCTTTGACTTGCGTAATGCATATCATAGTATCTTCACGAAACTCTTTCTGATCTGAAAATGGGAGAGGTAGATTTGTCTCTACAAGCCCATGTATACTACTTTGAATATTCATGTTTAGTGTTAGGCTCACTGGGCTTGGAAAGGACCAACCACCTGTAGTCATAAGATGATATTCTTAGTGAAACAGGCTGATTTGTTCTCCAATTTGCTTATATAATTTTCAATACTGAAAATTTCGTACGATCTCTTGCTTCAAATCCATATGTATGTTGTGGAGTTCCCCTTCTCGAGCACAAGGTACCTCAATGACTGGAACTCATCAGCTCTTGCCAGCCACACAGAGAGAGAGAGAGAGAGAGACTTTGTTAAAATCTCCCATGCTTTAGGTCCTTGATTTCGCTTACATTCAGATCATGAATGATGTCATGACAACTCGAGAACGGCTGTTGTAAAAGGAGATGGTATTATCAAAAATTTATGCCAAGTTAATCTGTATTACAATTTCTGCATTGGAGCCTTAAGACAACCTAAGGCCATTTTCTTGAGCTCAAACTGCTCATAACAACTTCAATGGTTCATTCTCTCTGGTAATGATAAACTAAAAATAGAAATGTGATTCACCTGCAATCTTAATTAATAGAAAATTCAGAAATATTCACGTTCTTTAAAAAAAGAATGCTCTTTCACCTTCCAATTAATTAATGGTGTTAATCAGTACCTATCTTAGAACTGATGATGATTTTTCCAATGTTTTTGCTTTTATTACTATTATAATAGGCATTGGAGAGAACAGCAGACTGGTTTAAGCGAACTTTATCTGTGGAGCCTGTCAAGGGGAACTTACGTTTAAGTGGATACTCTGCATGTGGTCAGGATGGTGGGGTGCAACTTCCTCGTGAATATGTGGAAGGTACTTCTCTCTATTTCTATGTCATTTTTATACGAAGACAAGGTACATAACCTCTTTTCATTTTTCTCACAGATGGTGTTTCTGATGCTGACCTGGTCCTCTTAGTAACCACTAGACCAACTACGGGTAACACGCTTGCATGGGCCGTAGCCTGCGAATGTGATCAATGGGGTAGGGCGATTGCAGGTAGTGGAATATTTTGTCCAGAAATATTGTTTATTTGGGTTTTCATGCTGAATGGTAATATTCCATATAAGATTGGTGTATAACCGTTATCAGGTCATGTTAATGTTGCTCCTCGTCATTTGACTGCTGAAGCAGAGTCTTTACTCTCAGCCACTCTTATACACGAGGTTAATATTCTTTTCAAAGAAAACTTGATAAATCAAAACTTCAGCATATTTATTACTGAGCTATTTTTATCCGCAGGTCATGCATGTTCTTGGTTTTGACCCTCATGCCTTTGCTCATTTCCGAGATGAAAGGAAGAGAAGACGCAACCAGGTAGCTAATTATGTAAGAATATAGATATATATATATATATATATATTTATTCTTACATCAACACGTTGATGAGATGGATCCAAGAAACAGCTAAGAAAGATTTTTTCCCGGAGAAAATAGAGAAAAGCATTTAGGGCCACCATACGATTCTTGAATGCTAAACAAATGTGATAAAAAAGACTTTGGCACCGCTAGAAAGCAACGTTAAGTACTGGAGTATTGATTGACATATAATTATTCAAGGCACGAATATGGTGCTGCTTTCGATCAAGTTGAGCATTTTATTCATGCTGTCTTGTTTGCGAGTAATTCTCTCTTGACAAGTACGATAGCTATCTTGAAAGCATTAGCATTGCTATGGTCATCTGTCCCGTTCCAGGATTCTCTTTTCTATATTTTTTTTTTTTTTTTTTTCATAAGAATGGAGAATACCTCTGAGATTTCCTCCAGCTTCATTCCCAAACTCTCCTATATTTATGGCATTGAGAGTTGATGCCTGTTTGCATTGGCTTAAGATGTGAAATACTGTCAAATTTCTACAGGCAGTCCCCGCCTAAATACTTGATTTTTACGATCTTGAGCAAACGGCTAGGACATCATGACCATAACCTGTCTCATGAATATGGGATCATCTAGATTAATAAGAGTTCATACATTTTCCTTGCATTGGCTTCAGGGTTTGTCATTCATCTTGCAAGGTTGTATTAAAGGTTCAGCAGAAACTAGTTGGCCAGTAGAAATGGCGTTTTTGATTGCTCAAGCGACTAAACTTCGACCATTAAAGCCTGCCCTATCTTTTGCATTGATATTAAATGTCAGGGGCATGATTTGAATGGGGTTAGGCGACATTCATGCAGATAAATACCGTTAGCAATAGTGAATAGAAACATGATTCCTTACTCTCTGAGTACTAGAAGTGGAATTTGTCTAGGGTTTGTGGGACAGTTGATACTTTCAAGCATCTGTGATGATAAAAGCTGATAATGTTTACCTGGATGATTAGTGATTTTGAGCACGAGTTCTGCTTTTCTGTGAGAAATAATGAATTCCATATTCAGGTCATTGTTCAAGCCATGGATGAAAAGCTGGGACGTATGGTTACACGGATAGTCCTCCCCCGTGTTGTCATGCACTCAAGGCTTCACTACGGAGAAAGTTGAATTTTCCCTCAGTCTCATAGATTGGGCATCACCAGTGATTCCTAACAGGAAAGCTGGTGCCGAATTGAAATTGCCATTGACAGTGTTTCTCTGTGGGCAGGCATTCTCTGCGAACTTCACTGGCTTAGAGCTGGAAGATGGGGGGCGTGGCACATCGGGTATTCAATTTTGCACACCAGGCTATGCATCAAGAAGAAGGAATCTATATCATCAAAAAAACCATTAATACTCCTGCTTTTCATGTTCTTGTGGTAGGATCTCATTGGGAGAAGCGGCTTCTGATGAATGAAATCATGACGAGCTCAGTGGACGCTCGATCAGTGGTGTGTCGAAAATGACTCTGGCATTGCTGGAAGATAGCGGATGGTATAAGGTTAACTATAGCATGGTGGACCGCCTTGATTGGGTCGCAAACAGGGAATAGAATTTGTCACCTCTCCATGCAATCAGTGGAAGGGGGCATACCATTGCAACACCACCAAGTTTTCTGGCTGTACATATAATAGAGAAGCTGAGGGTTACTGCCCTATCGTAAGTTATACTGGGGATCTGCCTCAATGGGCTCAGTATCTCCCACAGGCCAACAAAGGTCTGTTCCCTGTGATTTTTTAATAGTGCTTGGAGGATCCTGTTGGGTTCTGTCAGCTTACTTTTTCTTCAGCTTTTCATAAGTAATTAGTTTTATTATTGATCTTGCGCATCTGAAACCAACCCTGAAGGAATTCTATAGTGTGATCCATCTAAACGTGTTAAATGGGAGTCATGTCTTCTTTCCCGGCCATGTGATAAGATTTTTTTATTTTTATTTTTTTTGCCATCCATTAATATTTTTTGTGTAAATTAACGTGGGTTTTGCTTTATTTCTTCATTTTCAATTGGTGCTGATGTTGCATCCCTTTGATGGCGACTTGCCGATTCAATCGTGGAAACAATCAGTTTATATGTTCGTTTAATTGAAATTGACGCCTTTTTGAACCAGGAAATCATTTTGAGCGTTTCAAGATCTTGAAGAAATCCCTCTTGCTTTATTTATAATCTCCCATTCTTCATAGTTCAGCATGGGCAGCTGTTCTTCTGTTCCTCAAGTTTCCAGTCGTTTCCATTTATTTCTTGAAACTCATGATCTACATGTTTCTTACCCATCACATGCTGGTTAGTGCATGGAAGTTTTAGCATGTTTCTACAGGTTTATTATGTAAACTTAGCGCGCAAATCTTATCAACGACCTCACCATCGCCCAATAGCTGCTTACTTCCATCCTCGTCTGTCTCAGGTGGCCAATCGTCCTTAGCCGATTATTGCGCGTACTTTGTGGCATATTCCGACGGCTCATGTACTGATGTAAATCCTGCGCGAGCACCAGACATGATGTTGGGTGAAGTGCGAGGAAGCAGCTCTCGGTGAGAGTCAAGTAATGCTCCCAGCGAATGAGGAAAGCGCGGAGTAATCTCTTCTTTTATATGCTCCCATTCTGTGCAGGTGCATGGCTTCATCTCTGGTGCGTTCTGGGTTTGCTCGAGGATCCATGACTCAAGGGAATGGCTGCTATCAGCACAGATGCGCCCGCAACGTCTTAGAGGTACCAAGCTGCAGTCTCCATTTCTAGCAATGCATCGCTATGCTTGGACTGAGACTTCAAGAACAGGCAAATAATCCTAAACCCATCAAGGAAATCATTGCCTGATGCCTGGAAAATACGGAAAATATGCGTTCTGTTCTGGGTTTATAGTTCATATCCATTTCAGGAAAAAATGCAAATGTGGCATGGTATGTTTATTTTTGCTTCGATATGACATGATTTCGAGCTGCTTTGAGTAGCTTACAGTTCAAGGTTTTTCTAGAAATGACCAAATATTCTGCTGATATATTCTGCTCATTATAGCTCAATATTCATATTCATCGAGAAATTACCAAAGAGATGTACCATGGTATGTTTATCGTGCGGGATTATTGGAATGGCTGGTGATCATCAGACACCCATATTGAAACACTGATGCTGATGCCCGATGATCTTTGATGCATTGTGCTGATCAGGTTGCTATGGACGGTATCTGGAAGGCTTGCCCTGAAGCGGGGGGCCCAATCCAATTCCCTGGTTTCCACGGTGACCTCCATCTCATGCGCCTTGTGCAATCTATGAGCATAGCCACCGCCGGTTCTTCGTTCTGATGATAAAGTTGCCATTTTTTTTCCCCCATTTATGGTGCAGGGGAGCTCATATGCCCGGCCTACCATGAACTATGTGACACACTGCCAGTGACTCCTCCACGCGGGCACTGCCCCAACTCGTGTGGCTTCAACGTAGACTGCCTTGAGGGGGGAGCTCCGGCTGCTTCCTAGGGTTTTACGGGCACGACTGCAGCCAACGTGAGTCTCACTAGAATCTATTACCACAGAGTTTTACCTTCTTTTTTTTTAGCTAGTATTCTCTAATTTGAGAAAGTCGTATTCTTTGGCTGTGACCCATTTCTCAGAGAGTGGGAAAATCACCAGACTAGGCATCTGGGTTCCCCGTTCGGGCTCCCCTCTGGCTGATAACCATACTCGTCTGTGCCTCCCAGGTGCTTGCCCAGGCAACTGCAGCGGTCATGGCGTCTGCCGCCCAGATGGGATATGCGAGTGCGTGCACGGCCGAACAGGAGTTGATTGCTCCACCGGTACCCCCCAAAACCTCGTAAACTCTGGAAATTTGTTCTTCAAAATATTAAAAAAAGGGTAAAATTAACCGAAATGAATTATCGATTTTATTAAAAATGCAGCCATATGCGACGAGCAGTGCAGCCTGCATGGTGGGTTCTGCGACGACGGCGTGTGCGAGTTCCGGTGCTCCGACTATGCCGGGTACTCATGCCAGACCGGCTCGTCTCTTCTATCCAGCTTGTCGGCGTGCCAGGAGGTGCTCATGGGGGATGCAGCAGGGCAGTACTGCGCCCCAAGTGACCCAAGCATCCTGCGGCAGCTGGAGGCGGCGGTCGTCGTGCCAAACTATGGCCAGCTGCTTCTCGTGGGCCGCTCCCTGTTTGACTTCCTCGAGCTGAGCTACTGCGCTGCGGCAGCCAGGCAGCTGGCCTGCTGGGTATGTTCTCCTCTGATCCCTTCCTAATATATATCTATATATATATACGCAAGTATCTGGGTTGGGCTTATTTTCCTTTTTAGGTATGATTTTGGGTTTTGGGGGCTCATTGAGTGAGGCCTTAGAAGTAAACCGTTGCTATTTTGTGACCAATAGGAGTAGGTAGGTAGTTTGTCGTTGTTGACTTCTTAGAAACCGGTTTTGGCAGGGTTTGTTTTTCCTTTTTTTCAGGTATCATTTTGGGTTTTGGGGCACGTCAGCACCTTGGAAGTCAAACGTCGCTACGGTGTGAACATTAGACATTAGACAGTGGACTGGTCATTATCTCTCTTTGACATTGCTCTTGTAGGCGTTGACTTTGGTGCCTGAAATCAGCTGGAACCTGCTGAGAAGACCATATTGGTGGCGTTTATAATCCTTTCCGACAATGAATTCCAAGAATTTTTTTGTGGTTGCGCGTCAGATTGCTTGACCATTTTTTGGGCACTTACGTAATGCTTTCCCAAAATGCATTCATATTGAGAACAATCTCCGCCAGTCAACTCTTCCCCATCTAAGCCACTTTGGCGAGGATTCTTACCCATTCTATTCGTTAATATCTTGACTTTATCGGATTTCCTCGCTAGTTCATTTCTACTACTTCCCTCCAATAGTCAGCCAAGGTGACTATCCCTTTCACGCTGAGATTAGTCAATCAGTTGACCCTTGGTATTGGGGTTCTGACCACCTTCCATTTCATTTCCATTTCCGTGTATTGACTTCTTGAAATAGTCTCCTGCCACATCTCTATAATCCAACGGCCACTCCTGAAACAGTAGTCAGCCACGTTGACTTTCCTTCTCGTCGGAGACGAGTCGCCTGATCTTACCAGAAACTGGTGCCACTTGTCTCTCAGATATCGATCCAACGGTGCGACATGGACGGAGACAACAGGCTTCGGGTGTGCCGCTCGGTCTCCGGGGACTACAACGCCGCCTGCGGCGCCTCCCTCGACTGCTCCGACGAGACCCTCTTCACCGGCGAGGAGGACGGCGGCGAGCAGCCGCGGTGCACGGGCTACGGCGAGGCCCCGCGGGGGTGGCTCCGGAGTATCCGGAGGATCTACGCACAGTAGGAGGCGGCCGCGGCGATGGCATCTGTGTGTACATAGATTCGGAGCTTTCTCCGGCGACCGGCGGCGGAATCGAGAGGTTGCCGGCGGAAGGTAGGGTTTTTTTGGTCGGCGGAGCACGGAAAAGGTTGAAGAAGGCCGAGCCGCTCTCCCGCGGGAAGGAGGGCTTCCTCCGAGATGAGGGATACGCCGCCGCTGTTGTTGGTCGTGGTGGGTTTAGGGTTTTGTAGCTTATTAGCCGTTGGGAGTGTTTTGTGTATAGTAACCACGTTTGTAATGTCATCCCTTCCGATCACAGGCGCTGCTTTCTTCATTGCTTAGGAGGTTCATTTGTCTTTTTCTTCTCTCTATCTCTCTCTCTCTCTAGTGTGGGATGACTTCTGTTCTTCTATACTCTCTCTCTCTCTCTCTCTCTCTTCTCTCTCTCTCATAATGGTGAATCACATCACACCTCTGTCCGACGCACCCGCTCCAAGCGCCACCATGGACAAACAGGCCCGCCAGCCTGGCGTTGCCACGCTGGAGCCGGAAAGTGGGAACACGACGAATTTGAAAAAATTATTCCAACGTTATAAAAATATACCCTTTTGGTGATCAAGTGATCTCGGGCCGGGCCATAAGGGGCCCAAACCGGCCCAAAATTCCCTCCAAACGTGTGAGAGGAGGCCTTCGCTACTGGAGACACGTACATGAGCAGACGCGTGGACCAAGTAACGGCAGGGATTCAGCGAGCTATAAATACGCTGGCCGCGCCGACACGCTTTCTCTTTGTCGTTCTCCGATCGAGAGGGAAAGAGGAGATCGGAGGCTCCTCCCTTCGAATTCCGGGGCTGTCGGCGCTCACAGGTCAGCCCCTCTCTCTCTCTCTCTTTCTCTCTGTCGATGTATCGCTTATTCTGTGTATGAGGATTGCTCCCGGCAGGTGTTCGATCCCCCTTTGCGAACGAATTAGGGTTTAGGGATTGGTTGGTGTTGGGGGCGCTCGCTTTTTTCTTTTTTGGTTTGGATTCCGCCGATGCATGTGTTAATGGAATTCCTGGATTAGCGTGTGGCGGTGCTAATGGAATTTCTCATTCGATCAATCGGTGGTTCTTGAATCCCTCGATGCCTTGGGGTTGACTGTTTCGCCTGGTGGCCAGGGCCTATTGCTGTTCCCATGGCGGATATTTCACGGATTTGGGGATTTTAGGGTTCGGTAATCCACGCCGCGCGGCGGCCGATTCTCGAGGATCCGCGAATTTTCCCGGAAATCTGTGTTTTGTTCAGCTGCGTCGTCTGCTTATTCTTTTTTTCTCAGAAAATTGAATTAGTCCGGAGAGGTCGAGGGATGGCCAGTAGCTTCGGGGAATCATCCAGCCGATATCCCCAAAGCCCTTCGTGCTCCGGGAACAACAACAACTCCGATGCCGGGGATTTCGAGTGCAACATCTGTTTCGAATTGGCTCAGGACCCGATCATAACACTGTGCGGCCACCTCTTCTGCTGGCCCTGCCTCTACAAATGGCTCCACATGCACGCTCGCTCTCCCGAATGCCCCGTCTGCAAGGCCCTTGTGCAGGAAGACAAGCTGGTCCCCCTCTACGGCCGAGGAAAGACATCCACAGACCCTCGCTCTAAGTCAGTGCCTGGTGTCGACATCCCCCACCGCCCCACCGGCATGAGGCCCGAGACTGCCCCTCCACCCGACCCAAACCACTTCCCTCACCATGGATTTGGGTTCATGGGGGGGTTCCCCCCCATGGCCACCGCCAGGATTGGGAACTTCAGCCTCACTGCCGGCTTTGGCGGGCTCTTCCCCTCTCTGTTCAACTTCCATGTTCAAGGCTTTCCCGATCCCGCCGCCTATGCACCCTCTGCTAGTTTCCCCTACGGCTTTGGAAACTCATTTCATGGCGGCCATGCCCATGGGTTCCCCCCGCGCACCACCGTGAGGCAGCAGGAGAATTCCCTCCTGACAACTCTCTTCCTCGTGGTCGGCGCTTTTGTTCTCTTTGCTCTTCTATTCACATAACTGAATTGCGTCCATTCGCCACCTTGTGGTTTTCTATATGCACCAAGAGGTTGTCATTATCTGAATGTGTCTGTGAACACCGTGAACAATGTTCCAACTAAGTCCCCACCCCACACCCCCTTCTCCCTTGGTTTATCAGTTCTTAAAAATGATGTCAATGCCCTGTAATTGCTTTTAATAAGGCATTTTTATGAATTTTGTTTCTGCTCGCCCTAATTAGCTCGTCTTCTTCTTCTTCTTCTTCTTCTTCTTCTTCTTCTTCTTCTTCTTCTTCTTCTTCTTCCTCTCTGCAACCCGTCGAAGATCCCAACGATTCTCCTGTATAATATCTTCACTGATGGATGATAACCGAGGAGTGGGTGAATTCCTTGACTTGGGTAAAGCTGCTAGCTTTCAGCTTTTTTTTTTTTTTTTTTGGTTCGTAAGTAAAGGGCCGTGGGGTTTTTTGGATTGGCCCGTGTTGCTTGTGGGCTGTTGTTGATTTTCACATCTTGTTCTGCTGAATCGACCAAATTTGGAAAGAAGGAGAAGAAGAAATGGGTCGATTTTGTGGGAAGTCAACGTCTCTATGCACGGATGAATTCACTGAATGGCAAGGAATGATCACGAGGTCTTCCCGGATGTCCTTGGTTGACAAGTATGAGACCTTTGATCTTTTTGTGGGCATGATGACTCTTCAAGGTTGGTCAACCCTAACAAAGCTCAGATCCATATAGGATAAGGAAGAAGATCTCGAAACTCCAATTGTGTTTGTTCAGAGGGTAATGGATGGTGGACTTTGACGGTCAACGGCTTAGTTTTTAATGGAAGCACCTTCATAGAAAGCTCGAGGAGAAGCTGAGAAGGAGGCTAACTGTGGTTTCCGGGCTTTTTTTAAAAGCCCACAGAAACCAGGGCCGGCCCATTGGAACTCATTCAAACCACAATCTTTCCTTTGAATTTATTTTTCTTCCTATTTCGGATCCAAATTTTCAGTCTTTGACGAGAAATGGCATCTTTTGTCGGTAACCCACTTGCCCTAAATCTCCGGGTCAATCGCCCGATATCCTCCCGGGATCTCACCCTAATCCACGTGGCCCTACGAGGATAAAAGTCAAATCCCCGGGTCATGAACGAGGAGAGTTCGGTGGGGATAAGAAGCAGAAGCAGAGAAAAAGGAGGAAGAGGAAGATGTTGAGTTCGAGATGTGTGGGCGGCGGCGAGGAGGGCTCCCCGAAGGTCCGCCGGTGGGCGGAATCCGACGCGGAGTTCCTGCGGGGGATCGCTGAGGGAGAGGAGGGCTCCCCGGCGACGGCGGAGCAGCTCCGCCGGCGGCGAGTCCTGAAGAGCTACACCTTCTCGAGGAAGGAGGGGCTGGTGGAGAAACTGAGGAGGTGGCTGCTGGAGAAGAAGAGGAGAGGGAAAGTGAAGAGAGAGAAGGACGTCACCTACGGCCCTTCCTGCTTCAAACTCGCCTTCTCCTGTGCCGTGAGAGTTGACCTTTCCGAACCCTAGAGAGAGAGAGAGGGAGAGAGAGGGAGGTGGGCCTTTTGGTAGTAGCCCACCGGACGGGGGTGGGCCATTCTTGTGACCCATGTAAGTTATCCTCTCTCTCTCTCTCATGAAATGAGTCCACCGGGAGACTTGAAGCTTCAAGTGGACGGATATTAACCGCCCGAATCCCAAGGAAAGGTCAACGTTCATCTGTTTGCTGCTCCGATGGTAAGTTGGCGGTTTGAACGGGTGGGGTTGACCCAGTCAAGAGTTGGAAAGGGATTTTTTACTGAGTTCTTGAGGCGTTGACCAGTTGGACGGATGCCGTCACCGCCCGGTCACCATGAGGTAGAAGCTGGGGGTGGAGACGGCGAGCCGTCCTTTCTGGTCTCCTTCTTGAGCACAGCCAACAGAAGTCCCTCTCCCCTGGTCCCCTTCACTACAACTGGCCAGCCCCATCGACAGAGAGACACGTAGGAAGAGAGAGAAAGAAACGCATCTGCCCTGGAAGATGCGAAAGGCAGAGAGAGAGAGAGAGGTCCGTCGACGAAATCAACCAACTGGAGATGGACATATAGATTATTGATTCCACGTGATGGTGCCACTGGGGATGCGCCACATGTGCCCCAACCTACGTGGGCACCCCGTGGGCACCCCGTGGGCACCCCGTGGCCAGTCCCTCTTGTGGGCCCTCTATGTCTACGTCACCCACTAGCCGTCACGGTCCCATTGATTCCCGCCATTTTTTTGGGACGAGCCAATCCTCGAGCATTGGTGGCTCCGTTATTTTCCCTCAGAACCGTCGTCTCACCCATCCCCTCCGAAAGGGGAGGGGAGGAGGGGAGAAAAGTACGGAAGGGACGAGGGAGTTCCTGGCCTGACTTCCCGAAGGAGATCTGATCCGGTCTGTGCAGAAAATGACCGGCGGGAGCGGGACGAAGGGGGACGAACGGCGACCAGAGAGGTAATCCGGCGGCCGACGAAAGCGACGTGAATTGAAGGAAGGAGATCCAGCAGATCCCAGTGGAGCAGGGCCGCCCCGGCCCTCCGAGATCCCCCAACCTCCCTCTGACGAGCCATCCCCGAGGTAAGAGTACGACTGATCGAGCAGCATTAATTTCTCTAGGGCTCGTCTGTTGAAAATCTGCGACGCAGAGGGATCGAGCACCTTATATCAGTTCTCTCCCCTGCCGTCTCCCTCCACTTCATCTGGCGAGGTCGAGAGGTCGAGAGGTCGAGGAGGGTGGAGCCGTGTGAGCCCTACCATGCCGGACGCCGCCGATCTCTCCAGATCCGAAATGATGTGGTGTAGCAACTTGGGGGCGGGGGTGGGGATCGTCGTCTTCTACTTCCTCAGCATTAAAATATTGTTCGTTGACTTCTCCCACTGGCGTAAATCGGATCTTCTCATTTTTCATATTTTCATACTTCTAAAAATTGAGGGATCTGATATTTTTGAAAAATATATACTGATTAATATTCCAATAAAAACTAGGCTCTATATATCCATTTATATATCCATATATCTATCTCTTATCGACGTAAACACTAAACAATGTGAATTATTTTTAAAAAACAAAATATAAATTTATTTTTTTGGAAAATTATTCCCCAAAGTATAGTTTACCTGTCTCTCTCTCTCGCTAGATATACATATATATCACATAGTAAATTCTGATGCCCACGTTGGGAATGCAAGCGTATAAACTTCTTCATCCAAATTCATAAATGCCAATGATTAAGTAATGTTAATAGGAATAAATGTCCTTCAACCCCCCCCCCCCTCCCCCCTCCCCCCTTACACAAAAGACCATGCAAATCCGCAACACCCACGCATTGACTTTTGGAAGCATGCAAGTGCGGTAGAAAAGTCAACGCTATTTTGGAAGGGGGACCACGGTGTTTCAATATGGGTCAACCTGTTACTGTGGTATTAAATCTCCTCTCACGCATGCTACCACTTGCTCTATATTTTATCATAGAACAATGGATGGGAAGGCCCGGGACATTTGCACATTGCCCCCTCAATAATATCTCATTGAGGCAGCAAACCCTCTCTCTCTCTAAAAAATGTGTCACTGTTGATGGATTTTAATTTCGTATTATTTTTTTCAAATATAACATATTCATTTAATGACGTATATTTTGAGATAATTTCAGCAAAAAAAGATTTAGTAAATTAGCTTGTATATTAAAGTTTCATTTTTTTAATGGTGGCGCATTTATGAGGACATCCTGGAAAAACGGGACACGATCTGTGAATTAACGATTAAACCCCTATAAAAAATAGGAATAGCAAAACTGACCCCCGATCATCACTGCGGAGGGAGCGGACGGTGGGCGATTGAGACAGGTGGACGACAGAATTGATGGCTTCCAATAGATGGCTTCCAATAATTGATGGGGCCCACTTTTTTTTTTGACCCCCACCCCCGCAAAGCGACAGAATTGGCTACCCGACCTTCTTATCGTGCGCCTCAAGAAGAACACCTAAAATGACCGTCCGATCGAGGCCCCTCCTCTCTCATTTGCGGCTGAGATCAACCTGCCCGACGAATCCGTTGCCACGGGCTTACTTCTCTCAGAACCCTCAAAAGATTATTAATTGTGAATAAACCATAGATGTGTGGCATTGAAAGAAGCACGTGTATAGATATTCGGCATTGCCATTGAGATTCTTTCTCTTATGATACTAATGTGAAAAAAAAAACACACTAATTTGACTATGAAAGCGGGCAATTATCAATTATCAATTATTCTGGGAGTTAATCATGCGCGAGTGCTAATGACCCGGGCTATTAAAAAGCCCAAGAAAAAGCCCGCGGGCCATTCAATGGGAACCATCCGATCAATCTCCGACGGTCATCCCTCAGCAACATGGCCCTTTAGCCTAGACTTGGGTCAGGAGTAGCCGTAGGGAAGAAGCCAGGCCCTTTGAATTCCAAATTGTGCCGGAAGAAAAAGCCCACGAAGGAGAACTCTCTCTCTCTCTCTCTCTCTCTCTCTCTCTCTCTCCCTCTCTTACAGCAGGCTTGGAAGCCCGCTAAATTCCCTAGGGAGGCCCCGAGCCCGAAGAAGTGTGGGGGAATGACGAAAATGCCCCAGGGGGTTGCACGGACGGGTCGATTTCGGGGAAAAGGAAAAGGGAAGGTCACTCGGTTTTGTTTTGTTTTGTTTTATTTTATTTTATTTTTTCAGCGTGAGACACGGTTTCTGTAATTTTTATATTTCCCATAATTCCGAAAGCAAAGTAAAAACTGTATGGGGGCGATATCAGAGGAGAGGAGAGAGAGAAGAGAGAGTAAGGAAAGGAAGGGAGCAGCTACCCTCTCCTCTCCTCTTCTCGGTCGCACCAGTCCTTGGGGAAGGAAGAAGAAAGAGAGAGAGAGAGAGCGAGAGAGAGAGAGAGCGAGAGAGAGAGCTAGAGAGAGAGCTAGAGGGAGGGTCTCTCATATGCGGGCTTCTTCATGTTCCGTCGTTCGCCCAAGCCTGTGAAAGCGAGAACGTCTGGAGGAGTTGTGGAGGATCTGATCGGGGGTTTTCTGCGTGTTGGTGGAGAGGAGAGGAGGGGGGGGGAGGATGGCCATAGCGGGGAAGGGCGAGAAGCCGGCAGAGTAGCGCCGCCTGCTCTTTCACATCGCCGTCGCCTCACAACCAAGCCATCCGTCTATGTCACAGGGCTTCTACCAGGGCCTCTTCACCTTCCCCGATGGCGTCCATGAGCCCAACGGCGCCGCTGGCAACCTGCTCTCGGACATGTTCAATTTACCCTCCGGCGGGGGCTCCCAGGCTGCTGACCTCGCCGCCAGCCAGATCCCGCCAAATTTCCGCCACCAGAGATCCGCCCCCTCGGAAGCGGGGCCGCCCTCCTTCTCTGGAGACTGGTATGCCGGCGGCGGCAGCATGACCCACCTGGCAAACGCAGCAGCGAAGCCGGCACCACTGCCGCAGCCGCATAATTTCCCCGGTTTGAACGCCGCCACCGCTATGCAACTGTTCCTGCTCAATCCCCAGCAGCAAAGGCCGCCGCCCCACTCGGCCGCGCTACCACATCCCTACTTCTTTCCGGCCGAGCAGGTGGAGTACGGGGGATCCTTCTCGGCGGCGCAGGGGCTGAGGCAATCGAGGTACGCTCGCGCCGCTCAGGAGCTTCTGGAGGAGTTCTGCAGCGTAGTGAGGGGGCAGATGAGGGCGAGGGGAGGAGGAGGGAGGGGGAAGAGACAGGTTTCCTCCTCCTCCTCCGCCGTCACCGGCGACGGTGGGCCGTCCGCCACCGCCCCCGGTATGGAGGCCCCCGTCGACAGGTTCGAACAGCAAAGGAAGAAGGCTCAGCTCTTGTCCATGCTCAATGAGGCACGTAGTCTTACATCTCTCTCGCTCCTCTCTCTCTCTCTCTCTCTCTCTCTTAACCCCACCTCCCTCTCTCTCTCTTTTGCACCAGCTTTCCCCTTTCTCGTCTGTCGTACCTCTTTCTTCCTTCGCTTCCTGTCTCCCACCTTCCCCCTCCTGCACTGCCCACCAGTGAAACCCTAGGCGATATTGGCCCCGCGATCCTCTTGCTCTCTCTCTCTCTCTCCATCCCCATTCAGATCTACTCCAAAAACTCCTCAGAGAAACCTGGGGTTGAGCGCGAGGATAGATGCCTCCTGGTCTGAGTTGACTTTGAGGGGCTGTGATGGGGAAATCGTGATCCACATCATAATTGGCACTCTTCTTCTTGTTGTTCTTCTTCCCCCTGCCTCCATGGTTACGACAATTCCCCGAAGAAGAAACGTGGGAATATCGAGTTATTCTCTCAGACATCCTTTCCATTCTCAGGAAAGAAAAAAAAGAGAGCAGTGTAAATCCATGCAACCGAAGTCCCCCCCCCCTTCTCTCTCTCTCTCTCTCTCTCTCTCTCTCTTTCTTTCCTTCTCTCGCTTGTCCTCCTAGTTTCCCTGAACTCAGAGGCCGCGACTGAGGAATCATCTTTTTTCTGCTCTATCTTGTAGTAATGGCGGGGCGTTCACCATATCTCTATCGCTCTCTCTCTGTCTCATGGCCGCGAGTTAACCATCTTTCTTCTGCTATCTTCATCCTCTCTCTCTCTTTCTCGCACTCCCTCTCGTGGTATTAGATTGACCATCTCTCTTCTTCCTCTTCCCTCTTTCTCGCACTCACACTCATGGTAGTAGATTAACCGTCTTTCTTCTTCGTCCTCCTCTCTCTCTCTCTCTCTCCCTCTCCCTCTTTCTCATAGAAGTAGATTTGCCGTCTTTCCTCTCTCCTCTCCCTCTCTTTCTCATGGTAGTAGATTAACCGTTTTCTTCCTCCTTCCCCCCCTCTCTCTCTCGGTAGTAGATTAACCGTCTTTCTTCTTCTTCCTCTCTCCTTCTAATGGCGGTGGACAAACCATTCATTCTTCTTCCTCTCTTTCTAATGAAGGTGGATTAACATCGTCCTTCCTCTCTCTCTCTCTCTCTCGCTACTGGTTACGGACTAATAATATCTTTCTTCCACTCTCTTTCTCGAACCGCAGTTGATTATCCATATCTGTCTTCTCTCTCTCTCCCTCTCTCTCTCTCTCTCTCTCGCTACTGGTTACGGACTAATAATATCTTTCTTCCACTCTCTTTCTCGAACCGCAGTTGATTATCCACAACTGTCTTCTCTCTCTCTCTCATCTTCTTTCTCCTCCCCCTCTCCCACCGTAATGCCCGTAAATTCACCACCTTCCTTCTTCTTATCTTCTCCCTCCCTCTCTCTCTCTCTCTTGTTTTCTCGAGTCCATCCATTTCCATGAGCACTGAGCCGTGAGTGTTCTGGTGGCGGCGTTGGAACAGATCGATAGAAGATACAGCAGCTACTGCGACCAGATGCAGGCGGTGATGAGCTCCTTCGACTCCGCCATGGGCCTCGGCTCAGCGATCCCCTACACCGCCCTCGCCCGCCAGGCCATGTCCCGCCATTTTCGCGCCCTCAAGGACGCCGTCGCCGCTCAGCTCCGCAGGACCTGCTCGCTGCTCGGCGAGGACGCTGGCGGCGGCGGCGGCGGAGGAGCTGCGGGGCTCACCAAGGGAGAGACCCCGCGGCTGAGGCTGCTCGAGCAGAGCCTGTGGCGGCAGCGATCGCTCAGCCACGGCGGCGCCGCTCTCGAGCAGGAGACATGGCGACCGCAGAGGGGCCTGCCGGAGCGCTCCGTCAAGGTCCTCCGGGCTTGGCTCTTCGAGCACTTCCTTCACCCGTAAGCTCTCTCTCTCTCTCCTGTTTCTCTCTGTATCTTTGTCTGTAGAGATGTGGGATGAGATCTAGCCGCCGATCCAGCGGAGATTAACCGTGGCAGCCATATGAAACTTTCTCTCTCTTCCTTCACTTACACTGTCGACTGTCCTTTCCCCCCTTCCTCCTCCCATTCCCCACCTCTGCTCTGCTGTGCATGGACCTTTTATGAGGTAACTGACGATGCTCTCTCTCTCTCTCTCTACAGGTACCCTAGTGATGCAGACAAGCATTCGTTGGCGAGACAGACGGGTCTGTCGAGAAGCCAGGTCAGTTTCCTCCCTTCAATTATGAGAGATGAAGTACGACCTCACCTAGCCCTGTAAGAGAAAGAGAGAGAGAGAGAGAACCATAAAATATAATAAACACGAAAATGAAAATGGTTGACACTAATTTATCTGATTCTTTAGAGACCAAATAGGAGGACGATTGATCCATATGAACTGAGAATTTCTGTGGTTAAATAATATCATAAAATTAATTATATGGTTAGGGTTTATGTGGGAGGTCAACTGGCCGGACCTAGCCATGGCTCTCTCCTGGGGATGAGATCACGTATTTGAGAGCCCAAGAAGGAAAGCTCTATTTCTGCCTCCTTAGGTTAGTGTTAGAACACCAGTACACACACTTTCTCCCTCTAGATCTAAGCTAAGGAAGAACAGTGTATAAATAATATAAAGTTTTACTCTTTCTCTCTCCTGGGTAGTCACCGAACAGTTTACTCTCCCTCTCTCTCTAAGCCGACTGAACAAATGAAAGATAATCTGTAAATGTACACAACCTATGAAAATTCAAAACTTATGAAGATAATCCTACTAATATCCCTCTACACCCATTAAAAAATCCAAATGATTCCTCCCTTTCTCCTACTAGTGTGAGTACAGTACTCTCTCTCTCCGCTTGTGTAGTGATAGAGCACACGCACACACACTCTCTCCTCTCTCTCTCTCTCGCGCTGAAGTGAGCGAGCAGTACTTTCTCTCTCTATCTGTCTTTCACACACAGAGATCCTACCAAGCAGCGACATAAGCATTAAATATCCCCCATCGGGTCTCGCTCTCTCTCCCCTCTGTGGATTTCACCTTCCCAAGGGCGCTCTCCCTCTCTCTCCGGGGCCTTCCCCATTTACTATTCGCTGCCATGGTCGGCAGCTCACACAGGCCATCTGGGCATCACCCTCTGCAGGTCTCCAACTGGTTCATCAATGCCAGGGTTCGCCTGTGGAAGCCCATGGTTGAGGAGATGTACCAGAAGGAGTCCACGGCGGCGGAGGACCAGACTCCGCCGCCGGAGCCGGCACCGGGAGGGGCCGGCGAGGGCAGTTCGTGGTCGCCGGCGCCGTCCCACCGGAGCCAGCAGTACCAGCAGGAGCGCCTTGCCCCCTGGGAAGCAGCGGCGGCGGCGCGGCACGGAGACGGCGTCGACATGGCGGCGCTGCTCGTCGGCGATCTCTGCGAGCTCGGCGGCGCCGCCGGGCTCGCCACTTCCGGCGACGTCTCCCTCACCCTCGGCCTCCGCCACGCCGGCAACTCTCCGGCGATGCGGAGGTTTCCCGGCGAGGGCTTCTGAGAGATCTCCCCAGCCCACCCCTTTCCCCCCCCCCATGATGACGTCATCATCTAGGATTTTCCACCCATATCTGTACACTGAAATTCAATATAAACTGTATAGCTGAATTTTTCTTATTTTTTATTTCAACTGCATAGCTGTAAAATGGATCCAAGACCGACCCGTGGACCTGTACGGCCCATTAATGTCGGACCAGGATTGGGCCGGCCCAATAACAACTTGAACGTTGTATCATGCAACGGGAAGGTAGAGAGAGAGAGAGGGAGAGAGCTTCAAAAGCCAGCCAAGCCCCTGTTTTTTCAGAAAAGAAGAAAGGGAGTCGAAAACTCAGACTGGAGTTCTTAAAAGAGACATGAGAGAGAGAGAGAGAGAGAGAGAGGCCAGTTGTCGGAGAGGAGATGACCAGGGAGCATCAAAGTCAAAGGTCAAAGTCAACCTCCAACCTGCCCGCCGGTACCAACGAGCTCCACGTTGAGTGGATGGAGGGCGATCAGAACTTCAAAAGTCTCAGCCCCACCCCCTCCCCCTCCTCTATCATCAACCTCCACAAGCATCCCCTTGCTGCTGGTGGCGGTGGCGGTGCTGCTCCATGAAAGGCCTGATGAAGGTCCTGCGCCACCAGACCTCGAATGCCCGCTGGAGATTAGGGCAGCCATCGCCGGCCTTCAAGAAGCTGCCGAGCCAGGAGAGGAGGACGCTCTGCTGGTCCTCCAGGGGGAGGGTGAGGATCGTCTTCCCGATCCCCTCCTCCACCACCTTCCCGTCGAAGGACCGCCGCCGGTGCTGCAACCAGTTGAAGTCCTCGATCAGCGGCTGCAGCCACAGCCGGAGGAGCCGCCGGCGGGTCTCCTTCGCCGGCAGCACCTCCCCTCTGCCGATCCCCACGAACAGCCTCGCCGTCACGCAGCTCACCAGGTGGCGCGACGCCACTGGCAGCCTCCGGTGCAGCGCCGCCAGCTCCTCCTGCCCGGCCCACACTCCGGCGAACTCCTCCGCCGCGCGCCGCTCCGCCATGATCTCCACGAGCCACAGCAGGTTGTCGGCCTCGAGGCAGATCTCCCGCCGGAGCTTCTCCGCCGCCGCCGCCGCCGCCGCCGCATCCTCTTCGGAAGCGCGCCGGAAGAGCGACATTAGCGACTCCAAGCAGCTCCGCGAGGAGTCGTAGAGCGTCCCCAAGCATACGTCTCCGGCGGCGCCGCCGCTGCCGCCGATCAGGAGGCTGTTCTCCTTCAGAAGCTTGAGCACCAGGGACTTCATCTCCCGGCGGCCCTTGTCCTCGCCGCTGCGGAGAACCAGCTCGATGATCCGTTCGATGGTCTCGTTGGGTGCGGTGGCGGCCTCCGACGAGACCCGCCGGAGGATCCTGCTGGCCCCGAGGTTCTTCGCGTGGAGGTGCCGCACGGAGGAGACCACGCTCTCCTCCTCCTCCTCCACCCACGGCACCGCCTCCAGGTGCTCCAGGCACGCCCTCACGCAGGCCTGGAACCCTAGCGCCTCCGCCACCTGCGCAAAAGAAGACAATGAAGGAACGGACGAAGAAGACGATGGAGAAGAAGAAGAAGAAGAAGAAGAAGAAGAAGAAGAAGAAGAAGGTTCCTCGGGACCTTCATTATGCGGAGGACTCGGGGAACGCTCTGCTTGATAAGCCTCTGCTTCACGTCCTTGGAGTACATCAACCCCACGGTCTCGACGTAGATCTCCACATCCTCGCAATCGGGAAGGTCCAGGCACGGCGGTGGAGACTGGGGGACGGCGGACAGGCGGTCGGCGAAGAAGATGCTGTGCTCTGCGAGGACGTCCCTGTGGACGTTCATCCTCACGGGGATGCCCTCCTTCCCGGAGAGGAGGACCTTCAGGTCGCTGGTCTCGGGTTGGCCGAAGCCGACGGTGATCTTCCGCTGAGAAGAGTTCTCCGAGCTCCTCTTCGGCGTCCTCGCCGGAGCTCCGCCAGTGGCGGCGGCGGGGTTCGAACCAGGCGCCTCGGGGATCGGTGATCTCTCCGCCGGCAGGAGCTGCGTCCGGTGGAGGGAGACCTTCGTCGGAGCCGGCGAGGGAGGGGTAGGGGAGGGCCTGGAGTTGCCATGAAAGCTCTGGTTCTTCATCGTCTTCTGGAAGGCTGCGGGGGAGGGGCAGCACCAGAACCCTTCTGGGGTGACGGCGATGGGCACGTTCCTGATCTTCGCTTGGCCCGTCTCCATCCTCTTGACTCTGAGGTCCGCCATTCCTCGGTGGATTGATTCTCTGCTCCAATATTTATCTACAGCTGCTCCTTCCTACAAGAATCGAGATCCCCTGCAGATCGGATTAGGCTCCTCAGATACCGAAGCTGATGATGAACCAAGATGTCCATTTTTCTTCAGAACATGTCCTGCGGAGAGAAAACCAGCCTCAGGTGAAAGCAGCAGGGTAGAAGAAGCGGAAGAAGGTGGCCACACTAAGCACAGAAATATCAGTGTATCGGCGGAATGCTTAGAACCCTAATTCGAGATTCAGCGATTCAATCCCGACCAACTGGAGATGAACAGGCGCTCAAGAAACAGCGGAGACACAGATGAACGCAGAGAGAGACATTTGTATCGTAACCTTCACGAGATCACCGGCAGGGGCTAGCGCCGCCAGGCCGTCGGAGAAGCAACTACAGATGAAACGAGGAGCTTCGAGTTTAAACAGGCGGGAGAAAGAGAGGAGAGGAAGAAGACTCCAGAGAGTCGGACTCGAAGAGAGGGGGGAGGCAGGAACAGGAAAACAAATCGCCGAGGTCAACATAGCAATCAAATGGATCAGTGAATTGAATTCGCGAACTACTTACAGTATTCTTCCCCAACGATTCTTCTGGGCCGCTGACTTCACCTCTGATCGCCCCTTCCTTCCCCATTTGCTTCTCTCCTCTGGATCGCGCAGCCACTGATGAATGAACCCGAGCTTGTGCTGTCGAGAATGCAGGGAGGAAGAACCCTGATGGCCCTTTTTGCTGTCGCAGAAAGAAGAAAGAGAGCTGTCCCTACTTTACCCACACGCGACACACACCTCCATCATCTCCTGTGTCCTCACTCCCAAACCCCAATCCTGGTCTGGTCTCTTTATACGGCGGACCATGGAAGCCAATGGAAGGGAGGGGTGTAGACGCTCCTCTCTCTCTCTCTCTCTCTCTCTCCTTGTCTCCTGGCGTGCAGAAAGATAGAGACAGCAGAATCAGGTCGCAGGAGTGGAAAAGACCATGGTACACTCCGACTGTAAGCATCTCCAACAAGCAGCTTTGATGGAATCCAGAAGGAAATGCCGGTTGCTGAAGGAGGAAATTAGGCCTCCCCACCCACAACTCTCTCGAAATCTGCTCCTCCCAGGGCTTGGGCCCCGCCCGCCCCCGTCCATCTGAGCCAAGAACAGATACAGATGAGCGACAAGCTCACCCTGAATTCCCTCCCTCCGGATTCCTAGATGGCCGCAAACATCCACCGCAAGGTGCTTTCACTTTCACACCCGCCCCGACCTGCTACAGCAACTTTCACGAGAAACCATGCCCTAATCCGAGAGGGAGAGATAACGTGCCAGCATTCTCGGGAGACGCAAAATAAAGAAACCTCCGCATGTTCAGATTCCTCTTCTGCGACGACGATGCCGACGAACAGCCATCCTAAAGTTCTTCATAATTTCCACAAATCTCCACTCGCGCAACATCAAATCCCGCTTCCGTAGAGGATTATGACCACGACCTGGAAACAATCCAAAAAAATAAATCCATCAAATCCTACAAACCCCTTCACCGGGGAGAAACACAGACAGAATCCGGCCTCAATCCAGTCCCGCTTCCGCAGACGACTACGTCGACCATCTGCAATTAATCAATCAATCCAGATTTTTTTTTCCAAGAAATCCTACAAATAGACTCCGAACCGTGTTCTTCACGGATTCAAGCGACTCCAGGATCACACTCCGGATTGAGATGCTCATGATCGTGGGACGGCCACCGCGGCCACCGCTGGCGGCGGCAGATGGGGATCGCTCCTCGAGTACACGCAGAAGCCGACAGAGGAACGCCCACACCGGCGGCGGTTCCCCCGTGAGCGGCACTGCCGGTCGAGGCGTGCTTCGGAGCGCGGGAACTGCGTGACCTCCAGTCCCCCTTTGACTCTTCCCCCTCTTTTTGAATTAATTCATTAATTAGTTAATTAATTAGTGGCAGAAAAGTCATTTTCCTTTAAATTGATATGAATTAATTATTGGGCTGGGCGGGCCAGGCCGGCAGATCGAAACCATGTCCGTTTGCATTGTTGGGCCCAGGCCCGCATATAGGCCCAGCTCCCCATCAGCTCCTCCCCTAATGTGAAAAATAAAGGGAAAATTTCTCCTTACGGATTGTTTTTGAATTTAAATATAATTAAATATAATAATTTATACCATAATTAAATAATAATAACCAGATCCAACGAAAGCGTGTGATTTTATTATCGGGCTATCGGATCCAACCCGGGCCCTAGCCTCCTCCAGCGCCGGCGACGATCTGCGGCAATGCCGACGACGACACGTGGCTCATTCCGGCATGACTCCACCCTCCAATGATCAACCCCAACCGTCCGATCGGCTCTTGACGGACGCAAGCGAGGGTGCATGGCGGCGTTTCCCAAAAAGCTTGTTTTTTCCGAACTCTTCCGGCAGTAGGCTGAGCCATCGGTGGCCGGACTCTTCCGGCGGGGCAGCTCTCTGGCTCCCCATCTCTCTCTCTCTCTCTCTCTCTCTCTGTTCCTGAACGGGAGATGAACTGTTCGATATAATTACATCCTCGTAGAAAAGTCAATTCTTCTGCAGGAAGCGCCTCTAATTTCTTCCAATGCTCCACTCAAAATTACTCTTTTCTCCTCTCTCTCTCTACTACACGAACATATCTAGAGAGAGAGAGAGAGAGGGAGAAATAAAGTGGGTCCCACTTTCGAGGGGGGCTGCATAGCCAAGTCCACGGGATTTATGAAAATATATTATCCCGGATGTTATTTCCATTTTTGGGATAATCAATATGATATGTAAATTTCTCATTCGGACGCCCAGAGCCTTGTCGGGCCCAGGTCGGGATTCTTCGGGCCTGCGCCCATCCATGTTTACCGGCTTCTCTCTCACTCCCTCTCTCTCTCTGGCTAGAATATGTGGAGATGGAGGCCCGGTCCGGGCCAACACAGGCTAGAACGGGCTTAGATATTATAGGCTCGAAGCCCAGAGGCCCGTTCCTAGCATTGTAAAAGGCCTACGGAAAAGCTCAGTTTGGCAGGAACCCGCCCGGCCCGTTGTCTTATTCGGAGTTTTAAATCGCAGTTTTACCCCCACCCTAAACTAAAAAGACGCATTTACCCTCTACAGACATTCTCTCTCTATCTCTTCTTTCTCTCTCTTCTCTCTATGCCTTTGGAATTGATTCTCTCTCCGCCTGTGACGCTCGCTGTATGAGGAGGGGGGGGGGGAGGGAAGAGGAGATGATCGGGGAGGAGGGGGAGGGGGCGGCTCGACAGATCGGAAGAGTTGTTTGAGGGATTCAGAGAGGAGCGGGGAATCCGCAGAAGCGGAGAACCCCTCGAAAAGTCGCAAAAATCAAAGGCAGAAATCGGGAGAATTTCCCGCGGTGGAAGGGAAAGGCGAAACGGCAGCGAGGATTCCACGAAACACGGCTCTCTCTCTCTCTCCCTCTCTCTCTGTCTCTCTGTCTGATTCTCTCTCTCCTGAAGTCCTGGTCTACCCGGCTCTTCGGTTCTCTCTGTCTGGGCGTTCGTCACAGACGCCGACGACGCACCCAGTCGCCGGCCCGTCTGTCCGCTATCACCGCCGCTCGAGGTTGGACGCCCTCTCTGCGGCGGCGCAATGCCGGACTCTTGTGAATACTCCTCGAGTGGGGAGAGCGACTACGACAGCGATCGGGACTCGATCGGGGCGTTCGAGAATGACGATGTCGAGGCCGACTGCGGGGCCTCCTCGTCAGCCCGGTCCTCTACTCAGGTAAAGCAGCGCATGACGTCTCCGGTTGGATTTTTCCATCCTTCGGTACTCTTACCTTATTCGATTTGTGCGATGATCGATTTTTTGCTTTTCGTGGGGCTCAGCTGGTATGTAATTTTAAGGTTTCGAGGTCTGTGAATTTGGCGCGGTCTTCGACTTGTGGGTCTGGATTGGAACACGAATTTGAATCTAGGGGTGCACCTGCTGCTTTTCCCTGCGCTTGCTTTATTGTGAACGAGGAATTTGAATTGGGGGGATCCTGCTTATTCCTGTTTGTTTGATCTGTTTGCCCTGGGTAATGTTGTTTTTCCTCTAGTCTGTTATTGTTCTTCTCGTTCCCATGGAGTAGATATCATGGTAGTTCTGCCTTTCTTGTAGAGCGAGATCAGCAAAAATGAATTGTTGCGGAACTTAATTCATACTTTTTGTTTTTTTTGTAGGTGATTACGAAGGAGTCCTTGTTGGCAGCGCAGGTATTACTTTGAACTTTGCCCCAAACTAAGATGTGGGAATTTAATTGTTTTTAATTTACTTTTGAAGATGTTTGTTACTCATAATTCTCTAGTTGAAGGTTTGGACAATCATTATCTTTATTATTTCAATATTTTCAGAAGAAGCAGACCGAACTTCATATTGTAGCTCGGTTTTCTTGTCTCTATCATGCCTTTGAATGTCTTTCGACCTGGTTAACTGTTGTAAATCTATTTTGCTAAGTCAATGGCTTCTGAGCTATGTTCTCTTTCTTTGCGGTCTTGTAGAGAGAGGACTTGCATAGGGTCATGGACTTGCTACAGTTGCCCGAGCAGCATGCCAGGACGCTACTTATCTGTCACCGATGGGATGTTGACAAGATTTTTGCGATTCTTGTGGAAAGGGGGAGAGATCGGTTATTTTCGGATGCTGGAGTAACTTTACTGGATTCTAGGGATTTCCCTTCGTCCGTGTCTTCATCTCCATTTTCGTGCAATATCTGTTTTGAGGATGTTGCTCCCGTCAACACCACCAAGATGGACTGCGGGCACTGTTACTGTAATGACTGTAAGTTTTCTAATTTTTGATTTATTTGATATTACTGGTTGATTGTTGCAAGATAATTCAATAGTCATTAGATAGGCCTTGTCATAAGCGTTGGGATGGATGGTAATGAATTTTAGGATGGGCTAGCATATTATCTGGGAAAGAATAAGGAACCTTTTAGTATCTCGGAGGGAACGAGGGATCTTTTCGTAGGCTAACATAATAGTTGATAGCGGGCAAGGATGTGATAGTATTTTAGTAAGATCAAGGGTCTGTAGCAAACTACTTAAGAACGTGGAAGGGATCTGATCGTGTTGAAATCTGATATCTCAACCTTGAAATTTTGTAAACAGCACCAACAGAAAATGGGATAGAATATGCCTACAGAAATAGGGGTAACTTTCCATGAAAATTCCGAAATAAGCACATGTTCCTGCTAAACTGACATCTTCTAATAATACCTTGTCAAGTATCTTGTTGTTAATTTCATGGATGTCCGTATTTAAATGTTTTCTCAAATAGAAATTTCAGCAGCATCAGGTAAAATATTGTCCGCATTTTATAGGAAGTTGGTATACACAGAAGAGTGAATAGAATAAGAAAGATACTGCTGGCATGTGTGGGTTGGATGGATAGAGTGTTGGCTGATGGAGCAGGCAAAAAGGAATTGAAGAGAGTTGAGCTTGGGAGAGGTTTGTGGGACCTCAAATGGGCGGAACTAGTTGTGGTTAAGAATTGGAGGTTAGGATGTAATTGCTTGCCAGATGGTCAAACTGACAAGAGATGGGTTCCAGGAGAGATTTTTCTTGTCGTTGATTTTGCTACAGGCCAATGCGGGTAGATTCCAACAGCTGATTAGAGTTTGCATTGACTTGCCGGATATTTACTTCTCATGTCATGATTCCTCCCGTTTGTTTACTTAGTTCGAGGCTAAAAATATGTATAATATTTTCTTCCAACGAGAAAATACTCTCGGTTTTTCAATATGATGAATATAATGCACAGTATGTTAAGTTTGCCGAAGAACTATAGCATATTCTTTATAAAATTTGGCACCCCCAAAAAGATGTTGCATTTATTTGACAACGTGGAGATTGTCAGGAAAGAGTCAGGATATGATTATTACAATAATTACGATGAAAATTTATCTCAGGACAAGAAAATACATATGGGGCACATCTTTATGAGCTTTGTGTAAGAGATTCTTCGGTTGACTAAATTTTCGATAGAATTCTCGCAACTGCATAGTTCTGTAGGGAACAGAATTTGATCTTTCATGGTGTTATATGCAAATTCCTTATTTTATCTTAATGCATTTTGTGGAATATCCCACCTTTCTGGAAAAAAAGAGTTTGTGCCTGGACTAGAAAATATATTTGCAGGAAGTGTTCCTTTCTTTCCTCCATACTTGAAGGAACTCTGCTAACCTCCTGCTTATTATGGCTGAAAATGCTAAGCAATGTTTAAATCCAATCCTCTCTGTTTCATATTCTCATAGCCCTTTTGACTCAGGCTGCATTTTCACGATTCGTTGAAGCGCTTATATATTATTATTAGTCTTTGGTATGTAGGAGTTGAAGAACCAGCTGCTATAAGGTGTTGTTTTCTGAATAGTTCTTGAATCTTCTTTTTTATGAAGGTTGGACTGAACACTTCATTGTCAAGATTAATGATGGCCAAAGTCGTCGAGTTAGGTGCATGGCTCCCAAGTGCAATGCTATATGTGATGAAGCAGTCGTTAGGAAGCTAGTTAACACAAAGGATCCTGACATGGCAGACCGATTTGAGCGTTTTCTCCTAGAATCATACATTGAGGACAATAATAAAGTTAATTGGTGCCCAAGTGTTCCCCATTGTGGAAATGCGATACGTGTTGATGGCGATGTCTATTGCGAGGTGGAATGTGCGTGTGGCTTACAGTTTTGTTTTGGTTGTCTATCAGAAGCACACTCTCCATGCTCATGTCAAATGTGGCGACTTTGGGAAAAGAAGTGCCGTGATGAATCCGAAACTGTCAATTGGATAACAGCTAACACAAAGTCATGCCCCAAATGTTTCAAGCATGTAGAAAAAAACGGTGGCTGCAATCTTGTTACATGTATTTGTGGGCAAGCATTCTGGTAAGGATTTCATATGCTCTCTTCTTTCCCTTAGTCTTTGTTTAGATTGTTTTAATTATATTTTTTTTCGTAGCTTCTCATTAACCACATTTTTTCAAGATTATTTGTTCAGTTCGTCTCCTGACCATATCTTGACTGCATAACCTGCTGGCGGCTGAAGTTTATCTTTAGTAAAGAGTTCCTATGCAAAGTAAATGCTTCATTCTTTGGGTCCTGATAGTCACAAATGATATTAGATGCTGGGAATTTCTTCACGGATATTGACAGTTTGTTTGAACTATATGTCTCATGTTAGTATTTAGACAGCAGTTGTATGCTGGATCAAAGGTCTTGGTTCAGTGGCTCTTGGGCATAGCTAAAGGCTTAGGTCATCGATTCCATCATTTACCAAGTATACAGGTTTCATTTGGCACGCATATCAAACATATTCCTCTTTTAGCTGCCAACTGATCATAGGAGAACGTCTGCCAAAGCAGAGCGGTGCCATCAATTTGACATCATAAAACCACTTGAATCCATAAAAGATATTCTATGCTAAATTTTTCTCATAAAAATTACATCTATCATGGGGGTTAGATTTATTATATATGGCTGCTGGTTCTTATCATTTATTTTTTTAAGTTGTAAATCATGTTCTTTTCTTATATAACAGATATAGGTTTGATCTTCTAAAAAAACGTTTTTGCATATGAACAGATATTCTAGTTAGTGTTCTCTAAAACTATTCAGACGCAATTTTCCCTCGGAAATGAAATGAATACTGTTAAAATGCCTTTTAATCTAAATTTCAAATGGAATTACCCTTTGTGGTCATGACTACTTTGGTTACTGCGATGACGAGAATAATGGTGTTCTCCACTTCGAAAAAGAACAAATGGTGACTGACAACAATAATAGCTGTGACAGTGCATTCCCATGGTTCAGAAGCTCCTCTAGCAATTGCAATGGTGTAGATGAAGGCTTATAAGTTTTGCTAGTAACATGATGGGGATTCAAATCGTTTTAAACACTGCTGTTAACATGTATGTTATTAAATGGTATTGCGGGTTGTATTAGGGCAATTTCTGCAATAATATTGATGTCTTGAGTATTTTATCTTTGAAAATGAATTTCTGAGAAGGTCGAGTCTTGAATTTAATGTAAGATGGTAACTGTGAAAAAGCCTTATAAGTTGAACTTCTCTCCTTGTTTATCTGGTGCCTTTGAGGGGTGGAGGCCATGAGATGATTTTTAAGTATGGGAACGTAAGAAGGAAAAGGGACTCAATTTTATTGGTTTTTGTTTGCAAGTTTATTAGAATATGGATCCAAGAGCCTATTATCATGTTAGTGTGATACAGTACCCCTAAAGACGTTCGCCATAAGAGATAATCTAGAAGCTTCTGCAGTAAACACTGGGATAGGAACGTGCTGAACAATATAAGTACCTCCTCTGTGAATAAGAGGGGGTATTGTGGTAGAAGGTCACGAGAGGAAAGGGAGAGTGGGGAATTCTCTCGAACTAAATCCTGTCTGTTCATTGTTTTCTCTGTTTCCTTTGAATACATTGTTTGTCTTCCCTTCTTTGTCCAAGAGGAGAGAAGGGGATCGTATCATAGTGTTAGTGTGTTATGTTGAAGATGGGCCCATCCGGCTCATATGAGGTCTTATAATTAGTGCTTTCTCCTAGTTCAGTACATAATTATATGAGTTGGGCTTCACTTTTGACATGGCATCAGAAGCTATGGTTGGGGTTTTCCTGAGGTTTCTCAAGCAGTTGTCCCTGGTGCCACCTTCAACCTCTTCTTCTTCAAGTAGCAGGAGGGAAGTGATTGTGGTTTGCCCCACCTGGTGATCTGGTGTTCTATATTTCTGTCACACAGATGCCAGTCCTGATCATCTTATTGTTGGACAGATACGTCTCTATCCAACTTTTATCTAACATGTGGACTCCACAATTGAGTCCAATTTTGTCTTTTTCCCTAGATTTTGTGGTTTGTGGGTTCTGGTTGTTTAAATACAAATATAGAATTTATTTACTACATGTCTGGTTGGATTTTCCATTACTAGAAAATATGTAAATATTATATTGGTCTACAGTTGGCTTTGTGGAGCTGCTACTGGATATGAACATACGTGGTCAAGCATTGCTGGTCACAGCTGTGGACGATACAAAGACCAAAAGGCCGAGCGAGCAAAGCGCGAACTTCATCGGTATATGCATTACCATAAGTTCTACAAGAGTCACACAGATTCTTGCAAGGAGGAAAGCAAGCTTAAATCATCAATACAGGAAAAGATCTCTATTTTAGAGTCTAGGGAGTGGTCAATGAAAGATTACAGTTGGGTAATGAATGGACTCTACAGGCTGTTCAGATCAAGGCGTGTTCTTTCATACTCATATCCATTTGCATTCTATATGTTTGGTGATGAAATTTTCAAGGATGAGATGACCAAAGAAGAGAGGGAGATTAAGCAGAATCTGTTTGAAGACCAACAGCAGCAACTCGAATGCAATGTTGAGAGACTATCCAAGTCTCTCATGGTGGCATTGGATGAGCTTTCTGAAGAAGAGGTTCTGGCGACAAGGATGAATATCATCAATTTGTCTGTCCTTGTCGATCGGCTCTGCCATAAAATGTGAGTTTTTTCTAATTAAAGTTTCTACTTCATCTTCTCTGCCTAATTGCATGGCATTAAAGTGCTTCAACTTGCAGGTACGAGTGCATTGAGAATGATTTGTTGGGTTCCCTACTCAATGCAACCCATAATATTGCTCCATACAAATCCAAGGGCATTGAGAGAGCTTCAGAGTTAACAGCTTGGTGGGACTCTGAGCACACCCTGAGGAGCATGGAGCCCATCGCTGATGGCAGATGCGGCCATGCTACAAGAAATACCTCTGGTACGGGAAACCGTCCTCTTCTTGCATCCCGCTCACTTCCCCTTTTCGATTTGGAATCAATTCTGAAGACTTTTTTCTGTTTAATGTTATGTTCTTCTTCGGAGCAAAGGTACCTCATGATGCTTTCGGAGCCCAGCTAATCTAAATCTGCTGTTTCTAGCCAATTAAGGAAACGAAAAATTAGCTAAGCTCAGAATACTAACTCATGTACAACAGAATCAATCAGTTTTCTCACCCAACCTTACTAATGAAGAAAATACCGTTTGGGTCCGCGAGTCGGTTCATCTCAGGAATTGCATTCTCTGTTAGCACTTACTCCTGCTTAAATACTTGCCATCCTCCGCACGCTTGAAATTACTTGCTATTTTTATTTTTTTTGTATTGGTTGAAATTGCGTAGCTTCACACTATTGAGGGCTTTGTGTCTGCTGCCGTTCTATAGAGCCATCCATCTCTTGCTGCCACCGACCACTTTAGGATGATTACCAGTCCTGCATGGATGAACTATTTTGGGCTGTTTCACGGTTCTTGAACAGTCCTGGGTGGCAAGCCTGGGTGACCAACGGGCCACAGACCCAGACCCTTCGAAATCTTAAAGACCTGGTCCAGACCAGCCCTTCCAGGATTTCGCATGACGAGATCACATGGAATAGAAGTGGGTTGGGAGAGCAGGAGTAGAGGAGAATGCGAGAGAGTTTGTGTGGAGTAGCCATGAGGTGAGGAGAACAAATAACTGAAGAAGTTGCATCTCCAGGTACTGGAAGATCAGGAGGCATCGTAATCTCATTGAAGAGTTGTCTCAAAATAATAGATCGGGGGGGTCCTTGCAGGTTGGGTTGAATGCCTTCAGAGATAGATTTGAATTGGATAAGAGCAGAGGGTCGATCGAACATCCTGGCCATGCCCTCTCTGGTAGATAGAAAGCCCATGGAAGGTTTGGAAACAGGGTTTTTTGCATCAGAATATTCCCAAAAAAAAAAAAGGTTATGAGAGTCTTTCTAGCTATGCCTGACTCAGCCCTAGTGAAGTATGGTCATTTCACTTACAGCCTTTACATCTACATTGACATGCTAAAAATCCCCCTCCCCGAGTGATTGCTGACTTCAAAGAGGGGATGATTTCTACGCAACATCCTCATGGTTTCTTTCTTTTTTTTTCATATTTCTTGGGTTGGCTGTCTTTTTTCTTCCTTTTTTTTTTTTTTTTAAATTCAGGAGGAGCGGGTGTATGTGGGCTTTAGCAGAACACCCACGCATGCGTTGACCTCAACAGATATCCCTTCCCCTGCATCCCAATCCAACAGTTCATCCATCATCATCATGATCTCTCTCTCTCTGATTCATTGGATTCACTGCTTGCCATGTTCTGGAGTTCTAACCCGGCGAGGAACATGAAGAATCATGGTGCTTCAAGCATGGCGGCTGAATCATCTTTGAACTCCACAATGCAGGAGGGGACTCCGAACCCGGCCGGGCTCTCCCTCCCCGTGCGATGGCGGCGGGCTCTTCCTGCACCGACGAGAGCGGCCGCTCCACCCGGCGGCGCACGAGAACAGAAGCCTTTGGAGATGGGTTGATTGACCTCAATCTGCCCCCCGATATGGCAGAGAAGGGGATGGAGATCTGACCTTCTTCTCCGATCATCTCGCCTTTGTACAGATTTCATCTCCGGAGGAACGCTGGGCGAAGAATTCCGCCCCTCGTTCTTCCCCCTTCTCTGTCAGTAGCCCTCCCCCCACATACCCATTCTTGATCTGAGAAAGAAGATGAAGGAGGAGAGAAAAAAAAAGGAGCAGGGCATCAGAGATCCGTGGTCGGTCCCTCTTTTTTTTTCCCTCTTCACATGCTTATTTCTATTGATGAGAAGACTTGTACAGCCTTCCCCAAGCGTGCCCCTCTCTCTCTCTCTCTCTCTCTCTCTCTCTCTCTCTCTCTCTCTCGGTCTTGTAGAGCTTCAGAGTTTCTCTCTCTAGGGTGCGGCCGGCCTCTCTCATGGTTACGAACCACAAACGCCCCTTTGAATGGTATCATCCGTCAGGATAATCTTAGCATAAGCAGATGATATGAGCTGCAAATTCGTTCTTCATGGTTTTTCCGTGGTGCAGTTCGGTCACAGCATGAGCCGATGTGCTAGAGCGGCAAGATCTGTTCTTTTCTTCTTCGTGGGTTTTCCTTGGCGATTTCACTAAGTTACTCGCAGATCGTGGGGTTTCATTTATCTCGTAAATCAGAGTTGCAGAATTCGTTCTTTATCAGTTTTCCATGGTGGGTTTTGGCAGCTATGAACGGATAATGCGTCTCTCTCTCTCTCTCTCTCTCCCCCCCTCGTGGACAGTATGGGGATCCGAGCGCTCCTGTGAAAGACCCAAGGGATCACTGATCGCAGAAACAACGCCGCTAGAGAGAGAAACAATCCTGATGGCGTTCAGGAGGTGGGGGATTGACCAGGAGCCGCAAAATTCGTTCTTTACCAGTTTTTTATGGTGGGTTTTGGCAACTATGAACCCATAATGATTCTGACCACTCTCTCTCTCTCTCACGGGCAGTAGCCACGATCCGAGGAGCTCTCCTCTGGAAGACCCATGAAAACTTGGGAATCACTGATCACATAAACATCGCTGCTAGAGAGAGAGAGAGAGAGAGAGAGAGAGAGACAGACAGACAGACAGACACACACACACACACACACACACACACACACACACACACACACACACACACACACACACACACACACACACACACAGCTCGAGATGGGAAAGACCCGATCTTCCTTCTTCCGAGCTACGGCTAGTAGGGCCGCTGGCCCAGGAAGTTGCCGGGTGGGTGGTACAAGCAGATGGTGAACACCGGGCCGGCGTCGGCGCCGCCGCAGAGGTTCTGTGCGCAGCCGAGCTCCTCCGAGCGGCGCCATACCACCTGCGTGAAGGTCCCGCACTCGTGCCCGGCCGAGCAGCTGTTGGCGGTGTGGTTGTAGTACGCCTGCTCGCTGACCCACAGCGCCACCACCTCCGCGGGCGTAGCGCGGTAGCTCGCCCACGCCTGGTTAACCCCATAGGCGGCGCCGCCGCTCAGCTCGGCGAGCGTGCAGTTCACCTGGCGCCGCGCCAGGCGATCGGCCTCCGCGGTGAGGTTGGGGCTCCACAGGAGCGGCGGCACGCCCACCGCCGCGCGCGCCGCGTTGTGTGGGGAGAGGAATTCCTCGGTGGCGTTGGGATCGGCGCCGCGCGCCACGATGGGCAGCAGGGGGAGGAGGAGAGCGAGGAGGAGCGGTGATGTGTTGGCCATGACTGGAGTGGTGTGCGTACTGTAGCTCCTACCTCCGCCAATCCGTTCTTATTAAGAGAGAGAGAGAGGGAGAGAGTTTTCATTGACAGCAGTTAATGTTCTACTGGGTGCTGTCCAGTGCAGGCCTCTGGGAATAGTACTGCTTATCACTACCCACGGATTGATGGGGGGGGAGAGAGAGAGAGAGAGAGAGGTTGCGTGTTAATTGACAGGGGTCAATGTTCTACTAGGTTCTTTCCAATGGCTGCCCCTAGGGATAGTATTGCTCATCACTACCTACCGAGGAAGAGGGAGAGAGAGAGTGAGAGAGAGAGTATTAATTGACAGGGGTCTACTGGGTGATTTCCAGTGCCTGCCTCTGGGGATAGAATTTCTCATCACTATACACGGAGGAGAGAGAGAGAGAGGGAGAAGGGTGACAGAGAGTGAGAGAGAGTAGAATGACTGCGGCCATTAATTACCCTACTCGAGCTGGAATGGACTAGTCTTCACTCAGCAACAGTTCAAGCTCGGCGCCGAATTCATCGGTGGGTTCCGCCGCCTCGGCGGCACGGGCGATGCCCGTCTGTCGGGAGAAGTCTTTCCTCCGCGCCTCCCATCTCGCGACGAGCTCCTCCAGCTTCGTCCCCACCTCCTCTCCCCTCTCCGCCATCTGCTTCACCTCCCCCACCTCCACCGTCTCCGACGCCTCTGAAGATAGTGAGAGAAAGAGAGAGTTAGAGTTAAAGTTAGAGTTAGAGTTAAAGTTAGAGTTAGAGTTAGAGTTAGTAAGAGTGAGAGAGAGAGAGAGAGAGAGAGAGAGAGAGAGAGAGATGGTACCTCTGATTGCGAGTTCTTTGGCTCTGGCGTAATCAGTGGACATCTTCTTGAGGCCATTCAAATCCAGTTCCAGACCCTGAGAAATGACGAGCATATTCAGCGGGAGCGCTCAGCAATTTCTTCCCGTTTTGAAGGTCGGAATCAGAAACCGGGGATCTCCTCGTCCATCCACCGATCATCGTCGCCGTGGAGGCCCTCAGAGAGTTAAAACCTTGATTCCTTTGATGAAACGAAGGATGCCCGCTAAGGTCAAGGGTGCTGCGAGACTCACCAGATTCATATGAAGGTATTCCTCAATCTGACTGTTGGCCAACAGCCTGTAAGTTTCAACGGCAAATGTGAGGCAATTTCAAGGGCGAGAGAGAGAGAGAGAGAGAGAGAGAGAGAGAGAGGATAGATACTTGTCATAGGCAGTTTCCACAAGCTTGTTCTGCAGCCTCTTGATTTCGTCAACTCTCTGCTTCAGGGAGCCGCCAACGGTGTCTACAGATCCAAACAAGAACATGTGCCTCTCCAGCATCCTTTTGACCAGAGCGGTCACCGCAACCACACCGTCCTTTGCGTCAACGACCAACTGCTTGAGATGCTTCAGCTGCCCTATAAAAGGAAAAAAATAAGAAAAACAGGGTCAACGTTTGAGCTCAACCCAGGATTTCTTCATCATACCATATAGAGGGAAACAAAGAAAATAAACCATTATTTTCCAATTAAGACTACTAAACAACGGCGAATTATGGATCAGAAAATATACAGATTTTTATAAATTTTAGATGACTGACGGTTAAAAAATTACAACTTCATAAAAATTATAGTTGTTGATCGGAACGGGGATAATAAATTAGCATGATAAGAAAGACCTCCAAATGCGATCATCCAGCTAGGAAATTAAATTTTAAACCTATTTTTTTTCTAAATTTAAGACGAAAACAGATCCAAATATTAGCATATAAAACACCCATTAAACGGAAAAAATCTGTACCTTGAGAAATAAAAATAAAAATAATAAGATTATAATCATTTTTTACGTATTCTTGTTTCATAATTTTTTTTTAAATTGTACGTAAAAGAAAACCTCAGACATCGTCATGCAGGTAGAAGATTGAATCTGAGATCCATGTGATTGCGAATCTTTGCAACCTTTTTTGCAAAAAACGGACCCAAATAACAGAATTAAAGTAAGACATTTATCATGGGGACAGAAATCGGAATACAAATTTTATCATTATTTTCCGATTTTCTATTTATTAAAAAGTTGATATCTATTTTTTTACTTTATACGTTATTATTTTTTTGTCATGCATAAAGTTCGAGTAAATGAACATGTGAAAAAGAATTTCCACATACATCATCAAGCAACTAAAAGATTAAATTTTCATCTTCGCCATTTTTTGGGTAAAAGAAAAGCAAATATTTATCAAAAAATCAGCAAATAAAACGCCCATCAAGAGGGAAAAGAAATTGTACCCAGAGAAATGTAAATCTTGAAGCAAGGCTTGAAGGGTTGAATCTCGTAGAGACAATAGAGGCAGTACAATCCCCCCAGTCTCCGTTGCAGGGTGCCTGGGCGAGTCATGTTCCCTGCAGATATGAAGCAGGATCTGATCTCATGACTCTTGGATCAAAACATCAACTTCACCAAATATTCTACAGAAAAAAAATCGAGCCCTTTCACGACAGGAAATCCACACATGATTAAATAACCTCGGCTTCCCTTCCAAGATTCAGGCCTTTATAGTTCTGCTCATCATTTTTGCAAAATTTTTGTCGAAAGAGCTCTCGGCCTAAGAATTTCAACACTTCTCCCGATATCAAGCTCATCCCATGCTCTACAGCCTCACGCATTAAAAAATCTCCAAATCAGAGACTTCACCTCCAACAGAGACCAAGGCAGCAAGCAACAGAGGCTATTCCACATGTAATCGTCCAGACCTACCCACAACTTTGATTAACGTTTTTTTTCTAATTTAGTGTCGATAATCAACTCCGATGAATGCTGGGAAATCATTGAATAGCGCCGTTTCCGTGTATGTTCCAACCCCCTAAGGTCAGCAGCGATCTTAGACATTACAAATTATATAAGTATGAGTGAGCTGCCATAGATGACATACTGTGAAGTTAGGAGTGGAGAAGATCAGAGCGAAGCTCACATAAATTCATAGAAAAAACTAGTAGTGGGCGTACCAATGCAGTGGGCGTAGAGAGACTGCATGAAGACGGCCGAGTTGCTGGTGGGCCGGCCCTCGTAGAGGTAGGAGAATTTCCGGGACGACCACACTTTCTTGAAGGCAGAGAACGAGGGTGATCCACACTACACAGAGATTCAATTCTCACGACTTTTCATAAAAAAGAAAAACAAGATCAATGAAGAACATCAGACAACAGCCATACCCAGAAGAAAAGAAGAGGACAGGTGGAGTGACCTGACTATATTCATCCAGCAGCTCGTCGATGTCCTTCTCGAATGGCGCCAGGTCCATCATGCTCACCATCGCCCACAACGCCTATCAGCAAGAAGGCACAAAGATGAACATCATTCTCTCGAATTTCATCAAGAACATATATGCATATTAATATAAATATATAAATATATACACATATACTTTTGGACAGCTTATGAAAAGCATAGTTCGTATGAGGTTTTTTGGAAACAGAACCAAAAATATGTGAGGACAGTCCAACAGCAACTAGATATTCGAGAAATAAAACGATCAAGCATGGAGCAAAAAAATAATTTTGCCGCTGACTCCAGAGGAGTAATCCCTGGCCCCGCGTACTCTCGAAGAAGATGGGAGAATTCGAACCGCAGCGCTGCAAGGGGTCAAAATCCGGACAAGAGGAGAGAAGCGATCGGGGGAGGGGAGGCGGGGGAGAGGGGAAGGAAGCCAGAGAGTGGAGAGAGAGAGAAGGTGGGTTACAGGAAAACGAGATGAAGTACGAAGAGAGACGTACCGTGTCGCCCTCGCCGGCTTCTCCACCGCTCCGACAGCCGCAACGCCGCCGCCGGGTTCTCCTGCGGCGCTGAGCTACGCCGCCCCCGCGCTCTCCCGCTCCCCCAACCTCCCGCTGCTCTGTCTGTCTGTCTCTCTCTCTCAACCGCTGCTTGATTTGGGCCGGCTGATTTGATGTACCAGAGAATGGGCCTCGTATTTATCTAAAAAAGGAAGCCCAGTCAACTCCGGATACCGGACCCAGGGACTTTTTGGGCCACTGGTCCGTGTGCTCAGTCCCCATTAGCCTCAGCTCATTATCACGGGCCATGGGCCCGTGTGGTGGGACCCGCCAGCGCGGGCGGGAAAGACGTTGAAGGAATGTATTCTCGGGGGATGGGGGGGGGTTCCATCTGGACCAATCAAAAGAGGGCCCATGAGGTTCGCGGCCAACGTGGATTCCTCCGAACCAGAAGATACTCGGGGCATTTTTGTCATTCACTCCCAATATATCCAACTTCTTCGGGAACCTGCCAGCCAAATCAGGGTCGCTTTCGGCCCCTCAAGGAAAGCTTCCTACTCCGGCTGATGTTACAGCCGGTAAGAGAGAGAGAGAGAGAGAGAGGGGAGCCCCAGCGGTCAAGGAGGTGAAGAAGACAGGAGTTGCTTGTCGATCTTGAGGAGATGTTGGAATCTACATGCCTAATTTGAGAAGGGATCTGCGAAGATGGCCAGATCACTGCAAGGGGATGCGATCAGGAGGGCGGGCGCCGATCTGGTGCCGTCGATCTGTCTGTTTCCGCCGAGCGATAAACGGCGGCGATCACGTCAGTTTCCGGATTGGCCGTTGCTGCGGCATGGTGGCCTACGCGACTTTTCTGTTACTATCAGTGAGAGAGACCTCAGTCGTGCGAGGAGAATTCTGGAATGGCACCCAATCTGGGCGGGAAATTACGGCCACTGCCACTCCCCTTCCTGCTCCGCCGCTGGCCGGCCGTCGGCTCGGAGGGAGAGCAGGACGAAACGCTCCTTCGAAGCTCCTCTCCTTCTCCGAGATGGCCTCCGAATGCGGCGGCGCAGCCGCTCTTCACTAGCGCGGCGCTGGCCTTCACGGCGAGTGCCGCCATCTCCTCCGAGTGAAGCCGCCGGCGGAGCATGGAGCGCGGGAGGACGAAGTAGATCTGTCCAGGCTGGAGCTCCTCCTCTTCCCCCACCTCCCTCACGTAGTCCTCGAAATCCATGTCGTCGGCGTCGCAGATGAAGAAGGAGCCGGGGCTCTTGAGCAGAACCTGGAAGACCTTCACCGGCGCGGCGAACTCCAACAGCCTCCCGTCCTCCGCTATCACCTTCGCCGTCGAGCACGCCGCCGTCACCTCGCATGAATTGCAGGCTCCCATCCCTCGCCAGCGCCGGCGACCGCCACCCTCTCCGACGAAGCTCGGGACTAGACACTGAAGCCGTAACAGAATCCAGAGAGAGAGAGAGAGAGAGAGAGAGAGAGAGAGAGAGAGAGAGAGAGAGAGAGAGGCGAGGGAGGGAGAAGCGAGGAGGGGGTTAAAAAGGGTGGCAGGATAGGAGAGATACGTCATCTATTTTGTCGGATAGCGAATCAGCCGCCAGCCTGGATGGATGGCGCGAAGGATAGCGGGGAACGTGTAGAGAGGGAAATGGGCGCCAAATTAAGGGCAAAGAGGGAAAATCAAGTGCCTTGGTAGCTGAGGAGCACTCGTCAAGCGCCACATACCCATATGGGTGGCGGCGCATGGGGCGGCAGTCCCCATATATATCGGGGGCCACGAGGAACAGGCATGGCGAAGACTGCGGAAGAGGCGGACAGGAAGGAGACGTGGCGAGAGCACAGCCAGGCGGGTGGCGATGACTCCACGTGTCGGGCAGCGCGTCGGGAGCGAGCGGCGGCGAAACAAGTCTTGAAGAGGGTAAAAATCGCCGGCGGCTCTAGAAGTGTCTCTGTTCATCACTTTGACTTTTCCAGGATCTCAGACAAGATAACGAGGTAAGAAACCGCCGCGAGAGGGTTGACCTGCGATGGCGACGCCGCCATATAGGGAGCCCCTTCCTTTCTCCACGGTGCTCAAGGGTACCTCCGCAAGTCCTAGCCTATTCCTATGATAGTGCTAAGATATTTCCCCCCTAGATTTGGACTTCCACTTTCACGGAAGAACATCAGCCTCTGACCTTCAGCAGTGGGGCCATGTATGACTTTAGCTTGGGCATGACTTAGAACTAGGGTCAAATCCAGACTTAGCGGGCCCATTAGAGGACTCAAGCTCGGCCGAGGCAGCTTCAGGCCCAGAAAGCCACCGGAGATCCTGGCACCAATACCAACACGCCCGCCCAGAATTTGATGATTTCTTTCATTATTAACGGGCTCTCCTTTAATGAGATTTCCTTTATTTTTCTTACTTTGCTTTGCTTTGTAATGCCCCGGTAACGTTGGTCGTGAGGACCCCGTGCTCCCGGTTGGAGCTCTATCGCCACCATCTGCCGTCGTTGCTCTCGTTCCGCCGTCTGCTCGTTTCCACCGTTGCCTTCTCTCTCTATCGCCGCCGTTCAGCCTTCCGCCCGCCTCCTCTGTCGCCATCTCCCTTCGTCGCCGCCATTCAGCCTTTCACTGCTTCCACCGTTGTTGTCTCCCTCTGTCGCTGCCATTCATCCTTCCATCTTCTTCCATCGTCGCCGACTCCCTCCATCGCTGCCGTTCCACCTTCCGCCTGTCTCCATTGACACCATCTCCCTCCAGCGCCGTCATCTCACCTTCCTCCTTCATCGCCACCGTCGTTCCACCCGTTTCCTGCCACGTAAGATTCGGTCTACCAAGTCAGCCGCCCGGTTTGGCGCTCACGGAATGGTTAGGGCAGAAGTACCAGTGAGCCATTGTTGCGCCGCCTTGTCACTAACCCATTACCGAGGCTCCTCTCATCACCACCCCTGGGTCCCTTTTACGTCGGATCCTTACCCACCGAGCAGCTCTCTTGGACCTAAACCATAGCTCGATCAGCTCCAGCCCTCCGGTCTGTCTAGTGACCTGGTCAACATTCTCATCGAGTAAACAGTCAACATCATCATCAAAGGTCAACAGACAGCTATTCACCTCTCTGACTTGGGTTTCTCTGGTGACTTCTCTCCACATCTAGTACTCCCAATTCTTACACCTAGTAAACATTGCTCTTTTAATACATATTATTCTTATAATTGTCGCATTGAGTGAGTTTCATAAGATGACCACCTTTATTCACCTTTATAAGTACCTTATGTCTAGTGGTTTGCATAAACCACTTGATCCCAGTCCCACTTTCTTGTTATTGGATGATTTTGAGTATGATTTGAATTTCTCATTTTATTTATAATAGTATTTATAGTTTATGTAATGTGTATTTTATTTCTCTTATGTCCTCAATTTTGGTATCAGAGCATGCATTGCATCATAGGTCACACATCTTTATTATATTCATCACACTTGTCTCTAAGATAAGACATCTATACCCCACTCTCTACTTATTAGACTATGCCCACATATCTTCTAAGTTTATGTCGTCATACTTAGTTGAAGAAGATTGATTTAATCTTGATACGGAGGATAATGTTCTTCCATAAGTGAAGAAAATGATGACTTTATAATGTGACTTAATTGTTGTATAATAAATTATGTAAATTTAAAATTTATAAAACTATAAAATATTAATTTTATATTTTTAGAAATATTTTAGTACAAATAAATTAATTATAATTTTTCAAAAGGTTCTAAAAGTAAAAGTAAATTTCTAAATTGATCACAAGTATGTAAGATAATACATGATAATATTTTAATTTTTTCAAATAATATATATATATTTAAATAATTTTTATATTAAATATTAAATATTAAATATATTAAAAAATTTATGAAAAAGTGAAATTCGGGTGTAGACGTCAAGATGATGTCATCATCTTGACAAATGAGACTCGAGTGAAATAGAGTTCATCTAGAGACGATTTAATTGATCAAATTAAGATCCATAAAAGTAAAAAAGAATCATAATTGAGTAAAAAATATTTTCTTAATTTAAAATTATATAAATCTTACTAAATTAAGTATTAAGTTTAAAGTAAAAAAAGTAGAGTTTTGGCCTCGCGACAACAATTGTTAGAATTCTATATATTTGAGAAGATTATCAAGTGATGTCCATAGCTTCAAAGGCTACCTTTAGATATAGATAATATATGCAATATCTATATCTTTTTGTAAAGTCTAAAAATCAATGAAATAAGTCAACAAATCATTTTTAAGAGCTGTTACCCAGTAAAGTAAAAATACAACAACTAGATTTTCGATGATTGTCACCTAGTGGAGATAAGTTAGATGAAGGTGGGGTGTATCTTAGAAAGCTTCATTCTCAAGTTTGTGTTGTAAGAAGATGCTCTTCATTATATCTAATGCACTTTGAGGAGGCGACAACTTTTCTTCTAATAAGTCATCATCTTCCTGACAACAACTCATTCGTTGATTAATTAAAGATGATTTTTTTGATAGTTTCGTCATATTTTTATCTAAAATTATTTGACAACTAATAATGATGATCCCCAAATTACATTGATAACATTTTTGCTGATGATTGAGTGATTTTGGTGGCTTAATTGTTGACCAATATTCTATAAGAAAATCATAATTTAGTCAAATAAAAATATGAAATTTGTCTTTGATGGAATTCTAACCCTTGTCGATTGCCTAACTATGTGAGAGAGATAATTTGAATTACTTACATACCCTTACTCAATGACATCATAGAGGTATTTACTTCTTGTGATTAGAAAATTTAGGTATTAAAATTATTGACAACCTGTTAGTGAGCAATGACTTGGGTTTAGTCTCACATCGAATATTTCTCAAGTTTTGAGACAAATATATATAGTAATACTATCTTGTTATGGTCAATATAGTGCTCTCACGGTCTATATGACCACTCCTTGCCCCACACCTAGTTGACCATTAGTAACATGGAAGGGGAGTGATGCACACGTGCCCCCAACTTGTCCTTAACCACCTAAGCCTCTTGTTCAAGTTTCATATTTATCATTCAAAATTATGTCACGTGGATGAGGAGTCAACCCTACTAAAAATGTTGTTTAAGAAATAGGATCTTTGTCTCATGTAAATTTTTAGGAAAACATTGAACAAAAGTTTGAAGATTTGCATGATACATTGAAAGAAATTTTCACTTGTGTGCCAACATTAGACATAACAAAAATGATATGAGGTGTCCTACATAGAGGCAACTAATAAAAAAAAAATTCATTAGCTCTTATGATTAGTTTTTATTTGTACCTAGAAATATAAGTAGATTTGAAGAGGATGATTCAAATGATTTTTGAATGAAAATTATTTTATCAAGTTTATTTGTCATTTAAATATAGAAGGAATTCAAGATTAGTTGAAGTTGAGTTTTTTTTTTGAATATATGAAGATTCAAGAAAGAAAGGATATTAAATTTGTAACATAGAAATTGAAAGGTGGAGCATCATCATGGTGAGAACAAATTCAGGTGGGACAAAAAAGTTGATGCTTTCTATGAACAATGAGAAGTAGATAATGTCTTTATGATTTTTGATCATTTATCTAAAAAGACATTTTATGAAATGTAAGAAAATAAATGATGACATACAAGTAAGCAACTTATTATTTAAGGGAGTAATTTGTTTGCATAGAGTTCTAAAATCAATCACATCTAATCAATACAAAAGTTTCTATCACACTGTTTGCATATCCTTTGGAGTAGATTTGATTTTTTTAAAAACTTAGTAGAATCAATTACCTCCAACAGCTTGTTAAACTAAAATACTAACATGACATTCAAAAGTTTGATTCATCATATTTGAGGAGATAAATCAAGATATCAGAATTATGTTTTGGCTCAAGTTGAATTTGTCTTTTTTTTTATAGTAAATAACTATATTAATCAATCTTTATTTTCTATTATTTATTATCTTCCTTAAAATATTTTTATAAATTCAACACATTTAACTGAACAAACAAGTATTATAGCTAGCAAAATGCCAAAACATATCAAAATACTCCATGAGATTATTAAGCAATATCATTCAGCTAATTAAAATAATTATAAATTGGTGGCTAATAAGAAGATACTTTAAAATATTTTTAAAGTTGGTGATTTCGTTATAATATATTTCAAAAAATAAATATTTCCACAATATTTATAATAAGCTAATGTTGAAGAAATATGATCTATTAAAAAAATTAAAAAAATTAATGATGATATATGTATCATTAACATACTAGAAAAATGAATATATTATCTAACTTGAATGTAATTGATATTTAGTATTGTCATATAGAGTCACATTAAGATCAATGATGAATTCTTTTCAAACATGGTAGATTGATGCAGAATATGCACATAATTAAGAAAAGTCCAACATTAATGGACCAAATGGCTAAATAATTCGATGGATGAAGTGCAATGATGAGATAGCCCAAGATCAGGTTAACCTCATAATAAAATACATGAAAAATATGTCAAAGAATAGTTCTATTAATTTTCCTACTTTATTGTATATTTTTAAAATTAAATATTATGACAATTGTAAAATCATCCATTTTTTTAAGGATGTTTTGACTGATTTTCGACCTATTTAAAGGCTCTAACATTGTAACCTTACATTCATTATCAAACAGTACTAGTTTTTCCCTCTTTGAAGTCATTCTCTCTCTCTCTCTCTCTCTCTCTCTCTTCTTGTGGATTTAATAATTGAAGTTTCCAAGGCCGAATTTCTTCATTTAAAATTAATGTCTTTTGGATTCAAGGCCGAATTTTCTATTTCCCACAACTTTCGCTGCGTTATAAATATATAGAAAGGGAGAAGAGAGAGAAAGAGAGAGAGAGATGACTCCTTGAAGTTTTGACGATAATGGGTTTCAGGTCTCAGATTATTCTCCCAATCCATCCACACGAGCACACAATGATAGAGGACCGGCTTCTTCTTCTTCTACGTCGGGCGAACTAAGCTCCGCCCAGATGAGCCACCTCTAAGAAAAGACGTGGGTTCTCACAGACAGGATCAATACAAGAAGAAGAAGAGGAAGACAAAGAAGAAGAAACGACGGGTGGGGTTACTGGTGTGAAGGGGAGGCCTAGAGGAATTTCAGCACCAGGCACCAGGTTGGGTATACGAGGAGGAGGATGATGCCGATGGAGTTGGAGACGCCGTGCTTCTTCGTGAAGGAGTTCCTGAAGCCCCCCGACGCCCTGATGTGCTCCTGCAGGAGGTAGCAGCCGATAACCAGGCAGATCACCGCCCCCACCACCGTGCTGTCCCTCACCGTGTTCGCCAGGATCTTCGGCGCCACAACCAGTAGCAGTATCAGCGACCCCGGCAGCTCCAACCAGTCTTCACCAAGAGAGATAGAGATAGATAGATAGTTAGATAGATCGATAGATAGATTGATAGTAGAGAGAGAGAGAGAGACAGAGACAGAGACAGAGACAGAGACAGAGACAGAGAGAGGGCGAAGGGGGATGATGGAGGAGGGTGGAGCTCACCTGGGAAGCGGCGGGGGAAGAAGAGGCGCAGGACGACGGTGATGAAGGCGATCCACTTACCGACGTCCCCTCTGGAGGAGAAGGCAAAGGACGGCTTCTTAGAGCGCTAAAATCGGACGAAGGGTGGGAAGGGATTAGAGAGAAGGCCCACCCACCGGAGAAACTTGAAGAGGACGGAGGGAAGGCTCAGGAAGATGTAGGGGATCAAGAGGGCGGTCAGCATGTTGGTCTTCCAGTTCGTCCGATCCAGAATCAGCAGATATCTGCGGAAAGCACCCACAATTCAGGCAGCAAGATCAGATCCATCTGTTCTACGAAGAATCCGCTCCAGAAATATGGGAACTGCCGCTGAATTTCCCGACAAAATTCGCAAGCAGAGGTTGAATTTCCAGGGGAAATCTCTGATTTCTGTGGCACGTCCATGACTGTGATGAAGAGAGCGAGAGCGAGAGAGAGAGAAAGGGAGAGAGAGAGAGAGAGAGAGAGAGAGAGAGATGCTACCAGGTCCTTACATTGCGGCAACGGAGGCGAGGAATTTGAAGAAGGTCGTGCCGAACCCTAGGCTACTCGTGAGGATGATGGCGTGGGAGGCGAGGTTAGCCGCTGCCGCTCCGAGCTCGCGGAGATCGGACTGGATCAGCCTCTCCCCGCTGACGGCGCCGTCTGTCTTCATCGCCAGGTACTCGATCGCCGCCTCTCTCCCCATCCTCACTCACAAACTACGCTCCTCACAATTTCAATCGATCACACCTCGCAGAGGAACAGATCACCTTCTCCGATCAAACTGTCGTCGATCTCCTCTGCTCCTCTCGGCCGGCCTCTGTTCTTATCGGCGTCACGAGAGAGAGAGAGATATTTAAATGGTTGTCCAGTTACAGGTCGGCAGCGGATCCGCATCACACGTGCCGACAGATGAGCTCGGCACTGCGCGGCCCACCTCGTGGCAGCATAATGGGGCTCTTGTGGTTGGTCCTGGGAATCGTTGCCACGTGTCTCTGTTATCCTGCTTTCGTCCTGGTTTCGGAAGCTGCGTTCGATGCGGACGCGCGGTAAGCGCACCGCGAGTACGGCAACCTCCAACCCCACTGGATATCCGGCCATCTCATTGACAGGCCTATTGCTAATTTATAATTCACATTTTAATATCAGGGAATAATTTCTTAAACCGCTGACCATAGTTACTCTCTCTCTCTCTCTCTCTCTCTCTCTCTCTCCCCCGTTATTTATAAAGTTCCGGGCCGAGCCGGTAGATTCCGGGCTGCCCCGGCGCAGTAACTCTCACGGCCCAGCCCGTTCTTCGCATCGAACTTTAGAGAGAGAGAGAGAGAGAGAAAGAGGGAAAGGGAGAGGGCGAGGGAGAGAGAAACTGGAGAGAGAGAGAGAGAGAGAGAGAGAGAACCACTGTAGACAAACGCGGGGAGGCACAGGTAGAGAGAGAACCGATCATCAATTCCCTGTTAAGGTTAGGCTGAATAAACTCTCCTCACATGGGGTCACGCAGAATCAGGGGAGGTTTCAAGGAGCCTTACCCAGTCAAAAGGTCAACCACAAGAAGGGCAGTCAGCGGAGTTCTACTACGAGCTCTGGGTGTTGGAGTCAACGGCCTCTGAGATCCCAGAGTCAACTCTCTCTGTAGATTCCTCAGGGGCCTTCTTCTTCACGGAGGGCTCAGTGGTGATCGGAGCTAGAGAGGCCCTCTTGAGACCCCTCCCCACTACGCCAAGATGGGTCACACTGCTGTCGCCGCTGCCGCCACCGCCGCCGGTCCTCGCCGTGGAGGAGGTTGGGGAGTCTGATGAGCCATTCATGAAAACGCTCACTCGTGAGGAGCTCAAGCTTGCAGAAGGTTTCTTCTCCGCGGGAGGCTCTGAGGAGATCATCTTCATCATCTCAGCGAACAGGGGCTTCGGGTTCAGCAGCACTTGTTGCAGGTCTTCAAGCTGCACACCAGGAAAATAATAGTAATATAAATAAATAAATAAATATATGTGAGGGATTTCTTGTTCATAAACTTGGTGAGTATAAAGTTTCTCATCCATCATCATCATAATCTCCTCAGAAGAACGATTTCTTGCTCTTTCTCTGAGACTTCTGAGCTCCAAAATTTTAGTAGCATCTGAAATTTCTGCCCCTCTCTCTCTCTCTCTCTCTGGCTTGTGGGATTTTGACTTCTGATTCTATAGAGATTAAGAGAGAAATTTGATAAATGGAAGGACCTGGGGATGAGTATTCTTCAACCAAGATTTCCATCAATCACCCTGATTTCTCTTTCTTCCTCAGAGATTATGTAGCCAAGAAATATGGCTTTCCCTGAAATCACTGCCTCCATGGTTATCACTGTCGTCATCATCCCTTTCTCTCTCTATACCTTATGGGGTTTGACTTTTAGGTACAAGAACGATTAGAAACTAAGATTCAAAAACTCACTTAAGATTAAAAAACCATAAAAGAATAGGGAGTCGGTACCTTTTTCTCGAGCTCCGTTAATATTCCACCAATCACCTCGATGTCTGTTTCTTTCTCAGAGATAGACGGAGCCAAAGAGCCCACCGAATCTACCGCTGCTGCCACAACCTCTTCTTTCAGCTGCTGCAGGCGAGACTCGCAGAGCACGCTGGCCTTCTTACAGTATGGAATAGCTTCTTCAATTCTCGAGCCCAATTCTAAGACCAGACAAATCCGGAAATTCCTGGGATTTTGGGTTAAAGATAGCAAAGATATTGGGAAGATAATAACTTTATAAATGATGAGATATGAAAGAAAATGTTTGAACAGCTCAAGATGTAGGGCAGGATACAGTTCAATAATCCGTCGATGATTTGGTTCCACAAGATTCCCCAGGATAGAGAGAGCCTTTTGATAATCATTCAGAGAAGTCTCAATGTCCTCTGCAAAGCAGCAATTATAGTAAGACGGACAAAACTTTGGAAACAATATAGAAATCGAAAGGAAGATTAAGAAAGAAATGGACCTCTTTCCACTGCCACTTCCCCCAGAGCTGCGAGTATATTCACTTTCTCAATCGTATCTTCTGGGGACTTCTCAACGATTGCTCTTGCGATGTCTAGCATTTTCCATGCAAGATCAAGGTCAGAATCGTCTTCGTCAGCTTCTCCCAATTCCTCATCGTCGCCGCTGCCTTCGACACCATCTTCCATGTCCTTGTCACTGGATCCATCAACTCCTTCAAGAAGACATACAAAAGATGAGCATATTTGGCAATGAACGTAGATTCAGAAGAAGTGACAAGTGCGTCTGTGTTGTCTTAAAGGAATATATTCATGACCGGACAAAACCTCATAAAAAAGAAAGCTTTAAAAACCCAGAGAAACATGATTGATGTCTGAACACACCCAGTAAGTGGAGCCACCACAATCCCTAGCAGCATGGCCCACTTTGGCAAGAAGGCGTCAGATAATGAAAAGGCACACGAACAAAAATCATTTTTTAAAATCTAACCACAGTTGAAAAGAACTATCAATAGAGTTTCTTTAATTAACAGAAATGCATGGAAATCGCCCAAAAAACTTTCAAACAGTCAACGTATGTTTTATTTACTGTCACAAAAAGTACCAGCCACAACATTAAAGCAAGCGAAGGCTGATTATTTATCACGCCGGTTACACCTTCAGGATGTTGGATGATTGTATTGTGAACAAAAGCCGTTTGGCTTTCCAGTCCAGTTCCTGCATTACAGTTCTCGAAACAAGAAAGCGGAACTGATTGATGCTGCATAACAGAACCCACTAAAGCCTTATTCACATAACGATATTCAATAAAAAGAATGAGAGAGGCTCAATAGAAAAATATTGAAAGGGGAAATGCAGCGCTTCTTCCTCTATGCCACTCAGTTGCACTACTAAAGTAGAATAGGGGAACGGCCCAGTGATATTTTACTTATTTTTCCAGTAGTTATTTTGAGTACTAGCGCATGTAATGTATACTTAGCGGTCCTAGAATCCTCTCTTGAACCATAGACTTTGCCTTTGAAGTAAATCATCACACCTACAATAACTTGATGAGGTTTGATTCCAAATATCACAGCTAGACAATCTAATTTTTTTAAAACATAAAGAATAAAGAAGCCATCGTAAATGCCAGAAAGTCGGCCTACCATGGGCACAAAATAGACGTTATGTCCAAATCTGACGGCTCATTTTTAAGTGGCTAAACACAAGATACACCACATATGAGCATGATCAACTGTTATACGAAAAGAATGATAAAAACAGATGACAAACACCAGTCATTGGCTATCAGATACAATGTAAGACCATCTGTGTTACCTTGCTCTCCCTCTTTTTCCTTGTTTCGAAGAGAGTGACCCGGTTCACTATCAGTAATCAGAGACTTGGAACTTGAACTGCTCTCTCCACTCTCAACAACGGTGCCACTTGCAGAGTTCTTTGCACAGTCTTTAGGAACATTACCCAAAGGATCGGCTTCCTCTTGCGCTTTATATAGCAATGCACATCCATATTTGTAATAAGAACTGGCACACTCAGGAGCAAGCTCGCCAAAGTTTGCGACCCTGGATAGGAACAGACATCAGTGGAGCAGGGCGCACACAAAACCATTAAAACAATAACGAAAGAAGCGAAACTACTGCCTTCGAAGGGAGCTTATACGTTAATGAGCTACAGAATGCAAAAAAGTATTTGGCATGATAATCTACAAGAAAGAGCAGATCGGTACATTCTCTGAGGGATCCCTGTTTTCTCTTAAGAAATGAAATAGACCCCTCTTAGCTATCGAAACTAATTTTTCTAGTTGATTTTTGCTCGTCTTGTTAGACAGTTCCACCTCCTACTTTTATCAGTTGAACGTCCAAGATGATCACGCGTTCCATGTTCCATTTGATACACGCTCATCATTCAATAAATCAATCGAAAGTCAACCTGTTGGACGGATGCAATAGCAGCGCAAGTACGCATTCACATGCATAGAAGTGTAGATAAATAAACAGAGAAGGGGGAACGTAGACGACTAGGTAGAAAGGTAGAGAGAGTCTGCGTCGGAACCTGATCTCAAGGGCACGGCTGAGGCAGTCCACGGCCTCGACGAAATCACCTCCTTCTATTGCCTTCGATCCCTCCTCGAACAATTTGTCGGCTCGAGCCAGTCTATCCTCCGGCTCCTCACTCCCTTCCCCGTCCTCTCCATCAAGAGAAGAGCATCCATCCCCTCCTACTTCAGGACGCCCACCGGAGGCCAGCAGATCCTCATCTTCTCCTTCACCAACTCCAGCTAGGGTTTCCCCACCGTCCGCAGCCAGGCGCCGCTCCACCGCCGTCCTGAAACCCCCATTCTCCCCTTCCATTGCCTCCAGTCCCGCCGCCTGAAGCGCCGCCTCTTTCTCCTTTCCTAGGGCTTCTGCTGTCGCTGGACCGGGAGCTTCCACTGCGTCGGCCATGCCGGAATACCGAAGCACCCTACAGAGAGAGAGAGAGAGAGATAGAGACAGAAAATGTCATGGACTTTGATTTATACACAACCGTACCGCTCATCAAACCAGCGGGAAAAATGTCGAGTCTGACTTTGTAAATACCCTTAATTAAACTTATTATTTCGATAATACCCTTCCCGTAGTGGGCCTCTTGGGCCGTACTGTCACTGGGACGTTATGGAGTGGGCCCAGCCCGTTTATTGAGTCCTCGGCCCAGATGAGCTGAGCCCAGAAAAGCGCTCAGACAAGGGCTGTCACGGCACCGGGCCCTGCGAAGCCCAGTCCCGGCCCGAAAATATTATGTCGCCCAGATATTTTGGGCCTTGCTTTCTCACCGAAATCAGGAAACTCCGACCCACATAATTCCAATTAAAACAGTGTTAATGGGCCGTGCCGGGCCGGGACCATCTCAAGCCCAGATACTTAAATAGTCGTAAATCGTGGGGCCTGTGGTGCGCCGGGGGGAAAGCCCGGCCCGCCGATGGAAATAACGAGAGCGAGAGGGGATATAAGGAGGACCATGGAAAATCTGAGGGCCGTAGAAGAAGAGGGCGGTGAAGGAATTTCAGAGGCGAAGCCTCCCGGTGATGGCGCGCGTTGCTTCTTCTTCTTCTTCTTCTTGGAGCTCGTCTGCGCTCCACGCGCTTGCCGGCCGGGTGGCTCCTTTCCAGTCGGCTCCCCGGTCGCTGGATCTCAGCCGGACGCCTCTCCGGCGCTGGGGGGCGGGTCGGCGGTTTGAGAAGCTTAGCTGCCGGAGCAAACCCGATGCGGTGGATTCCCCCGCTCCGACGGTCAGTCTCCGCCCTGATTTTTCTTGTCGCTTGATCCTGTTTGAGAGCTCCTTTGTACGTGCTATCTGAGGGGAATACGGTGACGGACGGACCATGAATGTCATCGAATTTTTATTTTTTGAGAACATGTCCTAGGATTTTAGGATTTCTAGCCTATTCTGATTAGGGCAGGACATAGGTGACGCAAAATGTACCGGGAAAATAGTGAAGTACGAGCGTACTACGATCGTACTGCGATCGTACTACGACTTTAAAGCATCTGTACCAGAATACTGGCGTTTTACGTGTGCCACTAGACCATGTCAAGCGTGAGGGACCCCTGAAGTTGTTAATCGAGCAGAATAAATGGGGATTAAGTTCTTGGCTGTACCGGAATTTCGTGTGTGAGAGAGAATGAAAAACTAACACACTGTCAAACATTTAGAGTTTTCATCTGCCCGTTCAGGGAAATGCCTTTCGGAGGTCAGTAATCATGCCTTTATTCTTTTTCCAATGAAATATGAACACATTTAGCCGTAAAAGATCTAGAAAATGATTGAGAACGATTCTTTCCTTGTGGAAGGTCATGATTTAAGGAGATAAGGCCATAGAGCATTTGCATTCAAGAGGACTAGGAATGCGTTTCTCGATATGAGCAACCATGGCACAAATATTAATGGCAAGTCACGACTTGATCCTCTGGGTAGCTGAAAAAGATATTATATATTGATTCTTTTCTGCTCTCTAGTTGCAATCCTATTCTTGTTTTTGCTTCAACTTCTGTTCTTCAATTATATAAAAAAATACGCCATCCATGGTTTATGCACACACTGGTTAAATGCCTGGAAATCATTGACAACACATTATTATGTCATGGCTGATGAAGACACTCATGAAAATGCCAATAGTTGTAAAATTTTATTCCTTGTATAAGCAAATGGCGCGCTGACAAAGGTTCTTCCTGCACTCCCTAGCAGTTTACCACGGTTTAAGTCTTCTATAACTGTAGAGGGTACTTCTTTTTTTTCGTTGTGTCAAAAATATTTTTCTTGAGCTTTCTTTTCTTTTTCGGTATTTACTATTATTATTTTTATTTTGATCGGTATTGCTACTATTGTTGTTGTTATACTAACATTTTTTTATAGTAATCTGACTTAAAATGGTAGTTTATATTCTCAGTGTGCAAAGAATATTTCCTGTTGACGAATTTTATTTATATTCGTTCTCTAGCATTGTTTTAGGTTCGTCTGATACTGAATATTGATCTCATGTCACCTCAGGAGGATGTGAAAGTCGAGACTGATGCAGCCAGGAATAGTTCTAGTGATTCTGCCGGACCCGCACAGAAGTCTGAATTCCCAGAGTTTCCGAACAGGAATTTCAGCAGACAAGTTGCTGTGGCTTCGACCATCGCTGCTGTCAGTCTCTTCTTATCATCCAGACTAGAGTTTGGGGTTTCTCTGAAAGATCTAGCTGTCAACGCCATCCCATATGAAGTGGTCAGATTCCTTCGCTCTCTGAACTATAGATGGTTTTGCCTTCTCTTTACTCGAGAGAAAATAACATTATTATTTCATGTCATTGTTATGAAATGTCATTATTACTACAATGCTTTGTATGAAAAGAACAGCTGGATTAAGCAAGAGGCTCAGTCCCACCTCCCATCTCGGTGGATTCAAATCCAGTTTCCTTACAGGCTGAAGATTTACGGAACCCAGATTATCCTGGATTTTGTGGCATGTAGATTATGTTCCCATAGTGTGTTATTCAAAGGGACGCAGCAGCCATGTCTGTGGATGAGGGTTACACACACATATATATATATATATATATATTTATTTATTTATTTATTTTCGCACACATGCAGAGTCATCTTTTTTGTTCTTGTCCTTCTGCAGGCCCTCTCAAACGGGATGCCTACTGTTGTCGAGTTTTACGCAGATTGGTGTGAAGTCTGTCGTGAGCTGGCCCCCGATGTTTACAAGATCGAGGAACAATACAAGTAATGTTCTTGATTCATTCCTTTTTTTGGTATGCAGAAGCCGTTGACCTGGACGCAAATCAGTTTGGTTCTTTTAAAAACTGAATTTATTCCGTTTGAGATGCATTCCGGAGGCAAATCCATTTGATCTCCTAGATAAGCTGCATCATTTCCAGAAGATTATGGGTCTCATCATTAAATGCTGCCACCATCAATATGGAAATAAATATTATTTTCTCATCACAGTTGACCTTTATTCTTTTCATGTTGACCTTTTTTTCCTGAATAAATCCACGGATTTCTCCCACCATTCAAAGCCAAGGGGGTTGACTAGTTGGTTTCCCACAGATTACCATTCTCTCATCTATGTTCTATTTTCATATCCTTTTCTTTTCTTTTTTCTGTAATAAACGCTTATTATTATTATCATCATTTTTTGTACTGGATTGTATTGTATAAGCAGCAAGTAGGCTAACAAGTTTGACCTCTTCTTCTTCTTCTCAGGGGCCGGGTTAACTTTGTGATGCTGAACGTGGACAACACCAAGTGGGAGCAGGAGCTCGATGAGTTCGGTGTGGAGGGAATCCCTCACTTTGCCTTCTTGGATCGGAATGGGAATGAGGAGGGCAACGTGGTCGGGAAGCTCCCGAAAAAGTTCCTCCAGGAGAACGTGGCGGCCCTCGCCAACGGGGAGCCCTCTATCCCCCACGCCCGGGTAGTCGGTCAATTCTCCAGCGCCGAAGCGCGCAAGGTCCACCAGGTCGCTGACCCCAGAAGTCACGGGTAGTTGACGCTGCCACCAGCCGCCACGAGTGCTCCATATAAGGAAGGTATTGCTTCCCGCCCCCCCCCCCCCCCTTCCCTTCATCTATTCAATAATAATAATAAAATTTTAATAATGATAATAATATTGTATGCATGTAATCTGAATTTGGGTTCTAGTGGGTGGGTAATCCAGTGACATGAGAATACTCAGTTTTTTTTATGGGTTCTTGATGCAGGTTAGAACTTGCTGATAAAAAAGCACAGAGTCGTCCTCATTCTGATGCTCAAGATTATTTTTTTTGGAAATCGTGTAAGATAATATGGAAAGCAATAGGCTTGTAAGATCTTTTTTGGATCCCCCGTCTTTTAGGTTTCCTGAGGAGAAGAAGCTCTTGATGGTGGTGGTAGTGGGCAGGAGGTATGTGTGTATAAATAGTAAAGAACTGGACTTACGGGGAGGATCAGTAGTTCTCGGCTACGGGCCTGGAGGGGAAGAGGCGGAGAAGGAAGGTCGTCAGAGACCACAGGCAGACGACGCCCAGCACCTGGAAGGCGACGAAGAGGGACATGAAAGCGCCGCTCTGGCCGGCGAACTCCGCCGCCGCAACGGACCCTCTCATGGAGAACATCAGCCGCTGGACGAAGTGAGCTCCCTTACTCAGCTGGTACAGCCTGTACACCTGAGGATTAGGGTCAGGGTTAGGGCTAGGGTTAGGGTTTAGGACTGTTGGGGTTTTTGGAGGGGCTACCTACCTCGAAGATGATCGGCAGGAGGGGCCAGCAGGAGGATCGCCGCCGGGAGAGCATCCCTTCGAAGGCGAACTGGGCGGCGCAGCCGGCGAGGAAGGGGGCCACCGCCACCGCCCCGGGGAGGCCGATGGTTGGCCAGGCGGCATAGGCGGCGAGGAGGGGGACGAAGACTTTCAGGCCCATGGTGAAGAAGACGGAAGAGAGGTACCCCCTCAGGCCGGTGATGAGGCTCCACCTCTTTGCGCTGAACTCCAGATATGGCCTCTGAACCTGCTCGGTCACCCGCAGGAAGGTCGCCAGCCCCACGTAGAACATCCCCTCCGAGAAGATCGATGCCACCATCTCTGAATTCCAGAAGAAGAAGAAGAAGATGATGATGATGATGGTAGTAGTAGTTGCACAGAGATTTGAGAGAGAAAACATGGAAGAAGGCATCACTCTCAATCAATCAATCGATGAAAATATTGTGTGGATTACTGAGTTGCAGAGGAGGATGATGTTTGAATCATCGGCAATCCACGGCGGGTTCGAGAAAAGATAAATCTAGAAGCGGAGACGGCGATTACCTGCGAGAATCTCGTCCTTCAGAGCGGCCTCGATGGCGCCGGAGATGAGAAACTGGGGGAGCAGCAGAGAGGATATCAGTGCCAGAGGTCCCGCGATCCAAAGGGACGAGCCGGTGCCCTCCTTGAAGGGGGACGAAACCAGCTCCCGCTCTTCCAGCGCCTGGTAGGTCAATCCGCAGAAGGAGACGGATCCAGATCTGCCGCCGAAGGGCTCCATCTTCCTCCTCCCGGCAGATCCAGTCGCCGGCGCCACCGCCGCCGCGGGAGCGCCGTTGTTCCCGCCGCCGCCTCCGCCGGAATCAGCCGCAGAAGCGGCACCGTTCCCCCCACTCGCCGGAATCTGATACCCTGCAAGCCCTAAGAACACAGAGGGGGCGGCAAGTTGTCACAGAGAGATCTCGTACTGGATGAAGAATCGATCATGGAGAAGGGAAGAAGAGGGATCTCTTACTGCATCCGGAGCCGGGCAGTCGGCTCCGCCTCCACCGCCATGGACCACCGGTATGGCTCTTCACCGCACAGAAGAGATCAAGAATCCGTCAGGAACCGCAGAGAAACGAGGAAGACAGAATCTCTGGCAGCTTCCGTGGCTTCGGAGCTTCCAAGGGAATGACCTCCGGAGTTCTTATAGGATAGAGATGCGGAGGGAGAGAGCCCTTTCCTCTTCCTTTTAGAGAGCGACAGATAGCCACATAGAGCGAGAGAGAGAGAGAGAGAGAGAGAGAGAAACAGAGAGACAGAGAGACAGAGAGACAGAGAGGGAGAGGAAGAGGGAGAGACAGAGAGAGAGATGTATAGATAGATGATTGGAGAGAGATAGAGAGCGAGAGAGTGAGGGAGACGGAGAGAGCGAGACAGTGAGGGAGAGAGGGAGAGAGAGGGAGACGGAGAGAGCGAGAGAGTGAGGGAGAGGGACAAAGAGAGAGAGAGAGAAGGGAGAGTGAGCTTACCCCATGCGATGAGCAGAGGGAAGATAATCCATCGGGCCTTCTTCCGACGGAGGAAACGGAGGAAGAGGAGGAAGGAGAAGGGAGCCGGGAGAGGCCGAGGTGGCAGGACGCGCAGAGCGTCTGCATCATCAGCAAACAAGCTCTGTCTTTCTCTCTCTCTCTCTCTCTCGCTCAGGCCGCTCGTTCGGCTCCGCCCCCTGTCAGCAGTCTAAACCCTAAAAAAACCTCTGTAGTACCTCTACATCCTTCCCAACTTCCCCCCACGGGTCGGCCCATTTACTTCTAGTACTGGCCCATTAATCAATGCACAGTAAGCCCAGTAAATTATGATTTTAATGGGCCTGGTATGTGGGATGAGCCCAACGCGATATTTTATCGGTTTGGGCTTAGTCCTCAGGCCCAATTAAGATAAATAAGCTCAGCTCGGTTCAATAAACCACAGCATTTTACCCAAGAAAACAAGAAAAAAATACAAATAAATATCTTGGTCTCTCTCTTCCACCAGGACGAGCGAGCGGCCGAGTCAGGGGGAGAAGAAGGCTGCGCCGTCCTCCGGTAGCCGCCAGCCGGTCGCCGGTCGGTGGGGGTCGCCGTCAGTGAGCTGGCCTGCAGCCCACCGGTGGCGGCGGAAGCGGCGGAGGACCAGCTGCCTGTCCAGAGCCCGGCAGCAGCCGCCGTCGTCCTCCTCGCCGGAGATGGTCCGCCGGAGGAGGAGGAGGCTGGAGACGGCGGCGGAACCGCCAGCGGGGGCATCTACCGGCTCACTGCGGTCGCGCGCGGCAGCCGGAGTCTCTTCGAACGAGGAAGGTCTCGTCTTGGGGATCGCGGTCTCCATTCTCTGTCTATCTCTCTCTCTCTCTCGATCTAACTGTCTGTCTTGCTCTCTCTCTCTCTCTCTCTAAACTGAGGTAGAGCAGGGAGGGGAGGTGGCGGAGGGAAATTATAGAGGCGCCGGAGGGTAAACGGGGGGTGAGGGAGATCCATCGTTTCCTATTTCTGGGTGTCCCCAGTTTTGTTGATCTCCTCTCTCTCTCTCTCTCTCTCAGTGTTGACGACGATGATGGGGAGATATCAGAGGGTGGCGACGGCCCCCGGCGTCCACGTAATTTGAAAACAGCCAATCATCGCTCTACACGTGACTTAACGGTCAGCGGACTCACCTATGATTTGGAAGGCTCGTCCTGACCGAGACATGAAGACGCGACGGCGGAAGGCAAACCGCCGCTCTTTTCTGGGGGCGCTTCTCCGAAACCGGAGGGCGGCGGCGGAGCCACCCAGTTTGGCGGCGGCACCACCCAGCTGTTTGGCGGCGCCTCCGCAGCTTCTGGCGGGCCCAGACGTCCCATGCGCGAGTCAATGGGAGGACAAGTTCAACGTACTCTGGCTGGGGAAAAGGCTATGATTTGTACACGTGTCGTGGGAAGATTCGACAATAGTATCGCAGAATGTGATCGGTAATTAATTGTAACATGTTTCTGGGTTATTCGGTCTCAGTTGACCGTAAATTATTTCAACGGTAGTAACCTCCTTTTCCCTTTCCCCTACGACTTTTAATTATCTGCTAATAATCCTCCTCTCTTAGATATTTTTATATTTATTATTTTATTTTATTCTCAATTTAAAGATAATAAAACCTTATTACTACCAAAGGAGAGCCTTTGGTGACTAGTTACATGTGTATATATATATATATATATATATATATATATATATATATCTATATCGAGAGAGAGAGAGAGAGGGAGAGAGGGAGAGAGAGAGAGGGAGAGAGCTGTGGGCCTGGTAGAGGGCATGGATAAGGTCAACGCGATGTACAACCCATATTGAATAAAAAGTCAGCTATTTGTTTGCTTCGGCTCGAACCGCTTATTTATCCATTTACAAAAGATTTACAAAAAAGAAAAGAGAGAAGCAAGAGGCCTCAGCTTCTATCCTTCTTCTCGAGGAAAGTCAAGAAGAAACCGCTGACAATCCGCCGGACGATCGGGTTTGGGATGCGGCGGCACAGCCAGCCGTCCACGTAGGCGAGCAGGCCGGAGAGGACGAAGCTACCGACGGCCCAGATCCTCCCCGGCCGCCGCCCCGGGGAGGAGGATGACGGCGGCGGATGCTCTGGCGGCCCGGCGGCGGTCTTCCTCCTCGCATTGACCGCGACGACCCGGAGGAGCTCGTCTGCTCGGGCCCTCAGCAGGCGGATGGCGAAGCTCACGAAGAGGTGCTCGCAGAGGGTCAACACCATCGGTCCCACGCTCCATTCCTGCAGGAGACCACCCCGCCGAAAGTCAACGCCCTCCCAACCAAGCCCAGCAAGAGAATATTTTCAAGAAACATATCTAGCTGACATATCGAACTGTGAATATTATTAATGGAGGAAGGGGGGGGGGGTACTTGCAACATCAGACTAAAGTCAAGATATCTAGGTAACTGTCAATCTGTAAATATTCATTCATCTATCTATTACCACCAGAGTAAAATGGGAATTAATGGAGTAGGAGAGGGGGGGGGAGGGACTTGTGCGACATCAGAATAAAGTCAACGCCCTCCCAACATATCTAGATAGCTATCCATCTGTAGATATTTTTTCGTCTATTTATTACCACTAGAGTAAAATAGGAATTAATGGAGGACCGAAGGGTGGTACTTGGGCGACATTAGAATAAAGTCAACGCCCTCTCAACATATCTAGCTAACTAACTAACTGTAAGTATTATCTAATTTATCTATTACCATCAGAATAAGAAGGGAATTAGTGGAAGGCGGCTGTGCTTACAGTTTCGCCCCGGAGATGGCGGAGAGGGCGGGTGGTGCCTGAGGAGTCTCCTTTGAGTAGGCCCTGGGAGACGAGGAAGCTCTTCACGTTGTCGACGATCTCGTTAATGAGAGCGCTGTTTGGGGGCAGGTTCTTCAGGTGAACCTGCATGGCATCATGGCCTTTCTTAGTCGCCTGAGGCAAAGCTGTCACAAGGTCAGGGGAAAAAGTCAACGCTCGATCTGAGAGGGTGACAGAAGCTTCTCGAGGCCGGTGAGAGCAGCTCCATCAGCAGCAGGGAAAAAATACGGAGGCTGATGATGGGGTGGGAGGTTGGGAATGAACTGTGAACCCGTCGGCGCCAAGTCAACGCTGAGTCAGATCCGGCTTGGCCCACAGACTAAAGGTCGCCGCTTTCTTTCGAGCATGATACGACCCATTTCTTTTTTTGTTGTAGAAATGTCTGATATGAGGAATATAAGGGAGAAAAAATGGAGCAGAACCACACGACGAACAGAAAAAAAGGGGAAAGTCAACAAATGGGAATCTTTATATGGGGCTTTCCTTGAAGAGTAATGTTGACTTAATCGCCGAAGCGGCTCCACCATGGCATCGATACCCTTCTTTTCTGTGCTCTGAATGTGCTATGGGATCTGTCACAAGATTCCCCACTCACTGTCCAAAGCCCATAAAGACTCTCCTTTTGGTTCTCTTACAGCGAGAAGAGGTATCTGCCCAGATCTGAGAACCAGAGCTGGGCAAATGGCCACGGAAAGGAAGGGGGGAAGAGAGGGGGGCAGAGATCATATTCCGTTGTGGATATTACTGGGTCAAGTATTCAAGTAAAGGATGAGTGGTCAGAGATATCAAGATCCTCCCAAATCAGGCTGTGATGAGTACTTGCGTGATAGATTTTCTGGTAAGAAATAGCAAGGATGATCTTCAGGAGGGTCCTGGTACTAATATAATAGCTGTCAAGACTTTGGTTACTTTCAATGATCACTCCTGCATTTTGACCCAACAGAGACTGGCTAATATTTTATCCAAAATTTCATCCAAAATAAGAAAGTTAAAAAAAAAATGTTGCAGGTGATATTTTCATCAGATGTATTTTTTATTATAAAAAATCTGAATATTTGACCCAACTGAGCCTGGCTAATATTTCATCCAATATTTCATCCAAAATAAGAGAGTAAAAAACTAAATTGTGCAGATGATAGAAGACGTAAACTCTGAATCTTTGACCCAACAGAGGCTGGCTAATATTTTATCCGAAATTTTATCCAAAATACGAAAGTAGAAAAAAACAATGTTGCAGATGATATCTGAAGTAAAATCTGAATCACGAGAGATATATTATTTCCCGAATTATTAAAGAGGAGAGCTACTCACCAGATTGTCTATCACCTTCACTTGGAGATATTCTTGGTTATACGTCACATGCAGCATAGCCTGTAAGTACCCTTCGATGTACAGCTGCAGCAGAACACAGAAAAATGATCTGAGATGGATTACTGAAATATTTTTGCTATGTTCTTGACATCCATTCGAATCCAAAGAAATCATCGATGAATGGGTGGCTGCTCCATCTTCCATGGTCTTTCATACGAATACTGCCTAAGAGATGAGGACTAAAACCGATAAGTATTAGAACTCAACCAAAGCAAGAAAGATTCACCTCGTCGACTCCAGGACTCTGATCAAGCACAATTTTTCGATCAGGACCGCCGTGCATGACAGCCGCTCCTAATAACGACGGCTCCATAGCCAATCTCATCATACCTTGGTGGAAGCCATTCACCTGGGCGGGAGGGGATTTATGGACCGGAGAAAGAAAGGATTATGGAGAGAAGTTGGTCCGTCGAATCCCAGCGCACAACTTAAGGTCTAAGTCGAAAAAATACAGGAAAGAGCAATAATACTTCAGATGTGAAAAAGTCAACGAGTTAGGGCAGTACCAAACCATTGAAACCATCTGCTTCTGCTCCTTTCAAAATGCTGTCTGAAATCTCGGTAATGGCAGCAAAGAGGACACTTGAACCTGCCTTCTTCATCTGTATGATAAACAACGTCAACACTTGCAAGTAATTTTCACATGACAGCTGATGAACCTCCAAAAAGAATAGCACTAATTCTGGAATTAAAAATATATATACATAAAAAAAACTTACGGTTATGCTCAGGTCGCCGAGATATCTCTTCGTGCCCGAAAATCCCTTGGAATTGACGTACTTGTTGACGAACTTGAACATGCCTAAATGCGAATGCAACAGATATTCGTTGGTATCATCGAAAAACTGGGTGGACCTTTCAGATATCATGAAATAAGATTCATACGCTATCAGTACATTTATATTTTGGAATGCATGACCATAGCAGCAACTTTCAACACCATGATTTGAAAAAATTATGCAGAAAAATAATCTGGGCAAAGGGAAATTGCATTTCCTTTTGGACAAGATAAATGACCATGTCGTGATGGATTCATTTAAATTTCAACACAAATTTATTTTATATCCTCTAAATGGTGCAAAAAACATTATTCGTCAAGCAGCGGTAGCATGCAAAAAAGGTGTTCAAACCTTCCTTCAAGTGATTCGTCTGGGGCGACATATTCCCAAATTTAGATTGACAATGTATTATAAATTCCAAAGATCATCACGATCATCACAAGGTAAACCAAAATAAGTTTTAAAACTGGCTGATGCAGTCTTCTTCATTTTGACAGAAACATTCGATAAGTACAATCGCATACGTTGAAATAAACCAACCTAAGGTGAATCCTGGAAGATTGATTGAACCGCTGGAAGGATCGAAGAAAACATCAAGGGATGATGAAGCAGAATCATCAAATATCGATGCAAAGGCTGGAGGAAGCAACGGGCTTCCTTTTGCAATGTATACAGCACGTACAACATACCTGAAAATTCGGTTGATGAGGCTATTGACATGCATGACCATAACATCAACAAAAAATCAAAGGAACTAGAGATTCTACCAAGAGTAATGTTTGGCACATTTCATCAGCAATTCTCTTTTTGTTAACAATGCATGATTAAGCAGGACACCATTCAACTCTATAACTGTATTTTTCAGCTCAGGCACCTGAAAATTTTTAGATCAAAATATTTCCACATCAGATAATTGATAGCAGATGTCTCGAATATATATTTCGAGTATTCATCGTGACGCAATAAATTACAATAATGTAGAAAGATCAAAGACATCATCTGAATAAATGTTAAACCAATAGAGCAATTAGCAGCAATAAAGTAGTTTTGCTCCGATACCTTTATCACTGTGTGTAATAATGATCTCAACGTTTCTTGCGCTGAGCTATAACTTGAATATGGATTCCCAGGCAGAAAACATGTTCTGATCTGTATAAACACATAGAACAGAGTAAGATAGAAATTCTGAAAAATATCGTCAGGGTAATGACAGTGGTCAAGAAGCTAGACAAGGACACCTTGAATGGGTGGATCTCAAATTGCTTGAAATAGTACAGTTGACTCTGCATCTTTGAGTCACTGAGAGATGTTCTCCAAAATGCAGCAAGTTTCATCAGAGTCTCCTCATCAAGGTTCAAATCAAAAGGCTGTCAATACATTCCTGTTACCCGTTAGTGCAATCGCTTTTATTCATCAATTTGGGAATTCATCTATACAAGCACGGACACAAATCGGACAGAACTAACATCCAGAGGCAAAATTTTCGGCAAGAGCTGCAAGAATTTTAATGTTTTCGTGCATAAGACATGTACATTTAAATCTTAAATCCAGAAATAAAAGATTTAAGATTACCTGTAAGAGAAGAGATAAACGTTTTACTTCCTTAACATTAGAATTGCTGGAATGTAAAATGCAAAAACAATGAAGCATGTCTTCATTCACTAAGGAATCTTGTAATTGACTCCTCCGGATCATTGATGCAAAAGGAGCTCCTCGCCATTTGTTGCCCACATTTATCGACTGGTTGCCAAAGAGAGAAAAGTGACAAATGACCCAAAGTGGCCTACTCAACCATTGGATGTATAAAAAATAGTCATTAAGTTGTAAATATGTAAACATAGATTGAAGCTTGTGGTATACCTCGACTTTTGCACAGAAATATGTGTCTGCATCGGTAGACAATGAATACAGAGTAAATTTCACAAGCCTTATGACGATAACTGTTTGGGGTAGACTTGTAACTTGTTCCTACATGAAGAAAAGAAAGCTACTGAATCAACACGTGGACATAAACAAAGCGCATGAAAAGAAAATGCAGATTTTTCTGTTGCGTGATCCTAACTTAGAAAGATGAAAGAAGATCTAAAGCTTACAAAAGATATAATGGATTTCATGTTTGCTACCATCGAAAACAAATAGACAGATGGCCTAAAACTACCCAAATTAGGAATTAACTAGTTAAATTTCATGTTATATTCTACCAAAGATAAAAGGTCTTATTCCTGGAAGATAAAATGATTAAAAATAATTTTAATTAACTTATTCTCTTTGGAAAATAATGGTGGCGGGATTAAATTTGGGTAGAAAAGGTTCAATAAAACATAAAAAATTTAGGAGTCAATAGTGGAGAACAGCATTTTGTTCAGTGTATAATAAAAAGACCTTGCAACAAACACCAATGTATACTGTTGACAGCAAGGTGACATAAAAGTTGATGTCCAACCTGAATGTCATCCTCAAGCAAGTTAATAGCAAAATGTTCCATCCTGAAACGAAAACTTGCACGTGGCTGTAGTATTGCCTCTTCTTTGTAACTTTCACCTTGTTCACAGATCCGTAACACCCTGGTAAGGCCATCTGCGTACACTTCATAACCCACCCTACGGAACTCAAGTCCTTCTGACTCATCAAAATTTCTCTTTTGGGATCTTGACATTCTATTTACTGGGAAATGCAATGCGAGCAGTTTATTCTGCCTTGCTTTGAAGATAGGTTTCCACGGAGAGATCTTGTCAATGTTAATTTCACGTAATAACTGCATGCCTATATAGGAAAAAAATTACAATGAGAAATACTCATAAATTACATGTACAATCACTAACCAATGATTAAGTTTGGTGTCAAAATAATCCAATCATGAGCTTGAAAATGTAACTTATTTCTCATGAGCGAAGGTATCAGGTCAACTATTGAAACTCACTCATTAGCCTGATGAATCAATTTTTTGGGCTTTTTGAGACAGATGAGTTATTGTGAAAAGCCTGATCACCCCTTGGTATTAATGTATTTTACACTGGGAAATGTTGTCCTAGCGTCCATGTTTTTTAAGGGGAGAATCTTCTTATAATTTCAATTCCTCTATACTGTAGTACATTGGATGGTCACGAATGTAACGAAGCTTTGTTCATGTGTGCTTAGTCCTCTTTCCTTACTCTGCATGGATCTTCTCGCTTGTCCATTGTCTCCTAAAGTTCGTAGGACAGTTCCACTCCGAACATAACTCCCATCAAGTAAATTCAGGAATCTTGGGAAACTTTTTACAAATAATAGTTCTAAGAGATGAAATTGATTCTGGACATGGAAATATGCTATGGCTGAATTAATTTCACTAAGGAAACTGATAGTATAACGTTCACATCTATATGTAGACGCCAATTTATGTCCTTCCATTTGGTAAGATTTTAGATCTCCTAATAGTTTAGAAATTACACTAAAATTTGTGGGAAAAACGTGTAGTTATGAGTTAGTTTCTGTTGGCCAGTTTCCGAGTTTGTAAGTTTCCTATTTTGTCAGTTTTCTTAGACTAGATAGTTTTTTTTTCTTGCGGCCAGGGTGGGTAATTGTCTATAACTAGAAATTGTTGTATGATTTGAAGACTAAATGAGATTTTTTCCGACTGTTTATCCCTGTATGGTTTATGTCGAAAATATTAACTGTTTTCTGTTCTGAGATTAGGACAGCGATTAACATACTTTCTTCACGTAAGCGACTGATTATGACATTTAAGAACCTTGAAACAGGGTTTTAAAATAGTTTGAACTAGAATTTGAACTCTAAATCAAACCATGCAACGATCATCCTCCAATTGGAACCAGATGACTAAAACACCTATGAGAAATATAAGTCAAGGAAGATATTAAGCAAGCTTTATGTTCACAAATCTATATCCAATGTCAAAGAGAACCCCTTTAGTTGTGCTTAGAGGTAAGAAGATGTGTTTTCTGAATGATTGTCGCATATCCCATCTACAATGGCCGGCAAGTCAAAGTTTAAAACATTGGAACAATTTTATCTTTTTTAAAGCTGAGGAATTTCCTTGGTACCTCTTTAAAATAATTTAAAAGAAGGACATAATAAGAACCCATGAAAGAAGCCATGAAAGATCATGGCAGAAATGCATGGTCGTATCTATAGAGGACATAATAAGACGCTAGATAGAATAAATAATTTTCTAAAAGCTCCGTCACCAAAACCTTCATTTGGAGTGGACCCGAACTAGATTTTATTTTAGTACATGTTACCTGAAAACTTTGACCATCAGACCAAATAGCACTCAACAGGTTTATACACCACACAAGTGCGGTATAAGGTTAGAATAAGCTAAAAATATTAAAATTCAAGATCATTGAAGCCACCTCATACCTGATATTTGAACGACAAGTTTATGAGGCAGGTTTTGGTCATCCAAAACATAATCCACATAATCTCCAGCTCCTAGGGTCTCCGGTTCCCCTGACTCCTGAGAGATTTTATAAATTTAGAGAACCGCATTGATATATGTTAGTTCATAAAGATCAAATGGTAACAAAATTGATATCAACCTTTTGGTAGAATGTAATGGATGCACCACGCAAGCCATTTTCAATACGGTAAGGCAGAGTTAAATCTGGAGGCATGTGAAAATGCAAGACCAGAGTGGAGCTTTCCTCCACTATATGGACAGATGCAAACTGTGCCATTCTGCTCTTGACTGCAGTGATTGCATTTGATGCACTGTTGGAGTACGTCAGTTCCTTTTTAAATTTGATGAAGAAACGACCCAGAGAAGAAATACATATTGGACCTGACCAACTGTATTCAGTCTCTTTTAAGCGAAACTGAATAAAAACTAGTGAACCTTCATCAATGTGTCTATGTTTTCTGCACACTGAATCAAAGAGGCTTGTTGTACTTCTCTTTCTACTAGGATGCATGTAAAGGGTTGCCTTTTCTTTAGCTTCAAGTTGTGTAATTCCATCTGCATCTGTCTGTGAAGCAGAGAACAAACAGAAACGCATCATTATAGTGTAAGTATGTGGACCTTCAACCTGAAACAGGTTACGTGAATGAGATGGAGCAGACCTCTACTTCACATTGACGGATAACGATAGGTACCATGGATTCATTTGAGATTACATGTCTTGGGACGATAGTTACCATCCGTGCCGGTAAAAAATCTTTAGATTCGCACGCCTTTAGTGAAACTCCAACTTTTACAATACGACTGACACTGGCTTCATTGGAAGATTCAAATCTAAGCTCTGTAAAACCTGATAATGTGTCCAAGTCAAGTAATGATTCTGATGCTTTTTCTTCCTTCAATCGGAGATACACTCGGTTTGATCTGAAGAACGTGTATATGAAAGAACACACTTATAAAAAACGAGAGTAAAGAGGACCGCAGGTGTGGCCATATAAAGATATGATTAAACGGGTGCGAAAGAGAATCTAACTCTTACTTGAGTATCCATGATCTTGTGGAGTTTGGAGGCAAGAAGAGTCCAAGGTCGGGAGGAAAGATTGAAGCATATCTTTCATTTTGTTCTCTACAAAAAATTGTGTTAGAAAATAAGATTGATGAGAAGGATGGGATGCAATGAGATTTCACTTACTGAGAGAGAGGTTTCTGACTCAAGGTAAAGCAGAATAAAGAGAGTTCCGTGTTGTTCTGCAATGTAAATGAGGAAAAAACAGTGGCCTGCACAATAACCAAGTTAATCACCACGTAAATTAGATTGAACTAATTTCTTCTCAGCTCGTCTACAATATAGCATTAAAAACTCGTCTTCATGGATGTTCTACAAAATTTTCAAAATATTGAATCATTAATAATGCAGAGTGGCATTTCATTTTCTTCCGATCAGAAGCTACAATGGTAAATTCGAAGCTATCCGGACTTATGATCTACTCCACTACCGAATTTCTTTAATTGGAAGTATGGATAAATATCAAAGTTGTCACGCTCTTTTCTTAACAATCATTTCCAAGTCGCTCTCTTTGTTGCTCTAATCTCAAGAAGATCCCATATACCCTTTAACTATTCACTGAAGAAGTTGTCAGCAGGCAATTGCAAGGTAAGTAACCCCCACTCTTCTTCCACTGTTAGCTGCAGCCTGTGAGCTGTTCTTCTTTTCTTAAAGGGAAAATCAACTATCCCTCTATCTATAAGATGGGAGAGAGAGAAATTGGGATCCATGGGTCGGTGGCCATAATTTCTCTTATGTAAGCAGGTTCTGGATTTTCCACGATAACTAAGATCATAGATTCCCAATTCTAATTTGAGTTCACCATCTTGTAAAGAAAACATGGCCACAATAAGGATAATGATAAAGGGCCTGAATAGCAACCTTGTTTTTGTAAACTAACGACCAAAGAAAAATATGGGCGTATTATTACCAAGAAAGGATCAATTACATAAGAATGAAAACAGAATTTTACAACGTTTAAAAATACGTCTATACTCGTGCATTCTGTGAAACATCAAACTCCATGATCTATTGACAGAAATCGCAAGGGCAAAGACATAATACTCTGAATATTACAAAACGACGGAGTAGAGCATTTTAAGAGGATAAGAGCAAGATTTGGAATAACAACACAGAGGCCAATGGACAAATACTAGGATAAGTGATAAAACCAAACCAAGCTACCAGACAAGAGCTTTATAGCTAATCCTATGGGCAACAGTCACGGTGGAATTCGAGCAGAGATGACAATGGCTGATCACACTGATCACACTGATCACACTGAGACAATGGCTAGATTATAGACTCTTATTTCAGTTAACTCCTAATTTTAGGAATAAGGTTGGCTTTCTAATCTGAAACCCAATTAGTTTTAGCTTTATCACTGAGATATCAAAAATGAATGTAAACACCTTGCACAGAATTTTTTTTTTGCTTAGGGTTAAGGGAGGGTTATCTTGACAAATTGTGCCCCCAATATAATGATTCATTCTTAAAACGTGGAAGGTAAACGTTAAAAAAGAAAAACAAGATGGCAGGAAAAGGAAGGCAATGCATATATCTAGATAACGATTGACCTTCCAATTTCATTCTACAAACCTTTTATATCTCCAAAAAAGAGAGCCCATTGCGAAAGAAATATTTATTAAAACTGTGAAATGAATCAGGGTAATAAAAGGAATAACACTGCATGGGAAAAAATAGAACCTCCAAAACGCCCTTGTCTCCACAAGATAATCTTAGATAGACAGAATGCTTCCCGCTGTTAAAAGCCAGTTCAATATCAAAAAAATGAGATTCATATTTTTGTTTATGCAGCTTCTTGACACATTCACTGGTATCCACTGGCTTGCATTTAGAATTCAACGCAGTTAAGGTAATTGTAAAATATAGCGACGATGGATTCGCATAAAAATAAGCATTTGAACCATAAGGAATAACTGCATTCTTTCCAATATCACCAAGATCCTTAATGGATGCATCTGCAAAAAAATAGTATTGTATATGTATTATATTTCTCAATAGTTTCCGGCCAATATGAAACTACAAGTAAGTCATTGCAAAAGTTACCAGGATATGTCTCTGTTAGAACAACAAGTATTTCAGTTTGCAAGAGGTTAAAGACCTGCACAGTTGGAGATATAAAAATTTCCTTTTGAGATAAGAACGTTGAGGTCTCGTGCCCAGATGTGTTCCCTACATTTGAAGTTTCTATGACAGGCACATCTCTTCCAGTGATCTGAATCAGGAAATGGATGTGAGAGGCATGGCGACCCTCAACAATAAGGGGACAGCATACAGTAGTGAGGGAGGATTTCATTGATGGAACACCAAAAACCTCTTTAAATCTGTAGCTTAATTTATCAAATACTCCTGACAAAGCAACGGTCTTTCCACTCATCATATTTTCTGACCAATCTACTGAAATCTCTTTCCCAGTCTTCTCAGGGAACCCAGAGATATCAGGTTTAAGGGATATCATAAAGTTTCCTGAAAATAAAAGAGCAAGTGCAGTTGAAGACCTTAGAAAAGTAGAGGCAGAAAACAGAATCAGTAATGCTTGAATTTCAAAAAAAATGGAACAGCAGATGGGGATCAAGTTCAAATAAAAAATACGACGATTTATAGGTCAAAATACCTTTAAACTTTCTTTTTTCTATTATTTTTTAATTTACTATTCAAAGTTATAGAAATATTACATCTATGTTTTCCCCCCGTCAAGAATTGTCCCAAAATTGTCAAATATGGCCAACCTTCATAAACAAGGCAAACACTTCAAATTTAGCCATTAAAAATACATAGGACAAGAAGAATAGGGTTCGTTCACACAATATAGATACAGCCAGGAGTTTAAGCTGTATCTCAGTAAATTCCAATAGTTGTTGGAAGAACAGCTGTACATCCGTCCATCAAACGCTCCTATACTGTGTACTTCTGGATGTTTTCATGGTACTACACTGTAGACATAGTAACAGCTCTAAGTTAGTATTTAAGTGACCTTTATGATGTTGAGATGAAAAAAATAGATTCAATAGAATTATATCCCTTTATCTAATATTACATGAGAAGAAAACTTCATGAACTCGGGACTGCGAGAGGTCTTATTCTAGCAAAGGATGCTGGGCCGAGTCTTTGACAATATATCATGGTCCCTACTTTAGATGGACAGTGCAGACTGACGAAAATTCTGTGGTGGATAACCTGGCGACAACAGCCATTAGAGCAAGAAAATCTACAAAACGAACTGGAGCTTTGTATGTTTTTCACCAAAAGAGCGTTCACGGAAATGAGATAACAGAAAAGTAACAACTTTCCAGTCACACACAAACGGGACCCTTTCCCTTGACTGGATAGATTTCATCTTTGGATTCTACTATTTTCATCCTTCATGGATCTTGGAAAAATATGTTTAAATAATAGCATCAAGGCTCTTACTTGGCATGTTAATCATATATTACAGCGTGCAATGGTAGTATATCTCACCTTCATTTAAAGATATCATAGCCTTCTTTGTGTCCCCGGAATAATCTAAGCCATCAAGTGCTCTGGAATCATCAATTGTATCCCCTATTCCCAGTGGAATAATAGTAATTGGTCCTTTCTCCTGTGGACTACATAAACGCAATTCCATAGATAATCCACTTGTATTGTGTATTCTTGATAAAGGAGAGACAGTAAGGGAGAATCCATCCTTCGTGTGAGACAAATGCGTAATTAGATAGTATAATTAGGAAAACATGAAAAATAAACAAAACAATTATTATTGGATACCTCTGTTTTCATGGAGGCCTTTACCACAAGGGAAGGCCCTGGGGATGTCCTTGAATCTGTTGACAATGTCCATTACAATTAAAGAATTAGCAGAATAAGAAGTATGATAAATAATCTAGAGAGATGAACGCAAAGTGGTAGCATAAACATGGCATGAAGTTAGATAAATGGAAAACCAAAAACGAAAAGTTAGAAAATGAAGCATTTTAGAAAGAAAACCGTCCTATTTAAATAGTATCGAAAAATGTCTTTTCCTTCAAATGAAAAATGCATCAATTTTTAGAATATTAATTTTGCGGTCTTGGAAGATCCACAAACATTTAAAAAGTGGGAACGAGATATCAACACATAGATGCACATAAAACAAAGTGTTCATTATGAGCACAATGCAGTTCTCTGGAATTTCAGGAGACCCCTGAATAAATGGAGCGCACAAAAGTTTTGAACACTTTATATGCTGCCAGATTAGCTAGAAGATCAGAGAAGGCCAAATTAATGCTGATTCCGTGTTAAAATAAAAAGCGGCTATAGCCGATTGCATGATGTTAATCATAAATGTCAACATTCAATAGATTTCATCCTATTTTGTTTTTGAGTTTCTTACTTTTCTTTATTTCTGTTATGTCGCTATGAAATCTGACATGGATCCATTGGGTCTTGTTGGAACCATTAACGTCTGTGCTTAAAATACACATGACTAGGAATAAAACTGTTCTTTTCCTACGCATTTTTTCTGTCGCTCTTGGCGGCTGTGTTGGAACCCCAATGCCGGAGTCAAAGAATTGACATGGTATCAGAGCAGGTTAATTCCTATTCCTCCTCTCAAGATTGAGAGATCAGTGAAAGGAAATTTCACGACTTCAACAGCAGCCTAGAATCTCTAGTGATTGTTATAATTCATATTCTTGCGGTAGTTGGCATCTGTTCCCCTTTTCTTGAAGCAGTTCGTATTTCTTGGAGAAGAAATTTCAAGAAACATCACATGGCTTTTAGTGGAGAATCCTCAAATACTTCTGCCAGTGTGCCAGATTCAACCATTGAGAGGGAGAAACTTTATCAAGTTCTTCTGGGTATACCAGAAAAAATGAGATTCGATGGTAAGAGTTTATATCAATGAGGACAATTCGTTGAAATGATTCTCTTAGGCCGAGAGTTACATGATCATCTTATGGAACCTCCTATAGAAGCATCTGACCCACGACATCGAAGTTGGAAATCAGAGGAAGCTATCATTCATACATGGTTACTGAGCACCATGAAAGCAGAAATATATGAATGCTTCCTATTTATTAGAACAGACAAAGATTTATGAGACTGTATACATTGGAGTTGCTCAAAAAGGTATAATGATTGGAGAATCTACAACCTTGTGAGGAAGACAATAGACCTTGTCCAAGAGGAGAGGTCTGTCCTAGAGTATGCATGTGAATTACAATCCATCTGGAGAGAGATTGACTACTATAGACCAACAAAAAATTCAAAATCTAAAGAAAAAATGTACATATAGAAGGACAGACTATATAAATTTCTTATGGGATTAAATTCAGCGTATGAAACCTTCAGGGTCAGAACTTACATCAAGAGAGAGTTCCAGATTTAGATGAGGCAATTCAAATTGCAATAGAAGAAGAAAGCCGTATTAGCCTCATTTCAAATGAGTCTAAAGACACTAATACTGCATTTGTATCTAAGTACAAAAATGGTTTGAATATTACTACAATGGAGCAAAACTGTAGGGAATCATTATTCTGCAGCTACTGTAAGAAGAAACGCTATACTAAAGAGAATTGCTGGAAGTTGCATGGACAATCATCTTGGTCCAAGATAATGTAGCAATAAATTCAAACTCGAGTGAGAATAATCAACCAGTAAATGTAAAAACTAGTGATGAACTTGCAAGAATTATTAAGGAGCTGGAGAAATTAAAGGTAACACTCAGCTCCACTCATCTAGCCAGGACAGGTGCAAATTCATTTTCTTTTAGGTTATATACTCATGATCACTCTCACAATGGGATGTGGATCCTTGACATAGGAGCAACTGATCATATGACTCCTGATCAATCAAAATTTATTACATATACAGCGTGTGCTCTCTCAGAGAAAGTTTTTACTGCAGGATGTGGATCCTTAAATGTTGCTGAAATAGGCAACCTCCAAATACATAATTTGGGTATTCTAAAGGGGGCCCCGCATGTACCTGAGCTTAAAGCTCAATTAATATCCCCATTGAAATTAGTTCGGAATACTTGTTACAAAATTATGTTGTACTATAATAGATGTTTTATTTCTGATAAGGTTTCGGACCAAAAGATTGGACCTGTTAAGGAGAGATGGATTACTCTACCTTGAAGAATAGAAAACACCATTGTTGTCCACATGATTGATGCTGAAGGAACTCTTACAAAAAAATCCAGAATCATACTTTTACACAGTCGATTGGGGCATCCCTCATTTGAATTGTTACGTCATATGTTTCCTTTGTATTCCAAAGTATTTAATTGTAGTACAATTATTTGTGATGCATGTCAACTTGCTTAGCATAAGAGATCCTCTTTTCACATGTCATCTTCTCGCATTCAAGTTCCATTTGATTGCATCTATAGTGATGTGTGAGGTCCATGTCCAGTCTCAACTATGAATGGTGGACACTGGTTCCTTATTTTGGTTGATGACTGTACTCGCACTACATGGATATACATTTTGAAACAAAATCAGATGTTTCAACCGTGATTCAAAATTATTTTCTTATGGTCAAAAGTCAATTTGGGATTCTTATCAGACACTTCTGTTCCGACAATGCTAATGATTATTTCAATCATACATTGCCAACCTTTTTTAGTGCAAATTGAGCCATTCATGAGTCTTCATGTATTAACACACCACAACAAAATGGTGTGGCAGAAAGGAAGATTGGACATGTGCTGGCTGCTACTCAAGCATTACTCTTTCATCAAGAGGTGCCTAAATACTTATGAGGAGAAGCAGCATTAACTACTGTTCATCTAATAAATCCACTTTCATCAGAGGTCTTAAAAGGTCAGAGTCTAATTGATGCTCTCTCCTCTAAATATCCAAATGTGAGATTAAAAAGTGGTTTAACTCCACGAGTGTTTGGATGTACAGCATATATACATATCTCACATCCAACAAGCAAATTGATCCCAAGGTTGTAAAGTGTGCCTTTATAGTTATTCTATGACCACAAAAGGGTCAAAACGTTATGATCTAATATCAAGAAAATCATTCGTTTCAGCTGATGTTACCTTTGATGAAGGACATAGTTTTTTCAAGAAGTCTTCTTTGAGCAGCTCGGAATCACCAGATCAAGGGGATACACCCTTTGAACCGAATTTAGTTCTTCCAATGGTACCAAGTGAGGGAGTTAGTTCTGATGAGAGTGAATCTCATATTGATGCATCAAATCGTAAACAACCAGTCAATAAGAAGATACAAGTATATCGCAGGAGGATTGAGAATGATTCAGAAAAAAATAGAGATAATAATTTTCCAATCTCAGACCTTCTTGCATCTATTGATATCCCTATTTTAGAATCAGTAAATCCTCATCATGGGGTGGACCCACATAATTCTATGGGAGATGCTCAAGATGGCCCTATTGCATTACGAAAAGAAGTGAGGAGGTGTAGGATACCTCCAAAGTATCCGATGGCAAATTATCTCAACTATGCTCATTTCTCACCATCGTATAGAACTTTTTTAACTAATGTTGATTCTGATTGTATTCCTCACATAGTAGAAGAAGCTATGGCTGATAAGAGATGGAGAGAAGCTATGCTACTTGAGATGGAAGCATTATACAAGAATGAAACATGGGAGTTTGTTAATCTTCCTCCATGAAAGGAAAGTGTGGGCTATAAGTGGGTGTACACTGTGAAACATAGAGCAGATGGATCAATTTAATGTTATAAAGCAAGATTAGTTGCTAAAGGTTTCACCCAATCATATGAAGTCGATTATTCAGAAACATTTGCTCCAGTCGCAAAGCTAAATACAGTTAGAATTTTGATCTCATTTGTCGCTCACTTTCATTGGCCTTCACATCAATATGATGTATAGAATGCGTTGTTACATGGTGACTTAGAAGAAGAGATTTATATTGAGCCTCCACTCGGATTTAGAGAGTCATACACACCACAAACAGTATGTCGGCTAAAAAAGATGTTATATGGACTTAAACAGTCCCCTAGAGCGTGGTATGATAAATTCACACAAGTTATGAAAGAAATAGACTATCTACAAAGCAATAGAGACCATACAATGTTTATCAAGCACTCAAAGACAGGGGGCGTTTGTATATGTGGATGATATTATAATTATAGGCAACGATTCAGAAGAAATCAAAGCACCTAGCACAAATTTATCTCAAAGATTTGACGTCAAAACTTTGGGTAAATTAAAGTATTTCTTCAGCGATTCACATCAAGGGATTTTTATATCACAGCAAAAGTATATTCTAAATTTACTTCAAGAGACAGGCAAGGTGAATTGTAAGCCAGTCAACACTCCACTAGAAGCTAATTTGAAGCTTGGACCAGGCGAAGATAGTCCTTCAGTGGACAGAGGACAATATCAATGTTTAATTGGAAAGTTGATATATTTAAATCACACTAGACCAGATATTGTCTTTGCTGTGGGACTATTGAGTCAATTTATGCATGATCCTAAAGACATTCATCTTCAAACAAGATATAGAGTACTGGCTTATCAAGGGTACGGTTGGCTTGGGTCTTTTATACAAATTTGGAGGTGACAAACTAGTTAAAGTTTATACAGATGTTAACTATGAGGGCTCTATCACAGATCAAAGATCTACCATAGGCTACTGCTCCTTTATTGGAGGGAATTTAGTTACATGGAGAGCTAAAAAAATAAAAAGTTGTTGCAAGGTCTAGTGTTGAAGCAGCATTTAGAGCGACGGCTCAAGGTATTTGTGAAGCTCTGTGGATTATAAGTTTATTGGAAGAGTTAAAAGTCAATTTTTCGAGAACAATTGGACTGTATTGTGAGAACAAATCAGTCATTGACATTGCACATAATTCTGTGCAACATGATCGGACAAAACACATTGAGGTTGATCGACATTTTATTAAAGAAAAAATTAAGGAGAAAATTATCTCTACATCTCATGTGAGATCAACAGAACAAGTAATAGATATCCTCGCAAAAGGATTAGCAGGGACATCATTGCAGAGAATTACATGCAAGTTGGACATGGATGAAGCCCATGAACCAACTTGAGGGGGAGTGTCAACATTCAATAGATTTTGTCCTATTTTGTTTTTTAGTTTCTTACTTTCCTTTATTTTTGTTATGTCACTATGAGATCCGATATGGATCCATTGGGTCTTGTTGGAACCATTAACGTCTGTAAAAGTACAGCACAACTAGGAATGAAGTTGTTATTTTCCTGCACATATTTTCTGTTGCTCTTGGCGGCTGTGTTGGAACCCTAACGCCAAAGTCAAAGAATTGACAATAAACATAATGAATTTCCAGATTAATCGAAGATTCATGGAAGGGGGACAACATGTCAGGATTTATTTTTCATCCTTTTTTTAGGGTGGGGGGACAAATGCAGAATAGCTCAAAAGAAACAAGTTTAACATACAGTGGAAGTTCAGAATTCCATGGGGTGAATATTCTTTACACTAGCTGAAACATCTGCATGAAAGGAAATAAAGTCGGAAGTGCAACTTGATTTTTGGCCTCGAAAACTTCAAACTTTCCTTTGATAGTTTGTAGTATCCTGACATGTATTGATTCCTCAAAGATTCTAACCATTAATGTCTGTTAGAGAATTAAATAATTTGATGACTAATTTTAAATTGTTCGGTTTAGAGTAAACTCTGAACTTCTAGGGACGATGCCTATTTTTAAAAAAAAGGTCCAGCTCATTCTGTTGTTGATCCAATAAATGAGAGGATTGAGACCTTCACTGTAGAGGCAACTTGTTTACTCCAAAACATACAACGGTTGACCCCTTAATAGTGGAAGTCTTCATGGACATTACATATGCTGAAAGACGTAGGATTAAATCCTATAGCAGGGGGGCTCGACCCTAGGAAAAAGTGAGTAAAGTCAGCGATTGAATGTCACAGAGTAATGAAACCTTAAAGTTACGCGAACTCTGTAACCTAAGAACTATTAAGTTAGGTTTTGATGTCAGCAAATTATGGCCTTTAAAAAACTATGAGTTAGTTAAGACCACTAGAATTCAGGCTGAGGGAGTCAGGGCCTGATCGAAAACTTTTAGTATCTAATCTCAATTGGGATCTGATGAGCCAATCAGCAGAGTCTAGGGATGAAAACCAATCAAGTTTATTGCTGAAAAAAGTTAATACAATATTCAGGCATATGTAAAAAAAATTTCAATAAAAAAGGATATAATACACCCTCCACAGTTGCCCATGGTAGAGAGGTGAACTCATGGTTGAAAGGAATAATAAAGAGCAGTAAGATGATTATATTGCTTCAGGAAATTAACCGGGATGTAAGAATAAACATGAAAATTTGATAGCTAGTATTTTTACTGGAGCAGATAGATATCTTGATTCGTTAGAAATTGGACAGGTAAAGAAATTTTTGGCTCAGCTGCATACCGGAGGTTTGGTGTTACCCCTTTTGTGAGGGTTAGTGCACTGGTATTTTGTCTACATAAGGATTTTTGACATTTGTACTTCACATAATTTGTATTTCAGACTTTATATGATATTGGTCTAGAACTTCAATTTCAAGCAACAAGATAGAAAAATAACACAGATCTGACAAAACAGGCAAGAAAACGAGGAATTATCGCATTCACGTATATTGGATGTATTTGGGCAGCATGCCAAACATTAGATAATAATTCTTTCCTCAATAGTGAAACAGAAGAAAAACAAGGATATAACAACCTTGTTGGGATGGTATCCACGTTCGCCAAGCAACTACCCGATCGTCCAAAAGAGAGATGTGAAGAGGGAGTGTTGAAAGACCACCATATTCAAAGGCGCAAACAGACACAGAACTTCTGATTTCTCCAAGATGATCGGTTCGTTGTACATGTCTTGAAACATTAAAAAAAATAATAAGGAAATGGAATCGCCAAAATTATACAATTTTATAATACAGTGATATCCTTGAGTTCAGATCTGACAGAAAGAGGACCAATACTGCTTAAAGTGACTAGAGTATGGTGCAACGCACTTCAATTCAGGTTGTGAAAACTTATGTACAAAATGAGCACGAAGTCAAAGAAGTCTTAAAAAAAAAATCTTTTATCTTCTTATTTTTCACTTGATTTTACACCTCGATGTAACTCATAATTATACTACACAAAGAATCTCAGGCTTATTTGTTCTTCATGCCTTATCTTCTAAGTAAAATTATATAAAAAAGCGAAAAGGTTTACCAATAGAAAAACATGAGTAGAAGCCTTCTGCTTGATCTACCTGTTCTCTAGCACATAATCACCATAATTGAAATATATCATGCTAAGCCATTTTTAAGACCAACCAAAACAGATACTCAAATACATGTAATACATGTGTAGTCCGATGAAGTTTAGCAACCACCCTCAATTACATGTCAAACCGCCTTTAGCATAAACTAAAAACTAAATTTGAGACGGCAGCCAAGAGAAAGCCTAAATGGTAAAGTTCCCCAATAATTTAATAGATAAATGGTTGCATCATATGGCTGCTCTCCCAAAACCCTCAACTATTGTAAGTAAAGAAATGAGAATTGCTTCAACGAATGGACCCTAATGTTCCTTTGTGGCATCTAGGTAGCAAGCCTGTGGAGTAAAAAAAATAAAATGCTCAGAAAAATCGCCTGAACCAGGAGAGATCCCAAAAGTACAAAATATAACCGGAAGATTATTTCAGGAGATCTGCTTTTAAATCATCTCTCTATTTATGCATCCACACTTTCTCAACGACATCACCCTGAAGCTTAAAAGGCAAGTCAGAAGCATGGAGAATGTGAGGAAGCTATATAAATATATATACATATACATTGTGTTTCTACATTTGTAACAGTTTTAGTATAGAAATTTGTAGATGTATCAGACCATCCTTGAGGGCCCATGACAGACGCAAGCATAAAAAATCCACCTTGTCACATTATCTTTCTCTAAAAAGAAATTATCAATATGATTTCACTCAGCTATAAAAAAGATAAAGCTACCACATTAATTCATTAATTTACAAAACGATATGATTATGTGCATTCCAACGAAAGAATGACAAGTCGACTGGAAGTCAATCCCCTATTCTTTTACATAAGCCTATAATATGATGAACAGTAGAAATGTAAACTTTAGAGGTACCATTTGCCTACGTATCCATATGAATGCATTCAAATATTTCAGGGATAAATTTTTCGAATGTTCAAGAATAGAAAATTTTGCGAGTGAAAACAACTGGAAGTTCATTTATGTACCTTAATAGAACTGAAGCCGTTTTTTTTTCAGCAACGACTACATCCTGATCATCACCAAAATGGCAAAGAAGGTTTAAACTAGACAGGTTCTCTACCTGAAACAATGAAACACATTCAAAGATAAGGAAGTATTTTGGAACCATAATATTTATAATCCTCAGTAAAAAAGCAAAGCACTCATCATTTAAGCCATCGAGTACTTTGTAAACTTAAGGATCCAGCCAGAAACGCCAAACCACTGAGCACGAGACTAAGATGATGTCAGAAGACTAGTCGCTATTATCAAGACGTCTCTTAACACAAGCGTTCTGCAGTGCAATGTTATAGTAATAGTGGAATTATTGGAAATTTGTCTATTTCACTCTATCTTGAATATTCAATGAAGAAATTAAAAGAAGAAACTTTCTAGCATAACCCTTGATCTATTTAATTAGTGTTTTAGAGGGCTTTGTTGGAGAAATAGACATTAAGAGAAATGGAGTCAAATCGTTCACACAAATTATGGTGGCAGTTGATTACACTGAACAGGCTAGGCCAATTACGTTTTGGAGCCGTTGGGAAATCTTGTTTAAGGTGTTTCATATAATTATCATCTAAGAACTTAGTTTAGTTAAATTATATGTCTACCTCTTGCTAGTTAGGTTATATATTGTCAACGTATCCTCCAACATGACCTTTTTTGGGTACGAAGACATCCAGCAGAAACTCTCTGGCTGAGGATAGTAACTTTTATTCCCAGGGACCACCAAAACATCGACACTTTAACCTTTTTGTATTTTATTCGTCAGGTCACTCTAAAATGAAAGCTGAAAAGAGAGGACCAGAAATTGGAAGGCAAATTCCTGGCACACAGAAGAATGGTAACGAACCTAACCGGCCAAGACGTCACCTCAGAAAACATAGTAGAATAATAGTTTCCCCGAACAGTCATTGGGTGATTGAGGCTGCTTTTGTTTACCTTACGGCAGTTACTGCTACGTAGATTAATTATCTGAGTGGTGGCATGCTATGGATAAGGAGCTTTTGGCTCTTGAGCAGACACCTCAAAGAACAAAACCAAGTCTAAGAACGGTTTTAACTTTTATAAGGCTTAACCTGTGGCATGTGATTTCAATCCAGGGTATAGCATTGACAATTAGGAGACCTGATTTAACGCCTATAGTGACCATTTTTCGTACCCTCATTGATGTGTAGTTGCAGTCATTTACAGCTGGTGCATCTATCAGATTGGCTGAAGAATACCTCCCTTCATAGTGACCTTTTTGAGAGTCAACATCCAGCCTATCCATAATCTTTATAGAGCGCCACTTCTTATTTGATATGTTGGCAAGGACGCAAAGTCCTTGACACCTGGTTTGAGTGTTCTATCAGGTTGTTCTTGGAGCAAGTTTTCATGAGAGTGGCGAGGACTATGCTCTCTGGTGCCTTTACTCACCTCACGACCATGTCAGTTTTCTTAACCATGCCACGTGTGATGATGGCATCGCAAGTGTCTCTCCCAAGTAGCATCTCCTCATTAGTTTTAGATGCCTTACACCGGAGATTATACTACTTGGTCTTATGGTTTCTACTTCCACACAAGTTTTCATAGTCTCAGTAAAAATATAATGACGATACTTCCAGCATAGTAATCTCTCAAATTCTTGCATATCTATTACTATTATAAAGTTTCAGCACTAATGGTGTATCCTTTGTTATATTATTGACACTGTAATGTGCTTGTCTCGCCTAAATAACTTTGATGTAATGCATACCTTGAGTTCATTTATTAGCCCTCCTACCTCAGTCTATTTTGTTTCCATTATCCGTGTTCTTCAGTATCTCTCTAGCACCTTTGAATGGTCCTTTATATCATCTCCTACAACTTGCTAGACTTATGCAAATACCGACATTTATTAAACTAGTGATCCTACTTGAAAGTACTTCACTATACGCATTTGGATCTTTCTAAGCTCGTCATTAATCTATTGGAGCAAGAAGCATACTGTTCTCTTATTTCCACATTGGGGTGAGTACCATGATATGACTGACACACTTGTTGAGGTATTTTGGTACATTCTTCAAATGATTTCGGTGCAGTTTCTTCAGATCTAAAGCTGCTATTTCTCACAATCGAATTGCTCTTCCATGAGGAAAGTAACCATAAAGAGATTGATTATCATCACATCCACCGACTGAAACTCTCCAATACTTCGTCTTTTCCTCGTATTTCTTCTGACGACCAGCCAGCAGACTCGTTCATCAAGTCTCGTACAAGTGCTTCAAAAGTCCAGATGATAGACTCTTGGTATATGATCTTGCGCGATTATGGGGGAGAGGATAGCACATTCATGTATGGTCTTATTGTACATTTTTTCTCTTGTTCAGCATTCTTTGACCACACACATACACACAGAGAACAATACCAAAGGAGAGGTATGCTCTCCAGCTTTCCTAATGCTCTTTATATGTAACAAGAACAAGTGAAAAAAATATATATATGAGGAAAAACATAGTTACTTTACTTCTAATACTGACCTTGCAGCAATTACAAAATATTGAGCTTCTCAGCGTGTAAGATCCAGTAACACTTAGTCTCCCATAAATAAAAAGAAGAATGTCCAACGAAAGTTCTGTTAACGATATGTCCATCTGTCATTGGAATAAGAAATAATATTTAAAGTTATCTTCATGTAATATTTTGTTATACTAGGCGAAAGATGTGACGTTCTATGCAAGAAACTACGGATACAGATTCTCTGACCTGCTTTATTCTAAAATAGTAATGCGCAGGAGTTCCCTTCTGGAAATCTTTCGAATCTTTAGCAGTAAGTCTAGAATGAAGGAACATACAGGAATCTACTGGGGAAATCATTTGTCTCCTACAAGTCAAATAAAACATAAACATTAACGCACAGAAACAGAAATAGAGACAAATTTGGTGAGTCAGGGGGCTGGGGGAGTGAGAAGGTAAAACAACAAAATCAGGATATAGAAAAATATTTCAATACTGACCAACTGTTCATTTTTGCATTAAAATAATCCATTGCAATAAAATACGTGCAGATAAGTCTAAATTTAGAAGGCAAGATCTGTCCAATGATATCCACGTCACCAATGCGGCAACGAACAAGAGGAAATTTGTCATCTGCGTCTGAAATTTCATGGAACATTGTGATGGAAATTCTCTCAATTTTGATGCTTATGTGCAAGAGACTGGCACCTTCTAGATATCTGCTTTCATCATCACAGGATCCCTGCCCTTGACTATTTGAGTCATCAGGCCCAACAATATGAGAACGAGGAAAGTTTCTCTCCACAGCATCACATACTCGATTAAGTTCATGAAGCACCTTCATCTTAAATGGACTGCCTGGATTCTTTACAAACTCAGGAAATCCGTCAACAAAAGAAACTCCAGAGTTATTCTTGTGGTTAACGAGGTAAAACGCTTTCCTGGAAGACATACAATAACTAGAAAATTCCACATCATCATCGTCCCCATAATTTTCAGCCTTGTAAGGAACGACCTTCCAAAGAGCATATCCTTTGTCTCTTTTAGAAATTTCAACAAACCCTGATCCTGGACTGTAATTCAAGCAGAGTGGTTCACCACCAATTTCTTTGGCATGCAATGATGTCAAAGAAAACAGTGATGCCTTTCCCTTATGCCAGTTCACCTGATATGCCAATGAAACCGTCATAAACACACGGTGCCAAAGGAATAAGCATTAATATGATATTGCTTCTTGAAAGTGAATAGTACGGGACAAAGGAATACACCACATGCACAAACGTCATTACATGGGCATAGCTTTCTCATCAAGGGCCAGAATAGATTTAAGTCCAAGCTAGTAGAAATATGCATGATTCAGAACACAAAAAACCACAAGCATGGAGAATAAGGTTTATTTAAAAATTCAAATGGAGTATCACTAGAAGAAAAGTTCAGTATCCTGAGTCCCAAGACTAGTTGGAGGGCGTTTATAGAATGCAATTTTTAAGTTAATGAATGATAGAAACATTTCATAAAGAACAAGCATGGTGTCAGAAGGAAGTTGCAAATAACATCTCCAACTGTAATTTCCAAACTAGTACGGGTGGCTACAAGGATGTTATTGATAGGATAATAATGTTCAAAGGGTGAGGGTGGAGCAGGGATGTTACTGCTCCATAATGCTTTCAAGCAGTAACAACCATAATGCTGAAGCCAAGGCTAGATCTTCTTATCTATCTCTAGGAAAGCATTTAAATGAGATACTGGTCTGCCATTTGTTCGTCTCAGGAGGTAATAACATAATTTTTCAATGAAGTAAATATCTCTCGTCACTACTCAGTTCAAGAATCGGTAAGAACTGGTAATATCGCAACCCAATATACAACTTTGGAGGTCGAGAACAGCCCTGGACAAGACCAGGCAAAATCTGAAAATCCGAGCCTCTTAATCCTCGTCCAGCCAGACCACACTGGATTGCTAGCAGACTGGTAGACCTGAGTTTGAATGGCCCACCCAGATTGGACGTTGCCAATCCAGGTCCAGATCAGAATTGACTCCCATCAAGTAACTTTTTAGAATCTGGAATCCCAAAAGAAAATATAACATTTTCGTTTGATAATAATCTGGAAAAGGGATAATTTACATAGATATAAATGATAAGACAGAAACAATAGGATACACGAAAATTGTGACCACAATTGTCCTATTAAGTCCCTAACATTCTGCAGCACACGCTATATCGCAGAGCAATGAAAATGAACCAAAATGGACAAACATGAGATATTAACATACATCCTTAGGCCTTCCATGAAAAAATCCCGAACCCCTTGCCTGAGGATCAACTAAATCTAAAGGAGAAAACACCCACATACCCTAAAAAGTGCCCGTTCTCCCACAAGAGAATAATGAAGTGTACCGATCACATTGTTCGTCACTCCAACACTTTCAATGGCAAAGTATAGGTGTTGATGAAGATCTTGGATTGCCACAATTGCACCTATTCAAATAATGAAATAAAGTTGTCCGTCACAAAGAAATTTTCCAATGTGCATCAGGAATTGAAAAAATGCAACAGAATGGGAAAGAAAATACCATCAGGAACCGTAAAATTTGAATCATTGGTCCATCCTTGGGTCTGCAAGCCAACCGTCCGCTTAAAGATTTTTCCAGACTTTGCACTTGAGATTCCAGATAAAGGTTCAATGAGATTCATAAGCATCTACATCGAAAGATATACAGAAAATTATCCAAAGTATAAAATTGAACATTTATCTGAACCATCTATCTGTTCTGTCAAAATCAAGAAAATAAAATTCACCTGAATCTCGGAGAGTGTGATTGTTAAATTGAAGCCAGAGACGGAACCACTGCCAACCCAATCACTCGTAAAATACAAAGATGGCACATTACTGTTCAAAGTTGTTTTCTCCACAACGATAGAAGCAGACAAATCTTTTAATATATAACTTGGATGGTACATGGGAGGCAATCTAGAAGCCCCACCGTCCAAAGTAATTTCTCTCTCAGAAATTGGAGCTAAAGATTCTACTATATCAGTGCTTGATGAGAGACCCACGGTGGAACTGTGTCTAATATCAGTCGGCAGCTCAGTGGAGATTCTTGAGCCAAAAGGAGTGTAACCAGTCAGTCTCTGAGATGGACTGTTATTAGGCAGATGCATGGAGAACACATTCAAATTCAGAAGATTAAGTGACAAGTTCCTTTCTATGCTTGAAAACCTAAGATACAGATCAACTTCCACTGTGAGATACTGCACCCCACCTAGAAGATAAAAACGTAATACAATAAGTGTACTGAACTCTTCGCGAAATTAACCAAACAAGAGGAGATTTTCTTTTACCAGAACCATCACTGACGGCAAATATGAGAGAAAATTGAGACACGTTCAAATCAAGGAACTTGAAAAACCACCATTTGCTTGATGTTGATAATAGTGTTGGGCGTATGGCTCTGGTGTTCTCCTGGCCATGATGGTTTCTTGGTCCAATCACACGCTCATCAAGAACCATTATAGCTTCATCTTGTTCATTCGATTTTATTGATGATTCAGTAGCCCATGTTTGAAGGCTTGTTAGGTAAAGAAAATATGCACTTACAGTTTGAATGAACATGACCAGTGTTGGCATCTCTAGGAAAAAGCAACCGCCCTGTCCAAACAAATACCAAAATGTTTATAATTACAGAACAGTCTATGAAAATAATGCAGCACTAAATTTTTAATAGAAGAATAGAACTTTGACAGGTAAAAACTTTGAATCATTTGTATGCTGATGTGTTGTGTGATAGTCAAGCTTACTCAAATTATATGCTCAACCTCTTGAGCATGATCAACAGTCATAACTACGACTATAAAATATAATCTGACCAACTGAATTCAGGCATCGATTATCAAATTCCAATGAACACAATTGGCACACGAGAAAATATTCCAATTCTGATGACAGGTCATGAACTATGGTGCTATGTGCCACTGAATACATTAGTGTACAGTTACTAATATAGTCAGTTGACCTTAAAAGGGACCAGTAAATCTTAAAAATAGTTCCAGAGCCGAGGAAGGTAAACTTATTAGTGAGACATATATGTTGCCACGCACATGAAAGAATTACGAAGGAAATCAAGCAACATTCTTAAGACTAAGAGGAAGTGTCAATCATATGAATCTACATACACCGGGGTAGAAATTATTACAATCTCTAAGGCATTGTAAAATATCATCAACAGAATGAATGTAACAGAAAGTTAAGAGAGTAAGCCGATTGGAGCACTCTAGTGAGCAGATTATCACCAATCGTTAAATATTGGAAGGAAATATCACACAAACAAGATAATCGGTCACCAAACAAGCAAAAAAGAGTAAAAAAAATTATTACGCGTTATAAATGTAATTTTTACTCAAATACACTTTCAGCACCTGGCTTTCAAAGTGGATAGCATGAAGTTCTCCAGTACTTGATGTTAGTACCCGAAGCCCACTGCACAGATGGTCGGCTAAAAGATTTTTCATGGTCCAATCTGCCAAAAAAGCTTTTCCAAGCTCGATCTCAGTCATAAAACAAAAACCTGACTGTGGAACTGAAATACTGGTGGAAGGATATCTCTGGGCGGAACCATGTGACTGAACCAATGAACTTTTGCTACCAACAGGGAAAAAAGGTTCCCCTCCAACTGGCACTGTAGAATTAAAAGTTGAACCAGCAGCAGTATTTCCGCTAGTCAAAGACAGAAAATCTTCACCATAGCCAGCTGATAAATTAAGAATGATATAAGGAAGATAAAATTCACAAAGGGGTCTTGAACGATGACAAAAATGATTTATCATCAGTGCATCGTTAAATGTATCCATATCATATTCAGGCTTAAACACAGCTGAGCGAATATCTGAAAAGTTCATCAGCAGTTTCAATTTCCTTTCTTCACAGGAAATCTGGATGAAAGATTTTGGAAGAAAAATTCCCCAATTAACATCTGGTAAATTAAGCAAATATTGGCCGTGAGATAAAGTGGTGCTGCTGGATGCACCACCTGTCCTCGTCAAGGTGGAATGATTTTTCCTTGAATTATTTAAAATCACGTTAACAGAATCCGATTCAAAACAAGCGTTAATTGTAAATTGTGTACTCAAAAGCAAGATGTTATCTTTTGACCGAATCGCAGTTTGACCTCTCATGGCATCCTTTCTCTCAGATATTAACCTCCTGATATATTCTCGAGAACTAGACACGATGGCATAATCAAAATCAACAGAGTTTCTTGATTTTGTCAAAATTGCGTCTCCAAAAACCTAAAAAAGAGCAAGTACTCGTCAGAATAAGTAGTTTGAAATTTGATAATCGATAATATCAAACAAAATGCAAGAGCGGCACAATTCAAAAAGCATGCAATAGTTTGGATTAAATTTGAACGTTTCTTGGACTTTCTGGTGTGTGACTGTGCGGGAGGGGGTGGCAATTAGAATGGTAGGGATGGGGAATACAGGATTACTTCCAGGATTGGTCAAATCATGCAGTTGAAAGGAAAGTACCCTCACTTGAAGAAGTTACTGATAAATATTAGATAGACAGATTTTAAAAATCCATTTATTAAAAAACTCCTTTTTTGTCACGTCTGCAACTGATACCATTGAAATTCGTTTTGAATACTGTACATAAGATAATGTGAAATGTCTATTGTTATCGTCAGCTATTCTCCATCGATTCACACACAATGATAAAATCCAGTTAACATACAGTATGCATGATAACTTGAATGAGAATAAATTACATACAAGTACCGTCTCCTTTTCTTCAAAAAATATGGCAAGACTGTAGGATGACAACTCTAATACTTTTCAATAAAAATAATTATATTTATTATCACCTCACTCTGGCAGGAGATCTTCCAAATAGCATAGAAACCAAATTAAGGGAGACGTATAAACCAGCAAAAAGAAAATATAACCAGCAAAAAAAGCACCTAAAAAGAAAGAGCATTTTGCCATTTATTTTGAAAATGTTCAAATTCAATGTACACATTAGAGATAAATTCATGGGCAAGACACAAAAGAATCTATTAACACCTGGAAGAGAGTCCACAGCTCATCCAGGTAGAGGAACACATCAGTCTTTCCAGTCGTCCCACTTAAGGACAATGAGCATGCATTATCACTTGAATAGAAAGAATGTAGGTAGTGCCTGGAACAAAGAAATCATTCAGGCATTATTAATAGTAGAAAAAGTGAATGCAAGGCTTGTTAAGAGTTCAAGATTAGGGCAACATTGAATTAGACTAAAAAAGAGGCACCCAACATGTACAAAAAAAAACCTTGAGGAATGTGCATCTACAAATCTGAAGGTTCAAATCGGTAACAGTTCTTTTTAGAACAAGAAAATCAATGCCACAATTGGCTGCCGCAGAAAATGAATCCAGCAAGGGCTATAAACATTTCAATCATAAAATATTAAATCAGAACTATCGATTTTCAAAGGTTAATCATACAAAAAAATCCTATTTCTTAAAATATGGAATTTCTGACTAATGAGGAATTTCAAGAAAATAAAGTTGGCTAGAATCAATGATTCCATATATCAAGTATTGCCTGTTTAGACATTGTTTTAACATTGATGGGAATACATTTCCCGAATTGAAAGAAAAACCACGTAATATAAATCACAAAAAAGTACATTAGTTATTCTGTTCTCTTTAGAATTCAAAGTAAAATAGCATAATATATGGACAAAAGGTTTTTGATGAGCATCATAGTAGTTCTGATTGCTTTATACTTGACATATGTTAGAAGTTCTAGGTTGTAAGTAAATACTATAAAAGACTGAGCGTATTTTGAAACATTTGTCTAGGGTTCCTCCCTAGATAAGGGGTGTTAGAGGTAAATGAAGAGTGGAGCAGTTTCTGCCATTCTCTCCTTTGTCCTCCATGGCAGAAGTCATTCTCCCTATATCTATGTTTTCTAACATGGTATCAGGGCAGGTTCGTTCTGCTAGTGTTTCATCATGATGTTCTTCTTTTGCAATTTGAGGGCATATGACCTTTTCACCATTCATAGGTGTGTTATCCTACCATTTCAAGTAGGTTTTCTTTCTGCCATTTAGAGTGGGTCCTACTTCCGTCAATCCTCTAGTCCAAGGACAACAAGTTTTTCTTCTTGTTGGAGCCACAAGTCACCACCACCATCATTGTCATCTCTGCTAGCACTCTGGCGTCATCCCCTCTTTGACATCTTATCCCTCTTCCAACCTGATCCTCTGCCGGTGAGGCAATTCTACAACAACACAGCACTGGTCTTGCTCTATTTCGTGTCTTCTAGAGTAATCTTCATCTGCCATTCGTTAGTATATCCAAGTTCATCAACAACAGGTTCGTCAACAACATCTTCAAGTCCATTGGCATCGTTTCTATCTGCATCAAGCCCCTTGTCAAGAGGCTATCATTCCTATGTAGTCATATGTCAAGTGTTGTCACAGTCCAGTATCTATCCTCCATCTTGTGACATCCAGCACCAGCGTCCTTGTCTGGTGGTCCCTTCTCCCTCTAGTGTCGTCCTTTGTCTGACGTACGTTTGGCATCTAGGGTCATCTTCCATCCTCCTCAGTCCATCTTCCTCTATGCTACATTAGTTCGACATCCGCCCCATCTTCTTCTATCCCACGTTTGGCTGTAAGGAAATATTGTAAGAGACTGAGGGTATTTTGAGACAACTGTTTAAGGTTCGTCCTTGCATAAGAGGTGCTAAAGGGGAATGAAGAGTGAGACAGTTGTCTGCTGTTCTTCCCTCTGTCCTCCATGATATAGGTCATTCTCCTTGTGCTTATGTTTTCCAACGAAGCAGACCTAAGCAAATATATGGAGAAACATTTTTGGATGAATTCCAGGTAGATGAAGTATTCACAGTAGAAAGGTCAGTAGTAGCGTTTTAAAGAGAACTTTGTGTTAGTCTCTTGTGTTCATATCATCGTGTATAGCACATGAGAGTAGTGAAAATAAAAAAATGTCCAAAATTACCTTTTAAATATTTTCACGAATAAACATTATTTTTTTCAGCACACATCCATTGCCAAACAAATTCAATAAAAATAGATGTCTGGAAGATTCACACAACATCGGCTCTTTCATAGAATCAAATTAGAGACTTGGGTAAACTAAAATTCCAGATAACAGAAAAGGACCACAAACCTAACCTTGACTACTAAGAAAAGAGATTGAGGATAGCACTAAGAACATCCCTCTAGGGAAAGGTGGTACTGCAGATCTGGATTTTCTTGCCTACAAAAGGAAATCGAGAGATATGTAGATATGCCGCTGCAATCTACTTATTCAATGGATGACCAATTGATTTCGCGATCTAAGACATAGTTCACAAAGAAAAATCAAACTTCCCACTTCTTTTCACACAAAAATGGCCTACAAACCACAGGAAGGGCCCTTCACACGTCAGACTGTAGGAGGGCAGAGCTGGATGACTTCCAGAAGATCATCAGCTATCCCCCAATTACTTCATGGGATCCCAAATGCTGATATTCTCTATCTGGAATGATAACACAATCAACAATAATGCACTATCCCCGTCCTTCGACATTGAATAAAAGAATCCTTGAGAATAACTAGATAATGCTTATTCTATCTCAAGTCGTGAGTCTTTTAGACCTTGTGTTCATCAGTAAAAGTAGGGGTTTTTCTCTCCTAAGCTGAAGAAGGAAAATCAACTGTGTTAACTTCTTTAAAAGACCATTTTCTAATTCCTTGGGTGGTCATCAGTATCCAAATTAAAAACAGAGAAGTTCAAACATTCAGAACTCAGTCAACAGCTGTCAACCAACCTCATGTTTGGATGTTCAGATTTTTGTAGTTACAATAGGTCATTAGACATAACCAGCACATTTATTTTTTCTTCAAACTTTACATCTATAATTCCAACTCAGGTATCCTCAGCCTTTCTGAAGGTTATTCTGCCTCATGTGTCGCCCTAGATACCCATCGGTGGATGGTTCAAACAACTCCATGCCTTCCAGTCATTTTCAATAGAATTCCTTCTTCAAACACCAATTCACTGATCCTTAAATATCGTTGATACTGTTACTGCTTTTCTGGTCTTTTACAACCCTAAAATCTTCTTCCTTCCTCAAGTGAGGGGGAAGACCTTAAATCTTGATGTGTATATGTCGCATCTGGTTTCTTCTCAAATGGTAAAAAGTTACGCCCATATTTGAAATTCTGCCACGAATTTCTATGTATTGCAATTTAGAGACCTCCAAACTCTCACACTTTGTTTATAATTGGCCTTGGCCTGCCCTTGATAGGTAGGATATGTTATTAATTCTCTTGGTAACAATCCAGCAATCAGGTCAGTGTTCACCTAGGTCAAAGCTGCATAACATCGAATTATGCAAAGTTTATCCTCAACCATAACAAGAATAACATTGAAGCAGGAAGATACCCCACGGAATGTAAAAGGATACAGAGTGACAGCGATGTATCTCTGTGGAAAGTTATGTCCGTTCAGCTCACTAAGACAGGACAAGAGAGAATTTCTATCCTCAGTTGGACATGTCTTGATCTGCCAATTGTGAAAGAATGAAAAATAGGGGAAACACTAAAGAATAAATGCAGGTTTTATATTGGATTTTTTCCAGGAGATCACGAGAAAGAAGAATGAGCACTTGTTTTAAAAAAATCATTCAAAGGAAACAGCTGAGCCACATGTTTAAGAATATCACCTGCACGTTGAGGCATTGATATTCAGTGAGATTGGTCCAATAGCCTGAGATTTCTGATTATCTTGTAAGTTTTCAAATGAAGCAGCAACGGAGAAACTCATGTAAGTGTTATGTGAAATCCTGCCTTGAGCGATAAAATTTTCATCTAGACAACCCTCTGAGATATCTAATACCTGGGGTTCCTTCAACCAAAGGAAGTCCCCACGAGGTGCTTTGACTCCCAACCCTGGATACATTTCTAATAATTTGGCTATGGAAGCTGGCCAGACAGAAAGTTCAATACCGTTGAGATCAGTTGAAAAAGAAGACCACACATAAGTGGGATCTTGTTCCCTAAAGCCATGAAATGATATTTTGACGTTACATCCAGAAACCATAGCTCCAACTTGAATGTTCTTCAATGGCATCATTTTCAGCATTGTCGTCTTCAACCTTGAGTCACATAACTGCAACTGTCCCTCCAAATTCGTTTGCATTTCCTCCGTAGTCGTGAAAGAATTTGGAGGAAAATGAGGTTTACTGGCGTTAGCCATCCATTGAAAAGAACCAAGAATCTGTCCAAACAGCTGAATAAAGGAGACAGTGGATTCATAATCCAAGTCAATGTTCAACTTCCCCAAAGCCGCGATACATCGTAAAAGGCCATCAACTGCCCCATCAGAAGTTGGATTGATAAAATTTTCTCTCAATTCAAACAGGAAAAAAGGCTGAACCATTTGATTCCCCTCTACTTCCTCGCTAACCATTTTCCATGATGATTGTACATCTCGCAGGCAGTTTTCCAAAATCATGCCATGAACATCAGTGCTAGACTGTTCATTGACGGCAGAAACTACTGGAGGGCGAAGTAAATGAACAGGCTCAATCCACAGAACAGTTCGGGAGCCACTACCAGTCTCTGCCTGAGATACCCTAAAAGATGGAGTTGTCTCAAGTTCTAAGTCATTCTCCATCAGTGGAATGCTCAATGATGGAGAGAGTTGAATGCAGATATTCCCAAGTACCAGAAAAATAAATCGTCCAATTCCGTCCCTGACATGACTGAAGAAAAAAGACTTCAAAACTAGACAAATTGAAGGCATGCTCAATGGAGAAGTATCTCTGCCCAGATTTGTGCTGTCAGTTGAGGTTACACAGGCAACCGCTGTTGGATGTATACTAAAAGAAAACTCCCCTATAGTTAGATATACACATTTGTCTGAATCAGATGATCTGAAACAAGACACAGGAGGAGATGAAGACATGCTATGAATTCTTTGACGTGGCTTGAAAATATTCAGAAAGATGAGCACGATAATTGCCACTGACCGAAGTAAAAAGTAAATAAATTTCCAAATAAAAATAGATAAAATAAATATTTTCCCTTTCAATGCAGTGTATAGACCAGCTGATCTAGAAAGACTACTCCCTGGACATAGTCGTGCTCTCTTACGAGCTATCCACCGTGCTCGACCAACTGCTTCAACTGGCAATTGCTTTTCCAGTTCGTCAACTGCCTTCAACTGGCGTTGAACACTGCTTGCAAACTCTAAGTCACAGCACACCCTCATGACAGAATGCTTGAGCGCATTTTCATCAGGATACCCAACCAGTAACAGAAAAAATTCATAAGCACGAACATATGTCGACCATAGCAGGACCATGCCAATCACCTTACGCCATGAAACCCTTGGATGGTTACTCAGTTCAGAAATCCTTTGTGCAGCTATCCTCCATAATTCCTTGCCTTTCCTACTGTACTTAGTCTGTCCTGAGAACAAATTCAACACTAGAAAAAAAATTGGCATATCCAAGGGAGAAAATCCAGAAACTATTGACGGAAAATTGATGTCAAATCTCATAGTTTTTAGTTTTCTTAGAATAATAGAAACGGATGGATCCCTTGAAGACACCAAGATTTTTACAAGGCCATTCTCCTTTAATCCAAACTCTAGAGAAGTGCACTTCCATGACAAGGACAAACTCTCCTTCTTTGACGTAAAGAACATTGTAGCAGTTCCTTTGTGCACACTAGTCTCATTGAGAAGACGAGGTTCCAGAGAAATTTCCCTTGATCTCAGCATACATAGTTTACTTTCTCCAGTGAATTGAACTTGGAAACATGTATCATAGAACTGAAACTGGCAACGCTGTAGTAAGCCTTCAGTTAAGGAAGTCTTCAGCCAGCTGCCAGAGGGAGCCGCCATGAGAGCGTTTTCAAGGACTTGACGCAAGAAAGCGTCCTTGATTGATCAGGAAAACGGAAAAATTATGTCATTTCACTTTGACTTTCACTTTACTAGAGACAAAAAAGGAAATGTTCCTCATACCTCTTGATCAACTGAATCCACCGTAATATCTTCTGATTCTGCATTTGAATATCTCACTACATGGCTGCTCTCTTCAGTTAATTCCCTTTTAAAAAATAAAAAAATAAAAAAATAAAAAGGAAACAAATTTCATAATGACAGGACGGGCCGAAACGGTCCATCACCATAAAGATGTGGAGCAACATGAGACGAGAAACAGACCTAGGAACCAGAACCACATGGAAACCTGTGACGCTAACGCGCAGGTTGGGCCTCGACCATGGGCTGAACCGGACGCTCAGCTCCGCCACCCGTACCTGCTTGAAAGCGAGCCCCGTAGACCCCTCGATTAAGGGGTCGAGCTTCAAAGGATCGAACTCCAGGTCTCTCCAAGTCCCCTGACATCTCACAAACCCTAGCTTGATCTCCGCGTCCGGTTGCTCCCGCAGCCATGGCCCCAGCCAGGAAGCCACACGCGACCTCACCGCCCCCTCGAAGGGCATCGCGCAGGTAATCAGGATTTCTCACCATCCGCCCACTCTGCTCCACTGCATCTTCGAGGCTTCCCCATCGCTGGCCATAATCTCATCCCTGCCAGCCGAGAAGGCGGGAATCCCATCCGCCATACGAAGAAGCAGATCCTGCCCCCACGAAGAGTGATGACAACGACAACAACAGAATCCTCGGTGTTCTAAAAGTCTAAACTACCCTCTCCTTCTCTCTCTCGTCCGAACCTGGAATTGTTTCAAGTTTTCACACTGAGGGCAAAATAGTCTTTTACATCTTCGTCTTCCTTCTCCTTCCAGAATGGTACACGGAGTACGGCTAAGACTACATTCCCATTAAATAATTTCCAAAAACAAAGGTGTCGATATTTTAAAATAATAATTAAAAAAAATCACACCGCGAAAGAATTAAAGTGGAGGTGTTAGTAGATGCGGGCCGGGTTCCTCTCCGCCGCATGAAGGAGGGCTCTCGTGATGGCCTCGTGTGGGATCCTCTGGGAGAGGCTCCCCTTTGACCAGCCGCCATTCCTCTCCTGACATGGATTGACGCAGCGCCGCCCACTGGCCTCGCCCTTGGGGCCCATGCTTGACCCCCCGAGGTCAACGGGCTCCTCCCCTTCCAGCATCCGCAAGACCTACGCCCAGTATAGTCAACCATATTGAGAGAAATCATCGATTATTTTTACCATATGGTGGCTGATCCGCTTATTGAGAAAAACCCGGGCTTTCTCAAAGTATGTGGGTACCTTGGACATGGTGGGCCGGGCCTGGGGCTCCCGCCGGAGGCAGGCGGCGGCCGCCTCCGCGGCGGCGATCAGCCGCCGGGAGAAGCGGCGGGACTGCTGCGGATCAAGGCGGGGGTCCCACAGCCGGTCAACGGCCGTCGCCGGGGTGGCGGTGGCGCCGCCGGCCGCCAGCGACGATAAAGCCGGCCGTGCCCACTCGGCGAGGAACTGCTGTCCCTTGGGCCTTGCGGCGTCCACCGCTCTCCTCCCCGTGAGGAGCTCCAGCAGCACCACGCCGAAGGCGTAAACGTCTGCCTTCTCCGTGATCCTCCCCCTCTCTATGTACTCCGGCGCGAGATACCTTCACACCGGCCCTGCGTCAGCCTTCTCCGGCGTTGACATTTACGATTCAAAGAGCATAAAAGTCACCGAATTGCCTACCCGAATTTCCCGAGCATCCGCCGGCCAGCACCGCCACCCTCCGGCTGCCATCGCGAGAATCCGAAGTCTGCGATCTGAAGAATTCCGTGGAGACGATCAGAGAGACGCTGAGAGCTCGATGGAGAGGGGAGGGCGACGTACCAGAGGCTCGAAGTCGTGGGTGAGGAGGATGTTGGAGGGGCGGACGTCGCCGTGGATGAAGCCCACTCTGCAGTCCTCGTGGAGGTAGCGGAGTCCTCTCGCCGTCCCAACGGCGATCCTCAGCCTCGCCGGCCAGTCCAGCGGCGGCGCTGCCGCCCTACCTCCTGCGCGCCGCCGGCGAGGACACAAGATCAAAGCGTGCTTTTTCCTTCACGTGGACGGCAAAATAATTGAGAGGGCTCACCGTGCAAATGAGCGGCTAAGGAGCCATTGCAGACATACTCATAGACCAGAGCCCTCTGCGTGGCCTCCACAGAGAACCCGACGAGCATGACCACGTTCCGGTGCTGTGCCCGGCTGAGGACTTCTACCTCCGCCCGGAAGCCGCCGTCGCCGCCGCCGCCGCCGCACGGGTAAACCGCCATCATCCCCGGCGCCGCCGGCGGTGATGGCTTCAGCCTCTTCACCGCCACCACCTGGCCATTGCGAAGCACACCGCGGTGAACCCACGTGAGCGCGTCCTCCGCCAGGAAGTTCTCGTCGCAGAAGCCACCGGTAGCCTCCTCCAGCTCCCCGACACCGAACCACCTGGGAGGCTTCCCGAACACGGGGGCTCGGTGCCGGCACACGCTGCACAGCGGCGGCGCCACAGCGGTGGAGCTGCTCCGCCGCCGTACGGCCGGCCGGACGGTGGTGGGCTGTAACCGGTCGGCAGGGGAATCTCCGCCTGACTCGATGAATATCTCCTGCAGGGTCTTGATACCCGAAGAAGGGTCTCTGTAGCAGACGACGGAGGAGGAGCCGCCATTAGTGGCCGTGCGTTCATCTTCAGGGCTGCTTGCTGGGGTCGAGTGCTTCAGACGGCGGTAGAGGCCCTGGCGGTCCTCCTCATTATCGTCGTCGTCATCATCGTCGTCGTCATCATCTTCTTCTCCCTCCTCCCTTGAGCTCTGCTTCTCACCGCCGCCGCGAAGGTTGAGGCGGAGCACCTTTGCGTGGGTTCGCTTCATCAACACGATGCTGCAGTCCGGGAGCTCCTGCATACAGTGCTTGGCCTCCTGCTTCAGCTGCCTGGTTCGGCACGTGAGGGCCACGTCAGAATATCCGACTCATTCTGAAAATTCTTAAATTCTGTAAATCCACGCGGCCACGTATCAGCCACAGATGTGGCCTACCCTTGGGTAGGCCCCACTAGTTTCTCCTGCTCACTTCCGGGGTTGACTCTGCGGGCCGTGAGCTGCACTGGACTAGGTCCAATAATTCCCGGGACGTGGCAGGGGCATGTTCTCGGCCGCCTTCCGGTATTTGATTGATGACGTGGTCCTCCCCCCGGTGGGCCTACCGGTGTCAACAGTCTCGCTGACACCCACGTGGCTTCTTAAAAGACCGGACCCGATCTGCCGGTCTCGGCCCGGACCAGCCAATGCCAGTGTGGGTCCGGCCCGGCGACCTCCACCGCCAGCGGCTCGGGGCCGGGCCGATGCAACCCCAAGGTCAACGACGCTCTACCGATGAAGAGAATTAACTGAGTGAGCGAGTCAGTGAGGGCATTACTTGTCGAGGACGATCCAGTTGGCTCCGACTCGCTTCCACTCCGCCACCACAGCGCCGCCGCTTCCGCCGGCGGAGTGTGGCTCCGCCACCACGACCTTGATCCTCACGTTGACCGCCTGGGGGTCGTGGCGGGCGTGGAACTGCAGCGCCATCCGGGAGCACAACGCCGAAACCTCCGCCTTCCGGCGACTCTCCGGCGACCCTCCCCCGCCGCCGCTCCCGCACTCGCCGGCGAATTTCGGGAAGCTCCACAGCCTCCTTCTCTGGCCTAAACAGACCAGATCAAACTACTCAGAAAAAGACCTGACAGGAAGAAGATGAAGATGAAGATGAAGAAAGAGAGAGAGAGAGAGAGAGAGAGAGAGAGAGAATTCGCCACGTAAATCGTGTTTGGAAGCAGCAAAAATAGAACGAGGAAACGTCTTCGGAGAGACGAGGGCAGGGGAGAGAGAGAGAGAAAGAGAGAAAGAATTCGCCACGTAAATCGTGGCTAAATGCCGCAAAAATGGAACGAGGAAACGTCTTCAGAGAGACGAGGGGAGGGGGAGAGAGAGAGAGAGAGGGTGAGAGAGAGCTGGAATACCCTCATAGTGGTTAGGGATGACGGCGAGGAGGGTGACGATGTCGCCGGGGCGAACGACGTGGGTGAGAGCCCAGGAGAGGGCCATCTTAGACATCTCCCTCTCGGCTTTGACCGCCACCATCACGACGTTCTCCTCCGGCGTACGTTTCCCGAGGCGGGCTCCGGCCATCGCCGCCGCCGATCTACCTTCTTCCCCCAAAGGAGAAGAGAAGAGAAGACGAGAGAAAGCCTTCTTCAAGCCGCCTCCACGGCTAGAGGTAGCCAAGGGGGCACTACAAAATCCGAGGGGAACTCTTATGAGAAGTTGGCCGAATGGTGGTGTTATTTTATTTTTTTCCAAATACCCTAATAATTATACATTATGTGAAATTTCACATTTCACTGATACGTATAAACTGCGTCTTTATTACCGAAAATTAAGCTTTTTTACCTATCTTGCTTCACCTGCATGGTTTGACCTGGAGAGAGAGAGAGAGAGGAATGTAAGAGAGGCTGCCCAGTCCGCTCAAGAGAGAGGACGAGAGAGGAAGGCGGCCCAGTACGACGGGGGAAAGAGCTACAGCAAAGGGGCCAGAGAGAGAGGGATTCTCTCAATTGGACGGTCCAGATCGTTCGGATTATCCTCATCGACAGCTCGATTCCATCGTACGATTCACGAGTACTGCTGATGTCATACATCGGGAGGCAGTGGATGACGTGGCAAAGGCTGCATCTAAGTACTGTGCAGGGAAATGTAGACGACTCAACCCTTTTATATTCGATTATAGAATTAAAAAATGCATTTCTTTTTTAAAAAACGTATATAGTCTCGAATGTGAATGCGGATGCCTTTGAAGAGCCCAGAGAATAACGATTCGGCCAGGAATAAATATCCGGGGGAGATATTTCTCCCGGTGGGGCCCAGTACAGGTGTCGCTAGCATACACGTGGCGCCTATCGAGGACAAAATAACGTTCCACGGTGGCAGCGTCGTTTCGGACTTCGGGCAAAAGCCGACGGAGCCGAGGTTCAGCACCCCGCCTTGGACCGGGGCCGTCCCGGACACGTCCAGCCGGCCCGAAGGATGAGCCCCGGTGGATATTTCTGGAGTTAGCGGAATATTCTTCCGCAATGCGGAAACATTCCGTTGACGGGAAAACGAAGTTGGGCTGTCAAGACAAGGGGTTGCCGATGGGCTAACTCCGGTTTCGCTAGTGTACGCCCCCCACCAGACTCTCTCTCTCTCTGTCTCTGTCTTTCGCTCTCTTCTTCCATCTCTCTTTCTCCCTCTTGCACTCTTCTTCTTCTTCTTCTCCTCTCTTTCTCTTCCTCTCTCTCTCTCTCTCTCTCTCTCGCGCGCGCGCGCTGGGATTCAGTGTGAGACCAGATTTGGGGAATGAGGAGGTCGAATCAGCCACGAAAGAAGGCAAGAGATGGGTTCTGGGAATGGGGGAGGGGCTCTCACTCTCACTCTTACACTCTCTCTACACAAATCTGGAAGAAGAATTAAAAACAGCTTTGAGAGGTTGCGTAGGACATGATAGATAATTAGAACCGGAATGGGAAAACATGGAAGAATCGCCTCCAATGCGGAGAAAAAAAGGGGCTTCCTCGTAGGAGATCTCCGGATCTCTCTCTCTTGAAGAAGGCACACGATTTTAGGGGCGCGATGCGGTTCGGAAATGGAAAGCTCTATATTTACGGAAAGTTATGGAAATCTAGTGAAGAGTGTACATAGAACGACAAAGTACATATATACAGAGGGAGAGAGAGAGAGGGATCTCATCCAAATCTCTCTCTCTCTCTCTCTCTCTCTCTCTCTCTCTCTCTCTCGGAATCCGAGAGCCGTCAACAGGGAGAGAAGCGGTCCATGAGCAAGCCGACGGTGACCTCGGAGAGGGTTGACCGCCGGAGGGGCTTCTGCTTGAGGGCCTCCTGCTGCTGCTGCTGCTGCTGTGGTTGCCGGCGCCGGCCTTCATCTTCCGCCGTCCCCGGCCAGCACTTCTCCCGTAGTTTCGACACCCCGCTAGCCCACGTGTCCATCAGGGTCGACATGGCTGAATCTCCTTGGATCTCTCTCTCTCTTCTGTATCTCCTCTCTTGTGGTGGGGGAACTCTTCTGGATATTGATGAAGCTCCGCTTCCGCTCTGCAGGACGGGTTTTATAGAGAAGCTAGAGAGAGAGAGAGGAAAACCGCGTCGGGTTTCCGATGGAAAAAGGAGCGGCGGCTCGCCGGAGATATTTACGGCTTTGACTTTCCAAATACCCGGAACCTATTATCCCCTCGGAATATCTCAATTTAAAAACATTTTAAAATCCCATTTTCCATGGAAAAAAAACTCAACCAGTTCTCCCCAACTCTCGAGGTCACTTTCATGGTTCCAAGAGCTGTGGTGTCAATGCTCGTGAAATCGGTTCTCATTGCTCTATTTAGGGTGGGAAGACAAAGTACATAAAATCTGACCAAATACTTTGATATATTTAGAAACACCGCATGAAATCTAACCGGTCTAATTACCACTTCACACATGGGTGATCATCTTAACGGTGTTGGATCCTACTGGTGTAACCTTGCGTTATCCTACTAATTCATGCTCTTCATGCTGAATGAGGTAATTGTTCTTCATAGTTCATAATGGTTAGTGCGCCGTCAAATGCTTGTCGAGCTTCTTCATAGTGTTGCAATGCTCTATAATAATCTTATCCACATATTGTGAGTTTCATATGTAGGCAATTTTTTAATCCATGAATTGTAGTGACACTTTCTATCTAAAGATGTCAGATAAGATTAATTCAAATATTTCTTATTCAAAGTTATTAATTTTTAAATCAGTTTACAAAGGAATTTAAAAATATTTCTCCCACAATACATATGTTCATTGTATTGATTTAATATTGCATTATTAATGTTTTCATTCATGTGAAATATCCGATGAAAAATGACCTCCAATTAAATGACACAACTAGGAAGAGTTACCATCTTCTAGAGAGATTTATATTTTTATTTTCAACATGATTGTACAATGTTTTGATGGAAAAATATGTATTAACTCAAGGGAGATTGCCTAGAAAAAAAAAATTAAAATACCCTTCAAATCTGATGGCCCAGAGTGACCCAAGTCAATGGTTTTTTTCTCAAGACTTGTTTGCCTTACCTAGTAGTATTTCACATTCACCCTATTTATAGCAAGATGAGAGCGACCGCCACTGAAAATAGTAGGAATTTTTTTACTACTAAAATAAGGTCTACATGGAGGGCAGTAGAGAAACCGAGGGGAAGGGGAAGGGGAAGAGGGCAGAGAGATGGGGCTACCCTTCATGTGTATATTTATTTCACTTATGAGTTAAACCATAATGGTCAAGATGGAAATATAAGAACTTGGGCAGAATGGCGTCCTTTATAAGATATTAAGAAAAAATATCATCTAATTAACTATGCCCATATGAATGTGGCTACTTTGACTTTATGCCCATTTATAGATGCATCCAAACCAAACATCTTTTTTATAGCTTGGGCCATAAACTTCTGCCGACATAACAAAATTATCTTCTATTTTTTAACATGGGTTTAAGTCAGCGCAGTTTGAGAGTATCTGGGAGACTACTTTACGATCTCACTCTCTCTCTAAGATTCTTATAAAACGTTGGAGGATATTTGGTGTGCATAATGGGTCCCAAGACTACTGTCTATTGTTAAATATAAAAGTAAACCTGGGATTTTAGATATTTAGTGGAAAAAAAGAAGATAATCTATGGATGATCCAGCAACTCGAATAGATCTAAGATCATAACATATTTCCACTTGTGGAATGCCCCAACTCTCATAAATCTGTGAATAAATCTGGGACAAGAACATATGAAAAAAAGAACGAACCCAGAGAAGAGGGAATGACGAAACAATGTGAGCATCATGGGGATCGGGACGGAAGCTTGAGAGTTCTTGAGGGAACGCAGCGGATCCTGGTCAACCAGATGGATTTCCGAAATCGCGAGCTCTCCATTAATTACACAAGGGAATGAACGGGATGTACACAGATTTCATGTAAAGGTCTCTCTCTCTCTCTCTCTCTCTCTCTCTCTCTCTCTCTCTCTCTCTCTCTCTCTCTCTTTCTCTCTCTAGAGATCGGAGGGGAGCCATCATCAACAGGGGGCGAAGCGGTCCATGAGCATACAGACGGTTGCCTCGGAGAGGGTTGTCCGCCGGACTGGCTTCTGCCTGGGGGCCTGCTGCTGCTGCTGCTGCTGCTGCTGCTGCTGTTGTTGCTGCTTCTGGTGACCTTCCTCCTCCGCCGCCGGGCTCGCCGACTGCCGGCGCTTCGCCTGTAGCCTCCTCACCTCGCTCACCCAGATGTCCACCATCGTCGACATGGCTGAAACTCGCTGAAACCCGTTTTTCTGCTCAAACTCACTCTCTCTGGGAATTCCGTTGCTTCCTGATGGCGGCCTTGTTGCTGCTCTGGAGATGGATTTAAAGAGAGAGAGGGAGAGAGGGAGAGAGCGAGAGAGAGAGAGAAGGCGTGTATGGGTGAGGATGAAGACCGCGTACACTGAAAACCTGGTGCCAACACGGATTCAAGGCCGAAACTGTGTCCAGGCCCGCGGGATACAGATACCGTCTGGACATTGTTCCTTGGATTCTGCGGATAATGTAAGCGCTTTAATATTTTAGACCCCGTGGAAAGCCTCAACTGAAAAAGGCACTTCAATATTTTAAACATAATTAATTAATTAACTGGGTTTATTAATTTTTTAAGAAAGATTGAAAATTTAATGTTTACTTTGCTTAAAAATATTAACTTGAATTTAATATTAGTTTTTTTAATGGTTTGACTGGTATTTATGACGGAGGGGCGAAAGTTTTTCCAAGATGCGCACGTCATCTGATTGTGGATAAGCCCTAGTTGTTGAGATAAGAACGTCCCACGTCTCATGAGGTGGCTCAGGGTTTTAATGGATGTACCCACGTGGTATATGCGACAGCTCAGCCTATAGTCAACACTCGGGAAAGAGGGGGGGTGAGAGAGCTGGAGTGGGGAGAGGGAGACAGATGAAGAGAGGGAAAGAAAGAGAAGGGGAGGTTAGGGGGAGCTGTGAGAGGTAAAGAGGGATAGATATAGATAGATGGATAGATGGATAGATAGATAGATAGATAGATAGATAGATAGATAGATAGATAGAGAGAGAGAGAGAGAGAGAGAGAGAGAGAGAGAGAGAGAGAGAGAGAGAGAGAGAGAGAGAGAGAGAGAGAGATATTCAAGATACGATCTTTTTCCTCGTTTTGGTGAAACATTGGATATTTTTGGCGATCATTTAACTCGTAAAACTAAAACCATAGAGATTTTTTAATTTTTCCAACTATCAGTCGAATACAAAGCTCATATACTCACACACCACGTACATCTCGTTTTGGTGAAAAAACGAAAGCCCTCCTCTCTCCTCATTCTAAGCGCTGAAGCAGTCCATCACCATGGAGAGGGCCGCATCGGAAAAGGGGACCGCCGACGTCGCCCCCCGACTGCACAACGGCGGGCGGCGCCTGCGCAGCAGCTGGCTTACCCCTCCCGGCTGCACAGAAGCTGGCGGCGCCGCCTGCTCTCCGGTTGAGCCTGGCTCGCCAGAGGGGAAGAGACTCCGACTCTTCTCCTCTACCTTCGTCATCTCACCGGTCCACCTCTCCATGAGCGTCGACATCGGAAGATATTCTCGTGACTGAGCTTCTGGCTGAGTTCTTACAGAAGGAGACTGCTGAAGGGAGAGTGAGCTAAACCTCTGTTCGACTGTAGCTCCCACGCGAGGGGAGGAGCCTACATATATACAGTAAGTAGATGAAGACACAGGGAGAGAGAGAGGATAAGAAGATGGCTGTCGGAAGTGGATGGTTTCGGTGCTAGAAGCCCGCAGGTTCGCTTATCTGTGTGCAGTTGGGGGGTCGGGGGGGGGGGGGGGTTGGCATATTTTTTGATTAAATCCAAAAATATATTATATAATTTTAAATTATATTTTTTTTATTAAATATATATTTGGATTGTTTCTCTTTAGTGTGCGCTATGGAAGAGCGTCACTCGATTTTCGGCCCAATATGGACTAATGGGCTGATAAATAGCTCAAAAGGTCGAAAAGGGTTGGGCGGGGGAAGTATATGGGCCGGTCCAAATATCTCATGCTGACGTAAGCACAGTAGCTTCCCCTAGCCGGGCATTTCCCTCCCCTTCCCTCTCCTCTCTGCTCACCCCTCTCTCTCTCTCTCTCTCTCTTCTTCTCTCTCTTACTTCTGATGGTCCTCTCCCACAAGTCAGCAACCTCTCTCATTCTTGTCGCCCGTCGGGCTTTCACGGACACCGCCGCCGTCGCCGCCGTTGTGAAGCCTTTCTTCTCCACCGCTGTTGACTGCTTCGCCTCCTCCCTCCGCCCTTTCCCCGACTACTCCCCGAGAAGACCCACCATTCGCGACGCAGAGCTCGTCCGCGACGTCGCCACTGCCCTCCTCCTCCGGCGGTCGGAGCCCCTCGGCCGCGTGCTCCGTCCCTTCGGCGCCGTCCTCCGCTCCGACCACCTCCTCTGGGTCCTCCCCCACCTCCGCACCGAGCCCTCCCTTGCCCTCTCCCTCCTACGCTGGGCGCAATCCCGCCGCTGTCCCGCCTCTGCAGAGGCCCATGCTATTGCTGCCCACATCGCAGCCGCCGCCGGACACTGGAAGGCCGCCGGCGAGGTGGTCCTCGACGGCATCATCTCCCACAGGCAATTCGTCGAGCAGGTGATCTACACATACAAGCACTGGAGCTCCGAACCAGTCGTCTTCGACATTCTCTTCCGCGCCCTCTGCGAGAAGGGCAGGCTCAGCGATGCGCGAGCTCTCTTCCGGCGCCTGCTCAGCCACGGGATCGTCGTCTCCGCCAGTTCCCTGAACGCTCTTCTGGTCCGGCTTCCGGCGGAGGAGATGCTCCGGGCCTTTGAGGAGCTCCCTGAATCTGGGGTTCGGTGGGACCTCGTCTCCCACAACATTATCATCCACAATCTCTGCCGAATCGGGAGAGTGGAAGAAGCCCACCAATTCTTGCAGGTGATGGAAGAAAAGGGCGGCCATGTTTCTCCCGACGTGGTGAGCTACAGCACTCTCGTCGATGGGTATTGCCGGTCGGGGCAGCTGGAGAAGGCCGCGGAGATGATGGAGGATATGAGAACCAGGGGATTGAGGCCCAATCTGTTCACCTACAGCAGCGTGATCACCCATCTCTGCAAGAACGGAGGGATCAAAGACGCAGAGGATCTGGTAAAGGAGATGGGGAGGTGCGGAGTACTTCCAGACAGAGCGATCTACACTGCTCTCATTGACGGGTTCTCCCGGGTAGGGGACATGGCCACTGCGCAAAAGCTGTTCGAGGAAATGGCGCAGAGGGGCTTAACCCCCGACGTGGTGGCCTACACCGCCCTCATCCGTGGACTCTGCCATGGAAGGAAGCTCGAGGGAGCTCAGAGGATCTTCAGAGAAATGCTAGGAAAGGGGCTGACACCGGACGAAGTGGTCTACACGGTGATGATCGACGGGTTCTGCAAGGACGGGAGGATGAACGACGCCTTCGATCTTCACAACCAGATGGGTCAAGCGGGCCTCGTCCCCAACATCGTCACCTACACGGCCCTCTCCGACGGGCTCTGCAAGCAGGGGGACCTTCCCGCTGCCAACGAGCTCCTCCACGAGGTATGCGGCAAGGGCCTGGAGCTGAACATCTTCACCTACAACTCCCTCATCAACGGCCTCTGCAAGGCCGGAAACCTGGACCAGGCGAGGAAGATCGCCGGAGAGCTGGAAGCCGCCGGCCTCTCCCCGGATGCCCACACCTTCACGACTCTCATGGACGCCTGCTTCAAGGCTGGGGAGATGGATCAGGCCCACGAGCTTCTCCGGGAGATGCTAGCACGAGGTCTCCGGCCAAGCGCCGTCACCTTCAACGTGCTGATGAACGGGCTGTGCCGCCGGGGAATGGTGGAGGACGGGGAGAGGCTCTTGGAGTGGATGCTGCAGAGTGGGATCACGCCGGGCGCCGCCGCCCACAACGCTCTCATGCGGTGGCGCTGCATGGAGAAGAAGATGAACGCCGCCATGGAGATTTACAGGGGGATGCTGTCCAGGGGGGTGCAGCCCGACGAGAACACCTACAATATTCTGGTCTGGGGGCACTCCAAGGCGAGGAACATGAAGGAGGCCTGCTACTTGCAGATGGAGATGACCCAGAAAGGATTTCACCTCAGAGGGAGGTCCTGCAACGCCTTCATCCGCGGGCTCCTCAAGAGGAGGAGAGTGGCGGAGGCCAGGAGCTTTTTTGAGGAGATGAGGGCGGGGGGGCTCTCTGTTGACAGAGAAATATACAACAGCTTCATTGACTTCAGCTACAGCGAGGGGCAGATTGAGTTGACCCTCGAGCTCTGCGATGAAGCCATGGAGAGATGCCCCGTGGGTCAAACCCAGCATGTACGGCCTTCGTCTTCCCCTGAAGAGAGTGAAGAAGATATCTGAGCGTGGAGACCTCGAGAGAGGGAGATCGGACCGGCAAAACGCTCAGAGACTTATTGAAAAATTAAGAGGCTTGGGAAGATGATGGTCAGTAATCTCCTCTCCTCTCCTCTCTGATGAGATTATTCATTTCCAAAAAATGTGTCTTCTTCTCCACAGGCGCCTGATTCACTGCTGGCGATGGCTTCCTCATTAATCCACCGGAAGCAAGACCCACCGCCGTGTATGTCCCTTCTTCCTTCTCTTCACCACATTTCAATCTTCTTGGCATCACCGAGTCATGGCTTTCGTATAACGCAAACCGATCATCATCAGGGTAGTAGGGAAATTAATCAAATTCTTTTCTTTTCGCAAAGTCTGAGAATATCCTGATGCTGATACCTCATGATCAACCTCACCAGGGTGACCAGTTATTCTCTGATTGGTTTTCACCTTCGTTCAATCTGCAGGGTGACCAACTGTTGCCCGCAGCTCTCACCAGCCAACCTCTCGCCTGCCTTCTCTCCCTTCTGGAGGCCTGGAGCTCTGATTCGGCCTGAGTGGTCTCCACCATTGGAGCCGCCGCCCCCAGCCATCCTGAACTCTGAAGAAATGTGAAGCATTCCTGGGACGGGTTCGCATTCTGGTCGTCATTGTTGCAAGTCGTGAAGTTCTTCTCTCTACGTGGTTGAGATCATGCATCTAAGGAGAGGATCAGGGACAAAGCTTGGAGAATGATCTTGTCATTGACTTTAAAGAGTCCAAATTGATGAGTACCAAGCCAAGCCCTGGGTCAGCGCCGTGGGAATGAAGCCTTGGCCTGGCCCTCAGTGAGAGGGAGGGAGAGAAGGTGGTGAGCAAATGACGATGGGAAAGGAAAGAATTGTGTAATCTTTAACATGTATAGAGAGGCGTCAATGAAATCAAGTTACAGAATTTTATGTATTAATATGTTTCCCAAAACTCCCAACTACCTCTGGACAAGTCTTTATTTGGATAAGAGCGACATTAATCCGTACATTGCATCTAATAAGGAGGTCGCACCACAAGTGATGAGCATTTATTTTTAGCTTAAATGCACAGCTTTTTCTTCGAAACCTCTTAAAAAAGCGGCATTCTTAGCACCAGATGCTTCTCAAAGTGCCTGCAACTAGGCCATTAAAAAACGTAGCGCTGCATTGAGAGGAGAGCAGGCGCGAGATAGCGAGATAGAGAGAGAGAGAGATAGATAGCGAGATAGAGAGAGAGAGAGAGAGAGAGAGAGAGAGAGAGAGAGAGAGAGAGAGAGAGAGAGAGAGAGAGAGAGAGAGAGAGAGAGAGAGAGAGAGATAGCGAGATAGAGAGAGAGAGAGAGAGAGAGAGAGAGAGAGAGAGAGAGAGAGAGAGAGAGAGAGAGAGAGAGAGAGAGAGAGAGAGAGAGAGAGAGAGATTTAGCGTTAGTTGGAGGGCAGAAAATCCGATGCCGTGGTGTTTAACATGGAGGGTTGTCAACAAAATCCCCCGACAAACTTGTAGGGACGGAGATGATAATTTCGTCCAAATGGGTGAGTTATTGGAGCTTTGAAACAGATCTAATCGTCGAATGCGTTGTTGACTTTTGGGTAGCAAACCTTATCGTCGACTTTTGCTTGATTCGATCGGTCGTGATGATGGGAACGTAGGTCATCGCGATCTCCATAAATAGGGGCCATCTTGGGGGTCCGAGCGCGCCATTCTTACCGCCAGCTGCGTCTCTTGTCTGGTATCGGCGAGATCAGTAGCACGGGCTGAGCGAAAAGGGAGGAGAGATGGTGCCCACGGGCCGGGTTTTCCTCCTTTTGAAAATACTCGGCGCTGCGCTGGTCCTCCTCTCGTCCCTTACAGCCGCTCAGACGCCGCCGTTCCCGCCTAATCCCCCAGGTGAGATATCTTCACGGAACTACCGTGGGAGGCTTCTTTCTTCGTGGGTGGTCGTCTGCTTCGAAAGACTGTATTGGGTTCGTATCTCTAACGCATGCACATGCATCGCCCCACTGATCTCCACCCTCCGCTACTCGGACTTTGATTCTTCAGGTGCTCGCCGGGTGGCGGAATGGGCGGGGAACTCAACCACAGGACGCTGCTGTGGACGCTGCTGCGCAATCACCGATGACAAGTGCTCCGGTTGCTGCACCCCTGACCCTGCGCCGCCGCCGCAACCAGTGCCGGCGCTGCCGCCACTTCGCGGGCGAGATGGGCGGGGACGAGGACCCGGACCCGGACGGGGACGACGGTTCGATGGTCCGCGGTGTTGCCGCCGATGCTGCAGCTGGAGTAATACTTTCTGCCTTAGCTGCTGTCCCCCGCTGGCCGGAGACCCGAGGGAGACAGTATTTGATTTGACATAGACGCGGGCGTCACTTGTTTCTCTTCGAGAGCCACCGCAGAGTGAAGTGTGGTGGGAACTGCTCGTGCTATCGTTTCCCTGGAGTTAGAAAATAAGCCCCGACCGACTACGTTGGTCGTTTACTGCGACCTGCGTGGTACTACTGCGCGGGAATTCTACGCGTTTAATCAGCACACTGGCGCTTTACGCGTACTACCATATCCCATACACTTGATACTCATAAATGAGACCAAAGTACTACTCATGAATTGGTGGGTTGTGGGGAGAGAGAAGTAAAGAAATCGAGATGGAGCAAGCGAGAGAGGGAGTGAGAGATAGGGAATGGATAAAGCCCTGTCGAACTCTATGGACTGCTAAATATCATAGAACTTGAAATGCGGTAGGGCTGTGCGAGGTCGTTATATAGTGTTCAATTGACGATGAATGGAGTAAGTCAGATGCTCGATAAAAAGTAGCGAAGGCGAATAAATAGTTTACAAGTCCAATTGTGTATGCTTGGCCAACATCTGGTTAGGGTCCGAAATCTGCCCTTGGCCTGGACCGGGGTCTGGTCAGGGTCTACTCGGTGCTGTTCATTGCCTACGGTAGATCGCTCAGTTAATGGGTAGCCACCACATATTTTATTATGGTGACTGAGATTAATACTTGGATCTGGGAATCCTCCTAACCAGCATTTTTTAAGGATTTTGCTGCATAAATGTTCCTTGGGTATCAGATATTTGTTCAACCTTGTATGTGTTAGCTCTTACGCCCCCATCCTCACTTGAAATACTTTTACTGAGAATAAATGATCATTTTTTTGAGAAAAAAATCTTAAGCTCATTGCTCACATGAAATCAAGAAAATTGCCTGGAAATATTCTAGTAACATTAGTAGCAGCAGTGCGATTATTTTAAATATCACTAGCATTTTTTTTTATTCATAAATTTATTCTCAAAACATATGCCAAAACTTTAGGCACGAACTCTCATGGCATGTGTTCGAAGATTTGAAGATCAATGACGAGATAGCATCAATCCCCTAATGTATTTGAAAGGAATGATACAAAAAGTTAAATAAGATGAGATCAATGTCACTAATGAGAATCTAAAACAATTGACTAGTGATTGTTTGATTGGATATGCATCGCTGTCCAATTATCTAATATGGAGATTAATTCTGACAAACATCATTGAGAAAAACTACTCTCGTAAAATATTGGTCGAATTAATCAAATTCTAGGCCAGTGGAAGGGAAAAGAGTGTGCTAACTTCAAGATTTCACAAAGACATCGAATCATCAGGCTGTCTATGTTTTTACGCACGGTTCTGGGTGCCTATGTTTCATTATAACGTCACCCAGCGGGATATTCTTGTTTATTGGCCCACAAAAAAGTCACTGGAAAGTAAATGTAGTACTATTTTTCTGCTAAAATCTATCTTCCTTCTACTAGTTTAGTAATATACTTACGAAGGCAGCCAAAACAAGTTCGGGATTCCTCCATTATCTCCATCAAATAGGCTGCTCTTGGCAGTATTAATCATAAGTCTGTTCTTACGGAAACAGTAATAGGATTTCCTCGCTAACTCCTTAACATACATTACTCAAATTTTATGTTCCTTCATCGTGAATCAAAATGATAAATCATTTAAATCGAGGAACAAACCATTCTCATGTCATAAACTAAATGCCTACCTTTTTGACATGGATCATGAAAGAGATTCTTAATTTCAAGTGTGATAAATCATGAAAGTTCCCTGTTACTAAACAAAAATATTAGGCATTCGCAACATGATCTTTTGCTCCTTGACACTACAAATCACAAAGATATGCATCAATATACTTTGTGACGTTGTCACAATATTTTTTTCCTTGTTAAAATCTGTATACATGAGAATTAAAATCATAAATTATTCAACAAATAGCCTTATTTATAAATAATGTTTCAGTGAATATAAAATATATCATATTGAAAACGAAGACATCATGTCATGTTAAATAATAGTGAGTATGACTAGGATATAACTACTCTATAAAAATAACTTATTTAAAATCAGTTATATATATGAATTCGTTGGATTTTATTTTAAATTCCCATATCTTTTGCATTAATTGAGTTTATCAAGTCTTTTTAAGTTGACCTTTTTGGAAGCCCACACTGTAGTAATTTTTTTCTTTGTGCATTTTATCTTTTCAATTATTATCTTTTCAATTTTTCAATTAAATTCTTTTCAATTCGTAAGGCCTTTGGAAAATCTTGTTCCTTCTGTTTTCAACTTTTGGAAAATCTTGATTCTTCAGAAAGTTTCATCAAAAGCTAGCTTTAAATGAATGAAGGTTTTAAAAACCACACAATAGAAATCATTAATTCTTTTTTGCATTAATTTTTCACTTTCTAGTATCAACTATTCTTGGCAATGTCAGATCAGTTTTTCATTCGTTTACCACAAGACTTGACTTATTTTTTAAAGTCTCAACTTCTTTTGAGGTGGTCATTACTAAAGAAATCATATTCATATTTTGATTCACTTCTTTCCTTTTTTTTAAAAAAATCAGTTTAATAGAAGGCTCCTATGAAGGATCTTATATTTTTCTTATTTGAGCGCATCTGTAACTCATCAAAAGAAAGTGAAATTGAAATGAAAGATAGACATCTCCAATGCTTTCCCCTCATAATACA